ACGCCATGAGCCACAACTGCCACTATCCCTGCCTCTTACAGGAGATTGCAGCCGGGTGAACGCAGCCTTCCCATGTAAGATTCCCCACCTCCAGCACCTCACTTTGGGGATTTCAGGTCCCAGGCCCCTCCTCCTAACTCAGAATATAAGCCTTTTGTATACATTATATATTAAGCACTGTGGAATCCTGTTGTAATCCCAGCATTAAACGATGCAGGACGGTCCAGTTCACTGTGGGCTTCACTATTTCTTGGGCAGGTGGGCCTGAACCCAGAGCCTTGGGTTAGGGAAGCGCTCTGGCCTCTTCCCTAGAAATGAGATAGGGTGTCTAGCCCTTTAAAACACTTTGTGTGTGTGGCAGCACACACCTTTACTCCCTGCCCTGGGGAGGCAGAGGCAGGTAGAGTTTGAAGCCAGCCTGGTCTACATAGTGAGTTCCAGGACAGCCCAGCTTATCTCCAAAAAAGAAAAAACTGCCTTTGCCTGAAAAAGGTTCTTCTCTGTGTGTCTCTCTCCTAACCCCCTCTCTTCTCTCTCCCCTACAATCTGGCATGGGGGCTAAAAAAAATGGTCCACACGTTCTGAGGAAGTTCTGTCCCATTGCTAAGGATTATGACTCCATCTTACTTGAATAAGCCCACTGGCTGTACTTTCTGAGAAAGGGTCTCATGTAGTTCAGGCTGGCTTCCATCTGTCTATGTAGTTGAAGATAACGTTGCACTTTTAAATAAAGTTTATTGTATTTTGAGTATGAATGTGCACATGTGCATGCAGTCGTCCCCAATGGCCAGGAGAGGGCGGCAGAGTTACAGGTGACTGTGAACAAGCCATTGTGTGGGCTGAGACCTGAACTCTGGTCCTCTGGAAGAACAGCCAGTGTTCTTAACTTCTAGGTCATCTCTCCAGTTCTAACTGTAAACCCACCGTCCCTCCCTCCCTTCCCTCCCTCCCTCCCTCCCTCCCTCCCTCCCTCCCTCCCTCCCCCTCTCTCTCTCTCTCTCTTTATTTCTTTTTTTGAAACACAATCTTGCAACCCTACCTGGTTGGAACTCACAAAGATCCCAGTGCTAAGATCAAAAGTGTCTGCAGCTGTGGCCATGTCGAGAGACCCCCAAGCAAGACCACTACAGAGCCGATATCTGATACAAAACACACAGGGGTTTATTGATAACAAGCAAGCCTGGGCTAGGTCCATGTCCAGCACTTGACACAGCAGGTGGAGGGGGATGGCCCTGAGCTCTCAGGGTGAGGGGTTTTTAAAGGGAAAAACCGCAAGCAGGGCGGTACAAGACTTGGCATCATATGGTTGGGTGAGGGTGTGTAATCCTTTGGTTTACTGGTTGGGGTTGACAGTTATTTTGGGGGCAAGCCTGGACAAGTCCCAGACTTTGTCCTTGAGCTGCCATGGAGGCTGGCTGGCCTCAAATGTTCACATTGACCCATGCACGTAGCTCTAAGCTGGTGAGGGGTCACAGACAGTAAACACCTTGCTGAACCTTGAGCTGTCAGAGTACATGCAGAAAGGGAGCTACTGCAAGGACTATGTCTTTTGTTCACGGCCCTCCCAGAAACTGCTTGCTCAAGTCTCAGGAAACTGAAATTGAGGCCTGATCTCTGAGAGAAGACTGAGCAGTCTGTTATGGTGTCTGCCTGGTCCTTTCATCTACCACTATGCGCACGCCTTTAATCCCAGCACTCGGGAGGCAGAGCCTTGAACTTTTAATCCTGCCTCTGCCTCCTTCCCAGTACTGAGATGTAGAAGTGAACCACCACACTGGTTCATGTGGTGCTGAGGATGGAACCCAGGGCTTCCTCCATGCCAGGCAAACACTGCCCACAGGGCTACATCGCCAGCATCTCTTTAGCATCGCTTGGCTGGCTTCTTCTTCCTTTTTTTTTTTTTTTTTTTTGAGACAAGGTCTCATTGTGTAGGGCTAACTGGCTGGAAATTTGCTATGTAGACAAGGCTGGACCTGAACTCACAGAGATCCTCCTGCCTCTGCCTCCTGAGTGCTGGAATCAAAGGCGTGGGCCACTGCTGCCTGGCTAAATCACTAATTTTGGAATCACCCAGTTTGGTGGTGAATTTTTAGTCTCCCATTATCCTTGCCATAGATGACATCTCTGACTGGAGCCATGTAATGGGTTAAAGACTGCACTGCCTTGAATGCTGTGGGCCGCAGGAAAATATCATAAGAACTCAGCTGGTTATGGCAAAGCTACTACCTGAAGGGATCAAGGAATTCCTTCAGAGAAAGCCAAATCCCAAAGAGCTTTTGGTGTTATTTGGCTTGTTATATATCAGCTGTCTTCTGTTATGAAAATCATGTGTGCCTTCATAGTTTTCCCAATTGATTTTTCCCTAAGAACTGCTAACAGTGTGGATTGATCACTCTCTGGACATACACATTCCAGGTATTTGGAGAACAGCCTCAGGAAAGGCTCCCCACTCTGCCCCCCCTTTCAGCAATGGAATCAGATATCTCCCTTAGCCACTTTCAAGGACTAACAGAAATAACAAGTCCAGACCACCACATGCTAGTCTCCTGATTTAAGGTAAATTCCACAAGGAGACACTGCCTGTCGGAGCCTGCCGACAGTCAGCTGAGTAGCTGGGTGAGGATGTGCGGATTGAAGAGACAATGAAGAAGACAGAAAAGAGTCGAGAGGTCTGCCAGTCAATGCCGGACAGCCCCGAGTTTATTTCACAGCCAGCTTATATACAGTTTTGAAGGACAGAGGTAGAACAATGCACAGCGCAGGCATTCAACCACTATCTATCCTGTCCTTGATTCAAGGAGCAGGCAGTTTCTTTTTCTATCTCGATGTACCTCCGGCTGGCGTCAGCAGCCTGCGTCTAGTTAGTGTGTTCCTTCCTGTGGGCTAATCAGGACTTTCTCACAGCCCTGAAGCAAGCAAGCTTGAACTCTATTGACTCAGAATAGACTTCAGATTCAAACTGGGAAACTGAGTCAGTTGCAGGCTCCCACAACCGCCTAGGTGAGGTGGACCTTAAGTAATAGCTTTACACAATTTAGCTGGGACCTTCCTTTCTTACAGCTTTACTAACTTTATAGCCCCCTAACTTCTTACCTAGCCACTTCTCAGAATGTAGACCCAGCACACAGACCCCCTTTTCCATATACTAACCGGTCACTAGCACTCAGGTGACCTCCTCTTTTACCACTCCCATTTGGGATTGTAAAAGAAAGCCTGGTGGTCACTGCCTGAGGAAAACTCTTACCTGCCTTTATGACCCTGTAGAATTCAAGCCTGTGACCTTGCTCGGCCAGAGGATCGCTATGGCTTGGGTTTATAGCTGGATTCCTGAGAGGCTTAGAGAGAACAGAGAGAATAAGGAGACCAAGAAGAGAAAAGAGGATGGAAGAACTAGATGGGTAAGAACTGGAGAGGAACAAACTGAGACGGGGAAGAACTAGATTGAAGGGCTACAGGAGAGGACTACAGGAACGAGATGGAAGAGTGGATAAATATAGAGAGAAATCAGGCAGGAAAGGAGCTAGGCATGAGAACCAAACTGAAGCTGTGCATATAGGATGTTATGCCAGAGGAATTAAAGCAAGTGGACTATAGAGCTCGGTGTGCTGAGATTCTGTTTCCTGAAAATAGTCCTCGCCGTTAGAAGTTCTCTCTCCTGAGCCCCTGGGATGTATAATATTAAGGCTGGTCCCTCTAATATTATACAAGACTTGAAGGTGACCTCCCCTGTGCTGGGGATGGAGCTCTGGAAACGTCTCTTTTTATTATCTCCTGTTCTGCAGGAGAAAGAAGCTGTTCGTGTGCCAGTATTTCACTTTTCCTGGAAGAAGCTACTGTTCGTACCTGTGGTTTCCTCGGGTTCACAGAGCAAGCAGTAACCGGAAGACAGCCGCGGCATGTGCCTCTGGAAAGCTGAGGTCCTGCATGCTGTGGGACTCTCCTGAGCCTCTGGTCGGCCTGACACTTCCCCAGAACTCCTTAGGGAAGTCTTGCACCAGCAACCCCGAAACAAAATGGCCTCTGTCTTGTTTGGTTTTCTTGTTTTCCAAATAAATACTTTTCCTAACCTGACCTTAGTCACTGGCCTCTCCAAGTGGGGAACAGTGGACTTGGGTTTGTGCTTCCAACAGATGCTAGATTCAGTTACACCCGGGCCTCACCGAGATTCTGATCCTTTGGCATTTCGACTGTGGGCAAGCTTGGGCAACTGTGTTTAGTACTGGCAGCTGGTGCTATGTGGAGGTCAGAAGGGCCCTCCAGGGAACTTCTGCTGCATTCACACCCATGGGTGTCTTGCAAAGGACAGCCTTGCCCGCTGCCAGGCAGAGGAGCACCACCGACTTGTGCTGGGGATGCTGGGTGGCGACGTAGGCCACCTCTGGAGTAGAGGGAAGGAGATAGTCAGCAGCACCGTCCACAAGGAGAGGCCTGTCGCCAACAGTCAGGGACAAAGTGGTGTATCCAATCCTAATCGTCTCATTGAGAAGAGACTACCAAGCTTTGTGGAGGCTGAGGCAGGAGGATAACCAAATTGAGACCAGCCTGGGCTGTCTCAAAAATCCAAGGGACTAGGCATGGTAGCCCAGGCCTTTAATCCCAGCACTGAGAAACTGGAAACCAAGGCAGGCAGATCTCTGTGAGTTTGAGGCCAGCCTGGTCTACATAGTGAGTTCCAGGGCAGCCAGAGCTACACAGTGAGACCCTCTCTCAAAATAAAACAAAGTGTTGGTATACAGTTCTGTGGAGCCTAAATTGTGAGAGTTGATCCCCAGTGCTGCAAAATAAACAAAGAAATAAATTCTTAACAGATTCCCTAGCATCCTGAGAAATTTAAAACTTAACATTTGGCCTTAGCTACAGCAGCCTGGCATCCAAGCACAATTTAATATTGTTAACCCAGCCTCTGGCCAAGTCATTCCTTTTAACTCTGCTTCCTACCCAGCTGAACCTAAGCCTTTCCAAAGCCCCCCTGCCAGTCAGGTGCACCTACTTTTTTTTTTGGGGGGGGGTGTCTTGGAACTCGCTCTGTAGATCAGCGATCTGCCTGCCTCTGCCTCCTGAGGGCTGGGATTAAAGACGTGTGCCACCACCGCCCGGCGTCAGGTGCACCTGCAATCACACATTTACCACAGCACAGGCAAGAGGCTGTGCCTAGCTCCGTCCCCACCTCCATCATCCAGGCCACTCACCCACGTCTGGGTCCTTTGCTGGCTCCACGTAGGAACCACATGCCTCGGGGATGTTGTACTTCTGGGCAAACGCCTTCGCCCTGTTCAGGTCCCTCGCAGCCACTGCCACCACCTGGTGTCAGATTCAAAGGCTTGAGGTGGGACCATTGTGGAGATAAAGCAGATGGGAGGCAAGCATGGGAAGAGGCTGAAACAGCGAGGCTAGAGCCTCCTCCACGACGGCTAGGGACGATATTCCTGTCTGGAAGGAGGAGCAGGTGGATGGTGGAAAAGCCAGACTTACGCTGTGCCCAGGCTCAGGCCAGCCTCGGCTACAGAAGAGTCCAAGACCATCCTGGGTACATGGCAAGACTCTGTGTGGATAAGACGGGAAAGGAGGGCCGGGTCCCTGACTGCGCAACAGCTTCACCTCCCTGTGGCTAAGATCCAGCAAACCTCGAGCATCTCAGCTTTAAGAGCCTGGGGCGAAGAGGAGCGAGCTGAAAACAAGTCCCTTCTCCTCTCAGAGGTGCCCGCCACCCGTCTCTGACCTAGGGACTCTCCTCCACCCTCAGACTCTCATCCCTCAGACCAGGGACCTGGCTAAGAGGCCCCCTCTTCCCTTAGACCGGGGTCTCGCACCTGGTGCTCCGAGGGAGGCAGGGAGCTCAGCATGGTGGTAAAGTCGCTGGCCATTAAGCCAGCCGACACGATGCCCCAGCGCAGCGCCGTCCTCACCACTGCCTGATGTCTGCCGTCTGTGAGGTGCTGCCCCCGGTGGCTGTTAAAGACAGATTAGGCTGGACCTTCAGAGGAGCAGGACTTCACCTCTGCGTGTCTTGACTGAGACTTTGACCTTTAGGGACACAACTGAAGAGGTGTCAGAGAGAAGCAGGCATTTCTCCAATGCTGCTCTCTCTCTCTCTCTCTCTCTCTCTCTCTCTCTCTCTCTCTCTCTCTCTCTCTCTCTCTCTCTCTCTCTCCAGCGCTTTACTCGGTTGCCCAGGATGGCCTGGAATTACCAATATAGCCCAGGCTGCTGACCTCAACTCAGGGCAATCCTCCTGCCTCAGCTTCCTGAGTGCAGGGTTACAGACGTACATCACCATACCTGTTTTTCAGGTGTCCTATCATTTTTTTTTTTTTTTTTTGTTTTGAAACAGGGTCTTGATATTGCTAGAAATTAGTCTGGGATCTCAAGAAAATGACTACAGGATCCAAAGTATTTTTGGCAAGGCAAAACCTGTTGACTGGGGCATAGCTGTGCCAAATCAAGCAGCAGACACTCCCAGCAGGGACTCACTGGGTTCGTTTTGTTGTTTAAATGTGTGTTCGTTTCATTTACATTCCCTGACGTAGGCATCACAGGCTATGCTTGAAATAATCCTCTTGCCTCAGCTTCCCAAGCCTGACAGGCCTGGACCACAGGTGCTCCCGCTTCTTATGACTCCTAGAGTTAGGGACAGAATCCTCTTCCATGTCCCTCTGTGCTTCTTCCCGGCTCAGGACTGGGAGGTCACATTTCTGTTCTGGAAAACGGAATTACCCACAGTTTCTATCTACAGGAAACTCTTAAGAGAATTAACCGAGTGCTGTGGACTACTATGTAAAATATAAAAACGTATTCTCAACTGGTTGGCCAAGTCCACCTTCAGCAAGACGATATCCAGTTTCCCTTGCCTCGTAGACATTTATTTAAGACCTTGGTAGCTGGGGGCTGGAGAGATGCTCAGTAGTTTAGAGCATGTGCTGCTCTTGCAGAGGACCCGGGTTTGGTTCCCAGCATCCACACTGGGCAGCTCACAATCACCTGCAACTCCAGCTCCTCTCTGAATTCTGTGGGCACCTGCACTCCTGTGGCATACACACACAGACACATACATACTAGGAACTAAAAATAAACCTTTTTTTAGTGGGGGGGACTTGGTGGCACACACCTTTAGTCCCAGCACTTGGGATGCAGAGGCAGATGGATCTCTGTGAGAAGTGGCCTACAAATTCCCAAGCAAGCCAGAGCTGCATAGTGACAGCCTGTCTCAAAAACAAACAAACAAAAGCAAAACAAACAAATGAAAATTGCCTTGGTGTGGGCCCCGCCCCTCCGAGGATCTCTAGGCTCTGAAGGTTGCCAAGGAAGAAGAAGTGCATTTCTTCAGCAGTGTAGCCACTGTGTTGTATGGTGTGTATTTGTTTTTTCTCTCTGAATCATTATATTATTATTATTAATTATTATTATTATTATTATTATTTTTTTTTTTTTGGTTTTTCGAGACAGGGTTTCTCTGTGTAGCTTTGCGCCTTTTCCTGGAACTCACTTGGTAGCCCAGGCTGGCCTCGAACTCACAGAGATCCGCCTGGCTCTGCCTCCCGAGTGCTGGGATTAAAGGCGGGCGCCACCACTGCCTGGCTACTCTGAATCTTTATGTGGTACCATCTTGGAGAACAATACATTCGCCCAGAAGCCGCGGTCTACGGTAACGGAACTACCTGCACTCCCTGGTAGATGGAAGAGGGACAGTCTCAAGACTGGTTCCTACGATTCCGCCATTACTCCTTCCTTCCTGCACAACCCCCACTTCAGGTGATCTTGAGAGGTGCTAAAGAACATGGACAGTGGAAGCTTGGCTGAGATGCTCTAGATGTGGTTCCTGGGAGGCCATCATCTGTGTGTGATATGGTGAGACTCGGTGGTGCAGCGGTTGTGTGGGGAGGGGGGTGGGGTGCCCTTACGTTAAGTGATGACCCTTTCCATACACTAATTCATCAAAGAATGTCCCCATTCCATACGAGGACAAAGCACCACAGGTGGCCACCATCATGCTGTTCTCATGACCATTGGGACATGAGTGGGAAGCTGCATGGGAATGGGCTTTGGGGAGCAGATTCTTCCACTGACAAAATCCAGACTGGATATTGGTGCAGATGCGTGTGGTATCTGGAGTTGTCACAGCCATGTGTGACCATGAAGGGAGTATAGTGTCCCAGTAACTGATAGTGCAGATGGGAAACTGGAAAATTCCCTCATAATCCTGGAGCTAGTGTGTCTTAGCCATTTGTGTGTGTGTGTGTGTGTGTGTGTGTGTGTGTGTGTGTGTGTGTGTGTGTGAGGTTGCAGAATTGGCTAGGATGTGGACCCAGTGTGGGACCCAACAGTTAACTTAGTTTCCCAGTTTGAATCTGAAGTCTATTCTGAGTCAATAGAGTTCAAGCCTGCTCCAGGGCTGTGAGAAAGTCCTCATTAGCCCAGAGTCCCCTTAAAGGGCTGTGAGAAAGTCCTGATTAACCCACAAGAGGGAACACACTATCTAGCTAGACGCAGGCTGCTGATGCCTTCCAGAGGTACATAGAGATAGAAGAACAAACTGCCTGCTCCTTGACACAAGGCAGGATGGATAGTGGTTGAATGCCTGTGCTGTGCACTGTCCTACCTCTGTCCTTCAAACTGTATACAAGCTGGCTGTGAAATAAACTCGGGGCTGTCCGGCATTGACCGGCAGACCTCTCGACTCTTTTCTGTCTTCTTCATTGTCTCTACCATCCGCACATCCTCACCCAGATACTCAGCTGACTCTTGGCAGGCTCTGACAGACCAGCAACCTGAAGGGGCCCACCTGTCTCTGCCTCCCCATTGCTGGAGTACAGATGTTTTATCCTGTCTCTGCCTCCCCATTGCTGGAGTACAGATGTTTTATCCACAGTCCTCAGGCTCGCAGAAACACCTTTCCAACTGAGCCGTTTCTGTGGACAGGTTCTCACTGTGGACTCTTGGCTGCCTGCCCAGTGCCGAGAGTAAACAGGTACACAACCTGCCTTTCCACACACCCACACCCTGCGCCCGCCCCCTTTGGACACAGGGCTTCATATAGCTCAGGCTGGCCTTCAACTTGTACAGCTTAGGATGACACTAAACTCCTGATCTACCTCCCAAGGGCTAGGATTCCAGGCATTCACTCGGATTCCCCATTTCAGCAGCCTGTGGGACACAGGGCCTCATACCTGCTAGGCAAGCATTATACCAACTGATCCACAGCCCCTTAATAATATATATTTTTTTTTTTTTTTGGTTTTTCGAGACAGGGTTTCTCTGTGTAGCTTTGCGCCTTTCCTGGAACTCACTTGGTAGCCCAGGCTGGCCTCGAACTCACAGAGATCCGCCTGGCTCTGCCTCCCGAGTGCTGGGATTAAAGGCGTGCACCACCACCGCCCGGCCTATTTTTAAAATTATTTAAGATATTGATTTTTTTTTCAAGCTCGGGCTTGGGTGTTCTGTCCCCAAGGCAAAAATGAAGCAATATTGAGGCTATGCTGCCATGAGCACCCCGCCAAACCCTCAGAAGTGAGGTTTAAAGAGCCCACAGGATACCGAGGAGTCAAGTTGCGGCGTGTAGGTTGGACTTCCAAGAGGGCAGTATGTACACACAAACACGCTAATGTTTATTTGTGCCAGGCTATATTTGACTGGAACTGGAGCATAGAGCAGGACATCGTAGTGTGGCATGAAGCCAGGGTGTACCAATTTTCAGGAGCACCCAATGGGGGCTGAGGGCGGCTGAATCTCAGCTAGGTGTGCAGCCATATCTGGGTACCTTCTGGAGCCATGGGGTAGGTATTGGGCCCAGGAGGTCAGGGTATGGCTGGTGAGGTGGCGATGGAAGCCCAGGGTCCAGGCAAAGGTGACGTTTACTTGAAGGACACCCCATGTCCCAAGCCTCCAGCCACTGAAAGGAATTGAGATCTCTGGCCCCACAGAAGACAGAGTAAAAGGGACCAAGCCAAGCTCCTGGGACCCTGTGACACTAGTCACAGGATGCAAAATGGCTAAGCCTGGAACAGCCAAGAGCAAACCAGGAAGGCAGGCAGGCCTGGAGCAAGCACTCCAGGTACGTGAGGGTCTCTGTCAACTCCAGCTCCTGCAGTGAGTCCCTGACAGAGTAAAGAAGCCAGGAGACAGAAGGAAGGACTGGGACCTGGAGGCTGGGAGAGCTGAGAGGGGCAGACACAGGTGCCTCTAAGGAACAGGGGGCCCCCGTTCTCCTCCCCAGGAGGCCATGCAGGCTCAGGCCTCCAGAGAGGCCGCAAGGACACTTCATCCAGCTTCCGTCGCTGTCTGTAGGAACTTGAGGGCTGGGGGGTCACTGAGAGATCATAAGTGCTGAGAATCCAGCTGGGGCAGCTCAGGGGGCTGTTCTGGGGCCTTCTTTTCAGAAGCAGCCACGTCTTTCTGGTCACGTGCTGGAGCTGGGACAGGAGCATCATCTGCAGAGGAAACAGGGGAATGCCGTTAGACATGGTGTTGGAGCCCACTCGGTTTCCTAGTGGCTGTACCCGGCAGGACTGCATGGGAGGTTGACTGGACCACGGGCCTGGGTACCAGGTGACTGTAAGGGTCTAACTAGCACGGGAGAGGTCTTTTGCTCCACCCCTTGGCATTGCTTTAAATAGACCTTTGGAATAAAGTTCTGGGCCCGTTTGGATAAGGATCCAGGCCCACCCGAGTCTAACCTGTGTTTTCTCTGTTTCTCTCCCTCTATTTCTTTTCTTTTTTCATCTTATTTATTTATTCATTTATTTATTTATTTATTTATTTATTCATTTATTTATTTGGTTTTCCGAGACAGGGTTTCTCTGTGTAGTTTTGGTGACTGTCCTGGATCTCGCTCTGTAGTCAGGCTGGCCTCGAACTCACAGAGATCCGCCTGGCTCTGCTTCCCGAGTGCTGGGATTAAAGGCGTGCGCCACCACCACCACCACCACCCGGCTCTCCTTCTATTTCTAACTAAGTCTCTTATCCCTCATTCCTCAAGAGTTCCCAGGGTAAATAAGTGTGGGGGCTGGTCCCCCACACAAGGAACTTCCTAAACACAGAAAACAGGATTCCCAGGCCTTCAACATACGGCCCAGGTCCATCCCTCTTCCCTCAGACTCAGGATCATAGTCATCAATCCTCTGACTCTGATTTAGGGGCCTGGGCCCTGGCCTTCCTCCTTCAGACCCAGTGTCCCAGGGTGCAGAGTCAGTACCTGGGTCTGCCCGGAACTGCAGCTGCCCGTCAGGTTTGGAGGGCGGAGCATTCTGTTCCCGCTGCTGCTGCTGCTGCTGCTGCTGCTGCTTCCTTTGCTCCATCTGCAGAACAGCCTGCAGGAGGTGGACAAGTGCAAGAACAGGAGCTGACGGCCCAGAAAGACCCCACAACTGCCAACTGGCCACAGACCCTTTTCTTCCCCATGGCTTTGGTTCCTCTGTCATTGAGCTGGGACTCACACCAGTTAGCATTCAGTTCTCTCCTGCTGTGGCTTCGGTGTTCCCACACTGAACCCTTATCCTCTCCTCCTGGGCCTGACATCCTTCACTGGCCTCATGTAAAATGGCTGCAGTAGCATAGTCAGGCATGGAAATCCTCTGCCCTTACTAATGATGGAAGCTACCACCTGCCCTTACTAATGATGGAAGCTACCACCTGCATATATGTATCTACTATTATTAACGTGGGAGCTACAGGCCATCCCACCCCGAAGACATCCTTTTGGGCAAAGAAAAAGGCCCTGTGAGATCCAGACAATGGGCCCCGATTCTCCAGCTGGTCACCTGCTGCAGCTCTCTCTTCTGAGCCTCCAGGCGGTCCTGGGAGCGCCCCAGGGCCTCGGTCTCCTGGCTGAGGCGCTGGGCCTTGGCATTCAGCTCAGCCTCCCTGGCAGCAAGCTCTTCCTCAAATCGCCTCAGCTCCTCCTCTGTGTAGGCTGGATACATTTCCACTGTCTGCAGGACACAGGACACAGCCAGCTGATGAAGGGGGCAACCCCAGCCCCACTGAGGTGGGAGGAGGGTGAGAGGCTGGTGCGTGCGCGTGCGCGTGCAGTGTGCGTGCACGTGCACGTGTGTGTGCGTGTGTGTGTGTGTGTGTGTGTGTGTGTGTGTGTGTGCATGTGTGCTGCTGGCACATACGCCTAGAGATGGGGAGTGGGGGAAACTGGGGAACCAGGAGGAGGACAGAGACCCAAACCGATCAGGAAACAGCCAGAGGCGCTGAAGGAAAGGCTGGAACTGGAAACTAGTATTAAGGTCGGAGCGTTCCCCATGTCCTTACCTTCCATCCTTCCCCTGCGTCCCCAAACTCCTTCCTCTGTGTGGATGCCAAGAACTCCTCCAGGGTCACCAGACGGTCCTGGTTGGTGTCCACCTGGGGAGCCAGACTCAGGTTAGGGACTCTGCTGAGCCTGCTGCCCACCCCCCCCCCACGCCCAGCATGGCTTCTCGCACATTCTTCATCACGTGCTCCCTCATACGCAGCCGTTCCTCCTCCATCTCTCTCATGTCGTCCTCTTCATTCTTTGGGTCGTAAACCTTCTCCAACTGCAGTTAAGGGAGAAGCATGAAGTGCTGAGAGGCTCAGGACAACCCACTCCTGCTTACGTTCTTCGCCTCCCAGAGGACCTCGGGGCTTGATGCTACAATTGGTTGTTTTTTGAGACAGGGTTTCTCTGTGTAGCCCTGGCTATCCTGGAACTTGCTCTGTAGCCCAGGCTGGCCTCGAACTCACAGAGATCCGCTGCCTCTGCCTCCCGAGTGCCGGGATCAAAGGCGTGCGCCATCACCAGCTTGATGCTACTACTAACAGCTTTGTCCCCAGGGTCTGCTGGGAGTTGTAGTTTTATCCTGCACTGTCACTGACAGGGATCTCTTAGGGTGCGTGAGGCTAAATATGTCTAGCCCAGTAAGCTTCTAGCACACTCACCTCCTTGGTGAAGAGAGCTTCCAGCTCTTGCTCATCTAGGACCCCATCGCTGTTGATGTCTGGAGATGAGATAAGATACATTAGGGGTCGGAGGGGTGGATGAGTCTGGTCCCCACGGTAAAAGCTGGTCAAGGAATTGTGGGTGCATGTGAGGTTTCTTAGCAGAGAACAAACAGAATGGTGGCCACGGCCACCATGGCGTCAGTATCCTGCAGGGCCTGTTGCTCTAAGAACCCATTCTGGGGCTGGAGAGATGGCTCAGAGGTTGAGAGCACCGACTGCTCTTCCAGAGGTCCTGAGTTCAATTCCCAGCACCAACATGGTGGCTCACAACCATCTGTAATGAGATCTGGCACCCTCTTCTGTATACATAAAAAATAAAATTAAAAAAGCCAAAATAATAATAATAAAAAAGAACCCATTCTGGTTGGGTGTAATAGCACATGCCTTCAATCTCAGTATTCATGAAGTAGAGGCAGGCAGATCTCTTGAGTCCGAGGCCAGCCTGGTCTATAGAGTTCCAGGACAAAAGAGCTATACAGAGAAAGCCTACCTCAAAAACAAAACTAAAGCCTGGCGGTGGTGGCGCACGCCTTTAATCCCAGCACTCGGGAGGCAGAGCCAGGCGGATCTCTGTGAGTTCGAGGCCAGCCTGGACTACCAAGTGAGTTCCAGGAAAGGCGCAAAGCTACACAGAGAAACCCTGTCTCGAAAAAAAAAAAAAAAAAAAAACTAAACCAAACCAAACCAAAAATCACTCTGTAGCAAACAGGGGCCTAAGAATGGAGTCTAGGAGCTCTGAGCATCAGGCCCACACCAACTCCAGTGGCCTCCCTTAGTCAGGGAGGCCCCTGCATCATGGGCTGTTGTCCTTGTTTGCCAGCTTGCCCCTCAAGATGATGTCTTAGATCCACTTCTGTCTCCTACAAACCAGCCACCAGCATTTCCTGCCATTCACAAGGCTCCTGGGTTTGGCCCTCACCTGACTGTCTGGAATAATCCAGACAGATTCTGTTTAGCCTTGAAGGTGACTGCTCCTGACCTTCTCTGCAGGGCTGGCGGTGTGCAGGGCCAGCGGGGCCACCGACTCCACTGCCTCTGTGCTAATCCTTCTTTGTGCAGTGTGGGCGGCAGCCCTGGAAGCCCAGGAAGCCCAGTGTCTGTGTGCGCCTGAGTTCCACTCAGCTGAAAAATTCTTCCCACGTGGCAGCAAGGATAAACCTGTCACTTCGGAATTCCTTGCTTTGTTCTTTCGGAACCTAGGGCCTAGCCAAGCCCTCCACCACACACTATATCCCCATGCCTCACTTCCCACGTGTGTCTACGTGTTCTCTCTGGAACTCTTCTAACTCCACAGCCACTGGTCATGTGACTAATGTTACAATGACACCAAGTTCCCGGGCACAGGCAGCGTTTACTCAGGACACCTGGAGCCAAAATCAGAGCCAGGAAGCACAAGGGAAGACATTGACAGGGAATTAGGGGCTGGGAGGAGTGGTGAACTAGGAGCTGTCTGTGGGGTACAGAGGTCTAGTTCATTCATTTTTTTAAGACGGGGTTTCTCTGTGTATTCCTGGCTGTCCTGGAACTCCATATACCAGGCTGGCCTCAAACTCAGATTCCACCTGCCTCTGCCTCCCAAGTGCTGGGATTAAAGGCTTGTGCCATCACATCTGGTTTTTTTCTTTGTTTTGTTTGTTTTTTCAAGACAGGGTTTCTCTGTGTAGCCCTGACTGTCCTGGACTAGAACTCCCTCTGTAGACCAGGTTGGCCTTGGACTCAGATCTGCCTGCCTCCTCCTCCTGAGTGCTGGGATTAAAGGTGTGTAAAGGTGTGTGCCACCACTGCCCGGTGTTTTTTGTTTGTTTGTTTTTTTAGATTAGGTCTCATAGAGCTTAGATTGGCCATCAACTTGCCACGTGGGTGTGGGTGACCAGAACTCCTGAGCCTCCTCCCTGATCTGCAGAGTGCTCTGAGCCTCCTCCACATCTGCAGAGTGCTCTGAGCCTCCTCCATGATCTGCAGAGTGCTCTGAGCCTCCTCCACATCTGCAGAGTGCTCTGAGCCTCCTCCACATCTGCAGAGTGCTCTGAGCCTCCTCCACATCTGCAGAGTGCTCTGAGCCTCCTCCACATCTGCAGAGTGCTCTGAGCCTCCTCCACATCTGCAGAGTGCTCTGAGCCTCCTCCACATCTGCAGAGTGCTCTGAGCCTCCCTCCACATCTGCAGAGTGCTCTGAGACTCCTCCACATCTGCAGAGTGCTCTGAGCCTCCTCCACATCTGCAGAGTGCTCTGAGCCTCCTCCACATCTGCAGAGTGCTCTGAGCCTCCTCCACATCTGCAGAGTGCTCAGGGGTCGGCTGTGCTTCATTGTAGGTGGCTCAGAGTCCCAGTTTTGCAAGACTGAAAATTCTGAAGGGTTATGTGCGCAGCCACAGTCAAAGGTCACTGCTAGAGTGCTTGCTCTGCGCCATGCAGTTTTCCTTATATTAGTTATAACTCTTTCATTACTTTTTTTTTTTTTTTTTTTTTTGGTTTTTCGAGACAGGGTTTCTCTGTGTAGCTTTGCGCCTTTCCTGGAACTCACTTGGTAGTCCAGGCTGGCCTCGAACTCACAGAGATCCGCCTGGCTCTGCCTCCCGAGTGCTGGGATTAAAGGCGTGCGCCACCACCGCCCGGCTTCTTTCATTACTTTTAATTTATTAGAAAAAAAGGGAAATGTGGTGATATTTTATTTGTATGTTAATAAATAAAGTTGCCTGGAGATCAGAGGTCATAGCCAGCCATAAACAGAGGTCAGGCAGTGGTAGGTAGCACATGCCCTTAATGATCACATGGCAGGCAGAGTCACTGTGTGTTCAAGGGCACAGCCAAGCGTGGTGACACACACGCCTTTAATCCCAGTACCAACCATAGAGACCTGGAGGTCTGTACAGACAGGCAGTGACAAGGAAGTGAAGTGGCTGGGCTTAGAGCCAATGAGAAGGCAGAACAGCAAGGCAATAAAGGCACAGGTTAGACAGGAAGAAGTGCTCTTTGGCAGCATGGTGAGCTAAGGTTAGCTGGTGGCTTTCACCCCTATATTTGGCTTTGTGTTTCTTATTTAATAAGACTGTTTAGAAATTTGTCTACAATTTCTGGTACCAAACCAAGCCAAATCCACTACTTGCTACAGAAATTCACTTAAAATTGTTACTGCGGGCATCTGAGCCTCAGACATTTCCCCAGCTCTCTGGGTCACCCCTGTTCTTGGCACAGCATACCTTTGTCGTCCTTAATAAACTTCTTCTTTTTTTTTTTTTTTTGGGGGGGGGGTTTTCGAGACAGGGTTTCTCTGTGTAGCTTTGCGCCTTTCTGGATCTCACTCTGTAGACCAGGCTGGCTTCGAACTCACAGAGATCCGCCCGCCTCTGCCTCCCAGAGTGCTGGGATTAAAGGCGTGCACCACCACCACCGCCCGGCAATAAACTTCTTTATAAATTAAAAAAAATGTTTTAATTATGCGTATGTGTCTGCATGTGGGTACACACGTGAGTGCAGGTGCCTTCAGGGCCAGAGGCATCGTATGTCCCTGGGGCTGGTGTGTGACACACCAGGGGCTGGTGTGCGACAAGTGCTTGTGAGCTGCTGGATGTGGGTGCTTTGTGTGTGTGCACTTGTGGGTGTGAATGCAAGCATGCGCAGCACAGCTACAGAGGGCAAAAAGGGAAAAAAACCAAAACAACAACAAAAAAAACCCACATGTGCCGGGCAGTGGTGGCGCACGCCTTTGATCCTGGCGATCGGGAGGCAGAGCCAGGCAGATCTCTGTGAGTTCGAGACCAGCCTGGTCTACACAGCGAGATCCAGGACAGGCTCCAAAACTACACAGAGAAACCCTGTCTCGAAGAACAACAGCAAACCCCCCCACACGTCTGTGGTCATTTTCTTGCAGAGAGGGCCTCTTATCGGCCTGGAACTGCAAGTGGGGCAGGCTAGCCGGCATGTGAGCTTGAGGGACCTGCCAATCTCTGCCTTGTACTTCACCATCACTGGGTTATATGTAGACACTACCTCACCTGGCCTATTGGGTTCTGGGGATCTGAACTCAGTTCCTTACACTTGGCAAGGCAAGTGATTTACCAATTGAACCATCCCCTATTTCCCAAATTTAAAAAAAATTGTAAGCTGGGTTTAGCGGTGCACGCCTTTAATCTCAGCACTCGGGAGGCAGAGGCAGGCAAGTCTTTGTGAGTCTGAGACCAGCCTGGTCTACAGAGGGAGTTCCAGAATAGCCAGACCCTGTCTTTTTTTTTCCCCTTTTCCTTTAGGTCTCTCTATGTAGCTCTAGCTGTCCTGAAATTCTCTCTGTAGCCCAGGCTGGCCTCAAACTCAGAGATCCGCCTGCCTCTGCCTCCCTAGTGCTGGGATTAAAGGCGTGCGCCACCACTGCCCAGCAAGACCCTGTCTTAAATAAAACAAAACCAAAAAATTACATTTTGTTTAAATTGTGTGCATGTGTGCGCCTGGGTGTGGGTGCAGGCGTGGAGGTCAGAGTTGGTTCCCTCTTCCCATCATGTATGTTCCACAAACCAAACTCAGGTTGCCTGCCCTATGGCAGGACTCTTGGGAGGCCCAGGCTTCTGGGCTACTGTGGCAGCCAACATACTTCCATTTTCTAAGGTCTAAGAACTTCAATTCCCAACAGTCCTGTGGCAGATTTTAAAAAAAAATTAAAAAAAACCCAAAAAATTAATGTACATGGGTGTTTTGCCTGCAGGTATGTATGTGTACTATGTATATGTACTATGTAATGCCCTCAGAGGCCAGGAGGGCACTGGATGCCCTGGAACTGGAATTAGGGGGCTGTGAGTGCCACACGAGTGCTGGAGTCCTCTGCAAGAGCAGCCAGTGCTCTTAACTGCTGATCCATCTCTCCAGGCCTCCTACCTCCCATTACCCTTCCATATAGGCACTTTTTGTCTCTGTGGCTCTTGGGAGTTGTAGTTCTTCTGTATTCCTCAAGCCTGGTCTGCTCAGTTAGAGGACACGGCCATTCTTAGAATACAGAGGAAAAGAATATTGAAAAAGACTTGGCCCTTCCATGGAAGATCCCAGGCTTAGCAACAGGAAGTGGCAGGGTCTTTGGCCAGTCAGGATATGAAGGAGGCCTGGTAGGCTCACAAAGCCATACTGGGAAGGGTAGACTTCCCATGGCATTCAGGCCCTCTCAGGTTCTGGAAAACCCCATCTTACCATGTAGTATGAAGAAGGTCTTGGGGTTGAATCTGTTAGGGTCCAATCCATCCAGCTCCTCCCACACCTCCTTCAGTTGGGCTTGGCTGCCCTGTGGAGAACAGCAGCAGCTTGTGAACAATGAGTATCAGGTCAGAGAGCCCCATGTGGCCATCCAATAAACTTTAATCTTCCTCACGCAAGAACTACAGTTCCCAGCAACCCTTGGAGCAGTTTCATATAGGTAGATGGACTTTTTGCTTCAAGGCCTCTTGGGAGTTGTAGTTATGCATCTGCATTTTTTTTGTTTGTTTTTGTTTTCCTGTTTAGGAGTTGGACATGGTAAAGCATACGTGGGGTCCTTACAGGGACATTGACTTTGGGGTGTTCCCGGTGTCTGCGCTGTTGCTCTTGTAGCTTCCTCTCAGCCTCCTTCCGCTGTTCCTCTCCCAGAGATTCCAGGTAACGTCTTCGCTCATGTTCCTTGAGCATCTCGTAGCGTTTGAACTCTTCATGATGTGCAGCATCATACTGGGCAAGGTCTCGGGTGGCCTGTGGAGAGGCAAAGAGGGTCATGTTCCTCCTGTCTTTCAGACACCTGGCATAACTTCACTTTCTTGGTCTCCATGGTTGGTCCCATCACAGCAAACCCTGGGCTGCTTTCCCAAAGTGATCATGTTTATGCAGTAGCGGCTTGGATGGAATCTTCAAAGTCCTCCTCAGCTCAGCATTTCAGTAACGAGCAGGGGACGGCCCGTGAGGTGGGCTTAATAGAAACAGCAGCGTAGCTTGGGTAGCCAGGAACGTGTCAGGTAGGACCAATCCTGCCATCTCAGCGCTTGGGAGGCTGAGACAGGAGGATGGCAAATTCTAAGCCAGCCTTGGCTACATATCAAGACACTGGCTCAAAACAAATCTCTCTCTCTCTCTCTCTCTCTCTCTCTCCCTCTCTCTCTCTCTCTCTCTCTCTCTCTCCCTCTCTCTCTCTCTCTCTCTCTCTCTCTCTCTCTCTCTCTTTTCTTTTTGTTTTTCGAGACAGGGTTTCTTTGTGTAGACTTGGCTGTCCTGGAACTAGCTTTGTAGACCAGGCTAATCTCGGACCCATAGCGAACTGTCTGCCTCTGCCTCCCAAGTGCTGGGATTAAAGGCATGCGTCACCACTGCCCAGCTAAAACAAATGTTATAAGATAAGATAATGAATTCGGGGCTGGAGAGATGGCTCAGCAGTTAAGAGCACTGGCTGCTCTTCCAGAGGACCTGGGTTCAATTCCCAGCACCCACATGGCAGTTCACAACTGTCTGTAACTCCAGTTCCAGAGGATCCGACATCCTTACATGCAGACAACCACCAATGCACATGAAATAAAAATACATAAATTGAAAAAAATAAACTTTTAAAATATATATATATATATATATATAATGAATTCATGCCCTCTCCTCTCTCTCTCTCTCTCTCTCTCTCTCTCTCTCTCTCTCTCTCTCTCTCTCTCTCTCTCTCTCTCTCTCTCTCTCTCTTTTTCCCAGACAGGGTTTCTCTGTGTAGCTTTGCGCCTTTCCTGGAACTCACTCTGTAGCCCAGGCTGGTCTCGAACTCACAGAGATCCTCCTGGCTCTGCCTCCCGAGTGCTGGGATTAAAGGCGTGCGCCACCACCGCCCGGCCTCGAATTCATGCTTTCTCAAGCTACTAAGTTGGTGACTAGCTATCACCGCGGCAACAGGGCACTAATGGTTGTTAGAGGACAGCCGCTCTACCCAGGTGGCCGCGCACCAGGGACAGCCGTCAACTCCAGACAAGCTTTGCTCGCTGCACCAGGAAGCCTTAGGCATGGGGGTAAAGCCCGGGGCTGCTGCTGAGCACCTCACAGTGCAGAGTGGACTCCAGCACAGCCCTAGTCACCTGCTTTCCTGTGGAAAAGCGGGAGGGCGTTGAGAGCTGACCCAGCCCCAGCCTCACTGCTCTCCTCCGGAACACCAGGAGGCAGGACCCACATCTTGACTCAGTTCCCTCCTCCTCCCCGCTGAGCACCTCAGCTGCTGTGGTCCTCACCCTACCGTCTGGATCAGCAACTCTAGGTCCCGAGCCTCAAATGTGTGCTGGTTCTGCGGGTCCAGGTGTTCAAACTGCTTCAGGAGGTTCAGGTGGTCCACCTGCAAGTCTGGATAAGGGAAAATCGAACAAAACAACACCCGTCACGGCTTTCTGTCAGAAGCCCTGACTCAGGGCAGGAGTGCAAAGAGGAAAGTCCCGGAGGGCCGAGGAGGCAAGGAGGATGGCACACGGGCCTGGGACAGTGCCTGAGGATGACGGAGGAGGTGAGCCCTCCACTGACTCTGATGCTTAAAGTAACAGTAACCATGACAGCAATGCCAGATGCTGCTCTTAATAGATCCTTGATACAAGTCCACCCCGCCACTACAGCCTAATGACATGAGCCCCCTGAGTAGCCCTGATTAGTCTGTGGCTGTAGTGGTGGTGGTGAGTGTGCACACGTCTCATTCAGGTTGTAGGTCTCTCAAGTTGCTACTAAGGCTTGGGAGCAAGCGCCTTACTGGCTGAGCCATCTTGCCAAGCCCTAAACCGTTCATTCAAAGCATACAATTGGACGGGTTTTAGTACATCCACAGGTACGTGCAAACACCGCCACCATGACTTTTAGGATGCTGCTGTCATACCCCAAAGAGCACAGTCCAGCCCCTTAGCTAGCACCGTGGTTTTCTCTGTCCAGCTGCTGGCAGACACTCTTCCCCATCCCTTCTCTGTGGATTCGCCGACTGGGCCATTCCGTGTGTTTGGTCCTCTTCTGGGTCTGACTTCGTACAGCACCCTATTTCCAAGGGTTATTTCCCTTGTTCTGCACCCTAGCTTCCCATACCTTCTTAGGGCTGACTAATGTTCCATGGTGCAGACAGGCAACATTTGATTTATCCACCCCACAGCCGGTGGATATTTGAGCTATTGGTTCCTTTAGCACACGGGTGTACAGGAGCATGTCACAGATCTCATGTGATGGCCAGAAGTCAGCTTTGTGGCGTGGGTTCTCTCCTCCCCAGCATGGTTCCAGGGATCGAACTCAGGTCATCTTGGGGGCAAGTGCCTTTACCCACCTCACAGGCCCTTATTATAGTTAAATAAGGATATTTAAAAGAAAAAGCAGCAATGTGTGGTGGCCTACACTAGCACTCAAGAGGTAGATGCAGAAGGATCAGGAGTCCAAGGTCATCTTTGGCTACATGGTAAGTTTGAGGCTAGCCTGGCTGCATGAGACCCTATCTCAGAAGGGCAAACTCACCACAAACCCTCCAGAAATAAACAAAAGGGGGAAAAAGCAGAGAGAATTATGTCAGTGAAAATGTGCCAGAGAGAAAAGAAAGAAATCCCAAGAGCCCACAGCGCCACCCGCCCGGCACAAAGCCACCCACACTCACTGGGCTCCTGCTTTGCGTCCATCTTGGCCTTGAGCAGCATCCTCAGCCTCGATACCTCCTGTCGCTTGAGCTCGTCCAGCTTGGTGCGGACATGGTGGCTGACGAAGTCCAGCTCTCGGCTCAGCTTTCCACTCTTCAAGGACAGGGAAGGGGTCCCCCAGTCAGGCGGGGGCGGGGGTGTGCTGGGTGGTCCCACTCTGTACCCTATACCCCCAAACCCCCGAAGCTCCACTGTGCCCCTGTCTTCCTTCTTTGCAGCCAGCCCTGGTACCTGGAAGCCCACAGGACCGGGATGCAGCCCGAGCTTTGCAGAGAGGCCCAGCTCACCTCAGACCCAGCAGTACTGACTGGGAGTGCCCACGAGTATGTCAGTCCTCACCACAGGACCTTTGCCTGTGGCCACTGACTCGCCTGCCGCCTCTTTCCAATCAATTCTGTCTTTCAATATTCACCTGAGGTGGCACATCCCCCTTAGGAAGACGTCGGACATCTCCGTCTCCCACCCACACAGAGGACTGAGTGTTGCTTTCTCTGGGCCTGACGTGCCCGATATCATCTTGACTCTGTATTCCTCCATCAGAGCTGACCCTGGCCTCTCCTGCTCACAGCACTCCAGGGCTCCCCAGTGTCTCCGCTAGGTACGAGCCCCTGCGACACTGCCCGGCCACCAGTGCCAAGGAGCTGCCGGAAAACATCTGAGGGCACCAAGAGGGCTTCTTTTGCAACCCAGATCTGTCATCGGGAATGCTCAAGACCGTCAACTTGACCAGATTTAGAGTTATCTAGAGGACAAACATTTGAGCACGTCTAAGAGGAAGTTTCTAGACCGGGTTAATGAAGGTGGGAGACCCTCCCTAACTGTGGCGGTATCCCATGAGCTGGGCTCCAGAGCTGATAGAATGCAGAAGGGTAGGTGAGCCCCTCTGCATCCGTCTCTTTGTAGACACAGCACGGGAGCCGTCACGCTCTCAATGCCACCTCTGTCTATGGTGGCCTGTGCCTGGGAACCGTGGACAAGTCCTTGGTTAGGTTGTTTCACTCAAGGACTCAAGGGGACCAGGGCTACCTCTTGACAGATGGGAAACTGAGGCACAGTAAACTGAGGTTCCACAGGTGGGGAGTGGAGAGCTGAGAATGCATGTCTATGTTTAAACACATCTTTGGGGGTCCCCAGACTCCTTCCCAACTGTGACCCCGAGAAACTCCCCTGAGCATGCCCTCCCCACAGCCCATGTCCAGTGCACCTTGATGTCCTCAGCGTTGGCAGCTTGCAGCTTCTCCCGGAAGTGCCCGTCTGTCTCTAGCACATTGATGACCTCCTGGAGGTACCGGTGGTAGTACAGGCCTGTGTCCTGAGGGACAAGGGCAGACATAGCAACACCTGCCTTACCCTCTAAGTTTCTTTCCCCTGGCCGGGACCAGCTTTACTGGCTGAGTACTCCAGAGCCATCCAGTCCAGTTCCAGCCCCTGACCTTCTGCCAGTGTCCACCTCCTGGAAGGTTCTATGGCACACAAGAAATGACCATCATATGGAGGAGCTGAAGAGATAGATGAGTAAGGGGTAAAACACTTTCTGCCTAGGCATGAGTTAGAGTCCCAAAACCCACTTAACAGAAGACTCAGGCACGGACTGGAGATGGCTCACGAGGTTAGAGCCCTGGATGCTCTTGCAGAGAAGCCGAGTTCTGTTCCTGGCACCCAAATCCGGTGGCTCAAGGACCGTCTGTAACCCCGGCTGCAGGGAATCTGACGCCCTCGTCTGGCCTCTTCAAGCACCTACATACATCACACACACACACACACACACACACACACACACACACACACGAATATTTTTATTTATAAAAGCTCTAGAAAATAGTAAAAATAAATCTCCTGAGGAAGGCCATGTACGGCAGTGCCTACTTGCCTTGCCAGCTGTGGGGCTGAGGCAGAGGCATGTCTGGAGGCTCACTGGACCCACAGCCAGACCTACTTTGAGACTGTGTCTTTTTTTTTAAATGATTTATTTTAAATTTATTTCATGTGCATTGGTGTGAAGGTGGCAGATTCCCTGGAACTGGAGTTACAGAGCTGCAATGTGGGTGCTGGGAATTGAACCTGGGTCCTCTGGAAGAACAGTCAGTTCTCTTATCCACTGAGCCATCTCTCCAGCCCCGCCTGACCTACTTTGAGAATTCCAGGTCCAAGGAAAAGACCCTGTATCGAAACAAGGTAGACAGCTCAGGAGGAGGGAAATCAGAAGCTGACCTCTGACCTTCACGTGCATCAGTACACACATACATATGCATAAAAATCTGAACATAACACGTGTACACAAAAAATGAAAAGAAAATCACTGGGAGATGCCAAACTTGTGATCTCAGCACTAAGGGCCTGAGGCAGGAGGACTGCTTCAAGTTCAAGCTCAGCCTGGGTTACAGGGTGAGATCTTGCCTTTAAAACAACCATAGAAATCTAAAATAGGGGTTGGGGATTTGGCTCAGTGGTAGAGTGCTTGCCTAGCAAGCACAAGGCCCTGGGTTCGGTCCTCAGCTCTGAAAAAAAAAGAAAAGAAATCCAAAATAAAACAATGAAAATCAGGACTGGAAATAATGGAAAGAGGCTCAACTGTGCCTTTTTGTGTTTGCAAAAATCCCACAGAGCAGCAGATGCTCACAGACCTTCACCATTGGGCCTGCGGACAGTCCTGAGTTCTCACTCAAAACAGCACAACTTCTGGGGCTGCAGAGACGGCTCAGCTCTGGCAGAGGACCCACACTGGTCCCTCACAACTGCCTGTAACTCCAGTGCCAGGGGATCTGACACCCTCTTTGGGCTTCCACATGAGTACCCGCACTAACATGCACATACCACACACACATACAAAATAAAATAAAATAAAAGCCAGGTGTGGTGGTGCACATTGATGTCAGCATTCTTAGCTCCACAGGAAGGGTCTCCTTCTATACTGCCCCTAACTGAGGGGCTTTTTTATTTAAAGGGGGGTGGCTATTCTCATGCAATATCTGCTAGGAATCTCCATGTTATTTCCCTGTGATAAGGACCTCCATGGTGGGTTCTTCTTTCAACATATTGTGGCCTGGATAAGTAAGTCCTGAACAATTCTCTTCCCCTTCTGGGTTTCTTTTCAATCACTTGAGATCTTCACAGGAAGGAAATTAATACAATATGACAGGGCAATCCTACCTTTATTAAGCTTTATTTTATTTTATTTTAGCAACAGGGTCTCTTTACATGGCTGTCCTGAAGCTCATTATATAGCCCAGGCTGGCCTCAAACTCACAAGGATTCACCTGCCTCTGCCTCCCAAGAGCTGGGACTCAAGGCTTGTGCCACTGTGCCCAGCTGTTTACCTTTATTATTATTATTATTTTTAAGCTTGCTCCTCAGGGGCTGGAGAGTTGGCCCCAGGGTTAAGAGTATTTGTTCCTGTGAAGAACTGAGGTTTGATTCCCAGCACCCACATGGAGGCTCACCAGTTCCTCAGGCACCAGGTATGCATGTGGGGCCCATACATATGTGCAGACAAAGCACTCAGATGAATAAAATAAATCTAAGCCGGGCGGTGGTGGCGCACGCCTTTAATCCCAGCACTCGGGAGGCAGAGGCAGGCGGATCTTTGTGAGTTCGAGGCCAGCCTGGTCTCCAAAAAGCGAGTTCCAGGAAAGGCGCAAAGCTACACAGAGAAACCCTGTCTCGAAAAACCAAAAAAAAAAAAAAAAAAAAAAAAATCTAAAACAAAGCTTGATCCTCAGGAACCAAGGAAACTTGTGGGTCCTGAGGCCCTCAGTCCCCAACAACTAAGGTAACTCCTGATCCCCAACAACTAAGGTAACTCCTGATCATTAAGTCTGTTGATTCCTATTGACTCAACTTCAGGATGTATTCTCCATTACTGGGAAAAATCTGATCTCCAATTTTTTGTTTGTTTTGGCTTTTTGAGATAAGGTGTTATTGTGTAGCTCTGGTTGTCCTAGAACTCACTTTGTAGACCAGGCTGGCCTCAAACTCACAGAGCTTTGCCTACCTCTGCCTCCTGAGTGTGTGCACATGTCAGTATCTGAGTGGAAATTGAAGAACACCGTGCAGCACTGATTCTCTCCTTCACCATCCGGGTCCCAGGGATTGGACCTTTACCCAACTGAACCATCTCATTGGCCCCACCATGATTTTGGCAAACGGCTTTGGAATTAAATCTATGGATCATGGCAGAAATGGTTCGTGTCTATTATCGTCTAGGGAGTGAGCCTATTAACCTTTGGATATTTTATATTGAGCTGCTCTCTTAATTTTGTCTCCTGTCCTACCTTCTGATGATTCTATGAGGTCTAACTCCATCCAACCGTTTCCTTTGATCTTACTCCAAGGCCCAAAGGTCACTGTGAATGGAAGCCCCACTTCAACTGTAAGGAGTCAGATCAACTCTACACTTAAACCTAGATACACAAACACTAAAATCTAAATGGTCTTAGGTTCTCAATTCTCGATGGGGGAATCAGGCAGGCTTAGGGGTCACTGAAGATAGACCCCTCCTTCATAACCAGTTTTACATCCTTAACATTTAAAATACCATATGAAAGGGAGCAGAGTGGGAGAGAAGGATGTTGTTTTGGCCCATTAAAGGAAGCTACTTCCTCCTGGTCAGAACAGAATCTGGATTCGTTCTAAACAGCCCCAAACACTGTATACTTCTGTTGTCCCCTCCCTTAAGAGTCCATCCAAGGGCAGTAGCGGCACACGCCTTTAATCCCAGCACTCCGGAGGTGGAGGCAGGCAGAGTTTGAGTTTGAGGCCAGCCTGGTCTACAGAGGGAGTTCCAGGGCTACACAGAGAAACCTTGTCTCAGGGGCAGGGAGAAGAGTCCATCCAACTAGACCTGCCAGTCTAAGAGCCCATTGCTCAAGAATGCTGATTCACCTCAAGACGTGCTTCATAGGAGTCAAGGCCATCTTCTTTCCAGGCCAGAAGCCCCTTCCTAGGTGCAGCTGTTGGCAGATCTTCACTGCTGAACCTGCCACTTTTCAGAATTCTCATTCAGAAGCATAACATTTCCTTCCCTCCCCTCTCTGGGTATCAGCAAACATCCTAAGCACGCTTGTCCCAACACTCAAGACTCTCTCCTGTATTTGCAGCTGCTTATTGATCTTCGTTGCTCAACCTGCTCTCTCTTCCTCCACCCTATCTCCAAAAGCCTGGCCTTCTCTTCCATCAACCCTCTTCTTGGAACCTGCCAAGACTTACAACTTGACTGCCATATTATTTTTCTCTGAAACTCTAACAAAATGGTATTCAAGCTTCAAGATTCCACAGAGTACAGTATAACCCCTTACCGGAGGCCATGCCACACAAGGGCTCGGAACCACCTGTCTCAGGAGCCAACCTCAGCTAACACTGCTAGGGAGAGCCTTGGAAGAACTAGGCCATAAATCAGGTACCTGGACTTTGAAAGATCCAACTCTCTCCTAAGAGGAAAGCTTTCACAAGGTTCAATAGATATTTGTAGGAATGAGTAAATCAGTAGCCCCACCATGTCCTTTTCCCTTTTAAACTACACCTCCCATGAGCTCTGTGAAGCAGGACTGCCCCAGCTAGGTAGTAGCATCCAACTGCCTTTGGTGCTACTGGGAAATGTAGTTCTTCTTTTGGTTTCTCCATTCCTCGGTAAGGAGAATCTTAAAGACCAGAGGAGTTTAGGGGAGGGAGTGACACGGGTTTTCATTTGGGATTTATCTTGATTTACATATCTCAATGGCCAGGGTGCCGGGTCTGCTTGTGTGTTTCACCAACACACTACTGCAAAGGAAGGCAGGTAAACCGGAAGCCTCAGCGTGCTAAACAGGAATCCCTGGAGTTTTCACCAGGGCCTTGGGGATAGCAGGAACTGCACCGCTGCAAACACGCCAGAGCACAGAGCAGGGCTACTCACCGGGCTCTCAGTGGGCTGGCTGTCCTCCTGATGGGGCGCCGCGCGGTCCAGGGGCACCGCCAGCACAGCAGACACCATCAGTAGAGGTGCTAGGAGAAGGAAAGGGGTCCCGTGGGGCGCGGAGGTAGGCATCGTGGCTGCTCTGCGAGGAGAGATGGAGAATGGGTTTTGGTTGTTTTGCTACGGTTTTTTGAGACAAGTGTTAAGTAGCAAAGGCTGGCTTTGAATTCCTGATCCTCCTGCCTCCCCCCTCCCCCCCAAACGACTTGTAGGCGCGCATTACTACGCAGCCTAGGGATGTCCTAACCCCGTATCCGGCTGGGAAAACGAGTGTGCACGCCATCCGCAGTGCCATTCCCATTTGCAAAAATGAAGACTCCACGCGTTTCGTCACCTGGAACCCAGGACGCCAGGCCACCAGCCTCCCTTTCCTACAGCGCAGTCCGCAGACGTTCATCCTGTCTCCCTCAAAGTAGGGAATGTTTCCCGAACCGAGATCCTAGGCCCCTAGACTCCCCTTCTCACGGGACCACGGAGACCTGAAACCCTGCAAGTACCCGGATCTCCAGTCCCCTGCCCTCCGCTATCCAACGTCCCTCACCTCTCCTAGCGCAGAGGGCGTTTTCCCACGCTGGGACCTCTGCCGGGTTTCTGATGATTTCCCTCCTAAGTCACTCCCACTTTTCCACCCGCAGAGGACCTGCCCCCAGGATGCTGATTGGTCCACGCTGACTCCGAGCTTCCGCCCGCGTTTGCGGCCCCGCCCATTTCCGATGAGGTTCCCTTACTTCCGAAATTTCTCCTGCTTTCTTGGAAGCTCACATTCTTAAACTGCTTCGTTTTCAGATAAAAGTCAAAGTCCTGCATGAGGGTGAGGGTGGGGAGGGCAACTTTTGCGGACACCTTGCCGCAGTGTCTCCTGGGAATTGTAGTTTTCTCATTTATTTTCGCTCCACAAGTTCCTGCAAGTTAGAGCTTTGGTGATAACCAACTGCATAGGATACTATCACTACTTTTTAGAAGGGTCTCATTATGTAGCCCTAGCTGGAACTGTATGTAGACCAGGCTGGCCTCGAGATCACAGCGATCCTCCTGCCTCTAACTCCCAAGTGCTGAGATTAAAATACACCAACTCCCAGCCTCCTCCCTTTTTTTCCCCTGAGAAATGGCTTTATGCATCCCAAGCTGACCTTCTCCGTGATAGGAATGCTTGCACAGGAGGAAAGCCTCGATTCCTGGCACTCTGGTCTGCACCTCCCAAGTGCTAGATTACAGGCATGAGCCACTAGGCTTATAAATTTCTTAAATGCTCTGTATGTAGAACTATATTGCTAGGTAGATACTCTTGGGTCCCTTTAAGGAATGTTGGCTTGCAGTTCCAATTCAGAACCCCCAGAACAAGGGATCAGTCTGCTTCAGTGGCCTGGAGGCATTACTCTCTTGGACATGGACCTTGAGGGGCCAAAAGGGCCAAAAAGAGGGCAAGTTCCTGTGGGAACACCCCTTGCTGAGAAAGTGTTTGGCTGTGTTTAGAGTTCCAGCATCACAGCAAGGCTGTGAGAACTCCAAGCTGGTGCTAGGGAGGGGTGGGCACCTTGGGATTCCAGATAGCTGGATGCTGAGGAGTTGGGATTTGGGACCCTGAGCCACCAAGTCCCAATACTTAGAAGCAGGACCAGCCTTACCTGCTTGGTAGAGAGCTGGATTTTTGTGTTCTCAATAGTGCTTAAAGTTCAACACAGGCTACTAAGTCTCAGGCGGGCATCGGGGTTTGGGTTGTTAGGGTTCAAAATAAAAACGAAGGCAGATGTTAGGAATTAGAGGGCGGTTTCTATTTAGATATTGGGTCTAGGTCTGATTATGCCTTCCTAATCCTCTAGACCGTCTCAGGAAAATGAACCGTGGAAGAAAGAGTAAGTGAGGAAACCTAATGGGCAGCGGGTTGGGGGAGAGGGGACCTAGATACCGGATACACACAGCTTCGGGGCTCAAACTGTCTTCAGGCTGACCACCATCAACCATAGAAGGTGGGGGGGATCTGGACTCCAACATTGGTGGCTCCCGAGATAGCTAGAGCCTGGGGCCTCTGGTTGGGTCCTAAAGGGGAGGGGCTGGGAGAAAGAGTCATAACTGACCTAGAAAGCTCAGGTCCCTCACCTACTATGACATCACTGGCACTCAGAACCCAAATTGGTCAAGGGGAGGGGCTCCTGAACAGACAGAGCTGCCCTGCTGCCTGTGGCCACCAGCCTTGTGTTTCTCTCAGAACTTTGGAGGATGAGTTCTCTGGTGTGAGGCTGCAGAAGCTGGAACAACAGGTATGGCCCCGATCCCACGCTTCCATCTTCCCGACCTTCCCAGGATGCTCAGAGACCCCAATCCCATGTTCCTCTTCTCTGAAGTTCAGGTTCTCGAATTAGGAAAAGAGAAAGAAGGAATTCGGCTTTCATTTGAAACAAGACCTTGCTGCTTAGCCCAGGCTGGTCTCAAACTAGCATCTTGGGTGCTGGATCACAGTTGTGAGCGATCACACTCGCTTTGTTTTGTTACATTGCATTTACTCAGGGGTCGAGGACACGCATGCCATGGCGTGTATGTCGGGACAACTTGCAGGCCCGGTGGTCTCTTTGGCGGATTTGGGTCCCAGGGCTCAAACTCAAGTTGTCAGGCCTGATGGGAGCACAAGTGCCTTTCCCCACTGAGCCCTCTCTCAGGCCCCAATTAGCTGCTCTGTAACCTGTGCTGACCTCAAACTGGCTCCCACCCTCTTACTTCTATTTCTGGACTAACTACAGATGTGAGCCTTTATACCCACCTTTGTATTTGGAAACAGGGTCTCACCTAATTGTCTAGGCAGACTTAAGTCCTTGTGCCTCAGCCCGGATGGCAGCCCAGGCTGAGGAAATTTTTAAACAACAGTTCTAGAGGGCTGGACTCCTAGTTCTTGGAGGAGAAGGTGGAGATAGATCGGATCTGACGGGAAAGGACAGGGTATCTGGGACCCCAAAGGAGGAAGGGTACCTGGACTCTCCCAGGCCAACCTCAGCCCTGTGCCCACCTCACATCCCCTCTTGATCCTTCAGCAACAGCTACTTGAGAAGAAGCAGCGCAGGAAGCGCCAGGAGCCCCTCATGGTTCAGGCCAATCCTGATGCTTCCCTGAGGCACCGGCGACCAAGGCGTGGGGATGATCGCTTCCAGTGTGACAGCGGCTGGGGATTTGGTCTGATGGAAGGGATTTATGGGGACTGGGGGGGGGCGAGTGAGCACTGGAGGGTGGAGCCTGGTGAGGTCCAGGGAGGAACTGGGTGGATGGCGCTGGCTGCCACAGGGATGGCCTTGTAGATGTCAGGAAGTGTCCTAATGGGACTGGAGGGGCCTAATTGCATCCAGATAGGGAGTTTGTGGTAGAGGATAGGGGTGGGACTTGAGTGTGGGCCTTTATGAGGGAACAGGGGTGGGTTCTCAGACAGCCCAGGCAGAAAATTGATTGGGCTGGGGATTTCTCAGGAGCCATTCCAATAAAGCTGGGCCCGGAGGTTACCCAGTCCTCTGACAATAAGCAGGCAGAGCTTAGCCTTACTGGAGGGCCAGACCCAAAAGAATCCGGCGACTGGGTTTGTCAGAACCTAGTAGAGTCTGAGGGAACTCGGAGTGCCCAAAGACAGAAGTTCTGCGGGTAGAGCAGGAGTCCATGTTGTTTGCTTTCTGTGGTGATAGGGTCAAAACCTAGGGCTACATGCAACCGATCTTTCCTTACTACTGAGTTTTTGTTTAGAATTTTGGGGGGCGATGGTCCCATGCTCTCAGAGGCTGGAACTTGTTATGTAGTGGAGGGTTTGAGGCAATCCTCCTGCCTTACTCAGTAGATCCTTTTAAAATGGGCCTCTCTGCACTCTCTCCCAGGTACTGGGAGTCCTTTCCTCCAGGAGAATGTACCACAGGCGCATCTGCCCACCCGGCCCCCCAGTGCCCTGGGCTCCATGAGCTGTGTCAGAGATGGTGGTGGCCAGCGGGCCCCCCTTCTGCCACCCAGAGGAGCAGGTAATCTTAGGCCACTGATATTTAGGGCATGCGTCCTTAGAAGTTCAGGATTGCGTGCTTCTCCTCTGACATTGGGGTCAGGTCCAGAGCTTCCTCCTCTTGCACCAAAGGACCCCAAATCTGAAAGTCCTTTTTCTCTAGTGTATACTCAGGGCGATGGCGCTGCGGTCCACCGTCTGTGCTACCTCCCAGACACCTCAGATTCAGATGTGGAGGAAGTGACCATGGAGGACATCCTGGTCATCCCCCCGCCGCCCAAGACACATCTGGCAACCCGTTGCAGGGGCTGGTTAGCCTCCCCAGGACCTGGTAATTTTGGGGACAGGGGAGTGAAATCTGGCCCCTGGTTCACATGACACTTTGTCATTTTTGCTTTGTTAACAGCTTTATGTGGGATATCATCACTCGTGGGTCTCCCAGGTCATCTGTCAAGGTGTCTAGTCCCTGTCACACAGTGTACTCAGATGTAAAACCATCACCACATCAAATGCATGTGTTTAAACTGAGTTTAGGAGGGATGGAGTGGATATCTATGTATCCCTGGGCTGGCCTTGAACTCACAGGGATCCACTGACCTCTGCCTCCTTGTGTGCTGGATTAAAGGCTTCTTGTACCACATTCAGCTTATTTGTTAGTAATATTTTTTTGTTTATGTTTTTGGGGTTTTTTGTTTTTGTTTTGTTTGTTTGTTGAGACAGGATTTCACTGTGTAGCTTTGGGGCCTGTCCTGGAACTTGCTCTGTATACCAGACTGGCCTTGAACTCACAGAGATCCACCTGCCTCTGCCTCCTGAGTGCTGGGGTTTAAGTCGTTAGCCACCACTGTCCTGCTATTTTGGTTTTTCTTTCTTCATTTTAATTTTTATTTATTTTTTTAGTTTGGTTTTTTTAAGACAGGGTTTCTCTGTGTAGACCTCTCTGTTCTGGAACTGGCTTTGGAGACCAAGCTGGCGTTGAACTCACTGAGATCTGCCTCCCTCTGCCTCCCAAGTGCTAGTATTTAAGGCATGTGCCACCACTGCCTTGATCAGATTATTTAATTCTTTTTACTTTGTATATGCACATTTGTGTGTGTTTGTGAATGTGAGTGCAGTTCCCACAGAGACCAGAAGAGGAAGTCAGACCCACTGGAGCTGGAGTTGGATGTGTTTGAGAGCCATGAAACTTGAGAGCTGGGAACTGAACTCGGGTTCTCTACAAGAGCAGAATGTGCCCCTGACTGTTAATCTATCTCTCCAGCCCTTTAATTTATTTGTTGTTTATTTTAACTTGTTTACTTTTGACCAGGAATTGTGACACATGCCTTTAATTACCAACACTGGAGGCAAAGGCAGGTGGATCTCTGTGTTCACAGCAAGCTCAGTCTAGAAATCTGTCTCAGGGGAGGGCAGAGCCACACAGTGAGACATTGACTCTGGGAGATGAGGACGTAGGTTTCATCTCTGTAGGTTCCATGTGCATAGGAAGTGCACAGAGGGTGGTCAGTGGAAGAGGCAGACCAAGCCGCTGGGAACTGGAGTTCCTGTCCTGTCTAGCTGACAGTGCTGATCCTCCCCTAACTCCGACTCAGATGTCCTGACCTGTAACTGCTTCTGCCCCTTAGGGATCAGTGAAGAGGAAGAGGTTGAATCCAAGGATGCTGCCTTTGAGCCCAAGGCACCCAGTCCGGCCCCGGCCACTTCAGTGAGCTCTGGTAGGGTTCAGGGACTCTTGGCATCCTGTGAGGAGAAAGAAAACACAGCACAAAAGGATACAGAAACAAGGAGACCAGCCTCTGGCCTCGGGGTAGGTGGAACTCAAAATCTGCAGCCCAATCTACAGGGCATTTGACTGGCTGAAGGAGCAACAACCGTGGTGAAAATCTGTGCCCAGCGGTGCATGCTTGCATTTCCTGCAGTCAGAAGGCTGCCAGGGGCTGAGAGGTCAAGGCCAATCTGTACTCCATAAAGAGACTCTCTCCCCTAAAAAACAAATACCCATGGACAGGTGCCAACTTATAGAGACTATAAAGGGAAATTTGGAAGGTCTTCTTTGTAACAGCCCTAGCTGTCCTGGAACTTGCCCTGTAGACCAGGCTGGCCTTGAACTCACAGAGATCAGCCTGCCTCAGCCTCCCGAGTGCTGTAATTAAAGGTGTGAGGCTTTCAAGACTCATTTTATAGTAAACATGATCAAATACTTTGCTAGGCAAGTGCTCTTACCACAGAGCCACACCTGAGCCCTTCACTGGGAGATTCTAGGCAGGGTTGCTATACTACTCAGTAATGCCCCAACAACCTCCCTGGCATGTTTGGCAGGTACTCTGCGTTTACAGGTTCTAGAGTATGATCTCACATTTCGTATGAGCTAATGAGGTTGGACACTTGACTCATCAGCAGATGGGCCAACTTGGTTGGGTGGGTTTGCTGACATGCTTGACCAACAAGAAGCCATGGGTCCTCAAGGGTCATCCCTTAGCTGACAGCCAATCAGTCTTCAGGGCCGAGATGACTGTCCCTCACTCCTGGATTTGCACTTGAGCTAGGATGAAGACCTGGAGAAGAGAGAGGGCTCTGAGGCCTCCGCGTCTACAGGGACAGACAGCGCCCCAGTGGCGTCCAAGGTCTTGCAAGACAATAAGGACCAAAGCAAGCACAGTGCTTGTAACTGGACCTGCCCGCCGCCCCGGCCCCCGGGCCCTCGGCTGGGGGAGGACTTGGAGGCTTATGTGCTGCTCCCCGCCCCTCGAGACCAGGTGGTACAGTGCCGCATCATCCGAAACAAGCACGGCATGGACAAGGGCTTCTTCCCTTCCTACTATCTCTACCAGGAGGGCGCGGACGGTGTGGCAGTAAGCTCCAGCCCTGGTGGTGGGGAGCCTTCCCACTGGGGTGATAGATGAGGGAGACAAGCCCCAGTTTCGAGGAGCATGTCCCTTCTCTTTTTGGACAAGGTTAAAAATTGCTGGAGCCAGATGTGGTAGCATCAAACTATAAACCTAATCATACATGGGAAATGGCGGCAGAGAGGGTCAGAAGAGCAAGGAGGAGTTCAAGGCCAGTCTCCTGACCTAACTGGAGACACTGTTTCAAACTAAAAAAAGAGCCAGGTGGTGGCAGCAGATACCTTTAATCCCCCACACTTGGGGAGCAGAGTTGGAGACCTCTGAGTTGGAAGCCAGCCCTTTCTAAATAAGATCCAAGCCAGCCAGGGCAACACCGTGAGACCCTCTCAACGCTTTGTTTCCCCCTGGACTCGGGTCTGTTTCCCTTACTTAGGACCTGTCAGATCTAAGTCCTACCCACCTCAGCACTTCAAACATTTTAGGACACAGTAGCTCAAGTCCTTCCTACCCTATAGCCAAGCCTTATCCATTCCACCACACCTCCCTCCCACTTGAGTTAAGTGAGTCTCTTCTCTGGGCATCCAACTGAGTCCCAGAGCCCACCCAATTCTGAGATAAACTGGGCCCCTCAAAGCGTTACCATTCTATAGCTAAGCTACACCCCTCTCCCGCTGACCGGTCTCCTCCCAGTGCGGCCTTCTTGGCCTCCAGAAATAGCCCTTCCCTTATTCAGAGCTGGGTTCAGGACACTGGCTCTAGACAGATGTCAAAACTCAATCCTGACGTCTCTTCTCCGATCTGCAGCATTTCCTTCTGGCTGGTCGGAAAAGGAAAATATGCAAAACCTCAAATTATCTCATCTCTCTGGATCCCAAAGATATGTCTCGAAACGGGAACAACTTTGTGGGCAAAGTTAGGTAAGTGAAGCCTTCTTGGTGTGTGGCCCTCCTAGTATGTGGAGAGGCAACAGGTGGCAGGAAGCCAGGGAGAGACAGGCAAATGGACTTCATTTCCCAAGAGGCCGCAGTGCACAACACAGGACCTGCACTAAAGCCTGATGGGTTTTGTAGTTCTGCAGGTTGTATGGCCACCGGTGGGAAAGAAAAAACATGAAAGCTGTGGATGCCAAGAATACAGGCTGGCATTTAAGATGTTTAGTTTTTTGATAGGTACAGGGCTGGGACCCCTCAGTTCCTGTGGGGAAAGAGATCTGGAGTGTGTGAGTTCTTGCTTCCTAGATGGAAGAGGGTTCCCAAGGGTCAATGGAGCATGCTAGAAAGACACAAAAATCTGAGGGCTGGGACTATGACTTCTTTTCTTAAAGGATGGTTTGAGAAAGCACTTAACACAGAGTAGCAATCACTATCTCGGTTTTTGTTACTCTCTCCCTGCCCTCCTGGGGCAGATCCAATATCTTGGGCACGAAATTTACCATCTTTGATAATGGGGTGAACCCTGAGAGGAACTACTGGATCCCAGACAGTACCCGGATCAGAGAGAAGCTGGGAGTTGTGTGTTATGTAAGTATCCTGGCAGGGCCTAGACGAATGGGGGTGCCAATAGGTAAGATAGCATAGGGAGCTAGGCTAACTGCAATATAATCTAATTAATCCTGCAGGAAAGCAATGTCTTGGGGTTCCGGGGACCTCGGAAAATGACTGTGATACTTCCAGGAATGGACAGGCGGAAGCAGAGGATGAGAGTCCAGCCACAAAATGTGAGTTTTAAGGTTGTGACTAGCAATACTAAGAGAGGAGAATGGGTTAGAACCCATGCCTTGCAGGTCACATTGAATGGCTTTGCCAGAGTCCCTTCTAAAGGGACTAGAGACTCAAAATTCTGGGTCCAGGGCTGGAGAGATGGCTCAGTGGTTAGCAGAGCATGTATTGCTCTCCCAGAGGGAGAAGAAAGACAGACCATGTAAGTTGGAGGCTAGCCTCATCTAAATATCAAGTTCCAAGATAGACAGGGCTAGAGAGTGAGACCTTGTTTTTTTTTTTTTTAAATTGGTTTTTATTCACAGCACTAGGGAGGCAGAGACAGATAGATCTCTGTGAGTTTGAAGCCAGCCTGATCTACAGAGCAAGTTTCAGGACACCTAGACTACATAGAGAAACCCAGTCTAAAAACAAAAACAAAAACAAAACAGTTTCTGGAGTTGCCTCCCAGACCCATGTCAGGTGGCTCACAACTGCCTGTAACTCCAGGTCCAGGGGACTTACTGCCCCCTTCTGGGCTTTGAAGACAACTGCACTCACAGGCACATAATCCACATATACCAGCACACATACATTACATCTAATTCAAAGAATTTTTATTCTCTTTTTGTGACAGAGTTTTTCTGTTGTAGCCCTGGCTACCTAGAACTCACTCTGTAGTCCAGGCTGGCCTGAAACTCAGTGATCCTCCTGCCTCTGCCTCCCAAATGCTGGGATTAAAGCCATGAACTACCACCAACCAGTTTAAACTTGGCCAATTTCAAACTGTGTCTAACAATATATGCATAATAGATTATACATAATGACCTGTGTGTCTTTATGAATAAGTCTGTTCATAACGAAAGAATAATTTTTGCATAAATGTATATGTAAATTTTATCTAGGGAGTAACATACATAATATTGGAGATATGGAATCACCACAGGAAGAGAGCTGAGAATATCCAAAGCTCAAAGGTGAAAGAAGTTTCTTCTGTCTGCTCAGTACTCTCATGCATTCTTCTCTAAAGTCCACCAAGGAGAATCAAGTACTGACGACAGTGTTGAAGTCAGAACTCTCCCTCAGAAAAGTCACCACAATCCTGATAAAATCTCTAAGGTCTCCATTCATAGTCATAAACAAAAGGTAGATGGTGAACAGCAAGGACCAGCTGCAAAACGAAAATACAAAATAAGAATTACAAGCTAGGCGATGGCACATGCTTTCAATCCAGCACTCGGGAGGTGGAGCCTCAGGGCTCACTCCATTATCAAAGATGGTGACTTTCGTGTTCGAGACATTGGATCTGCCTCGGAAGGGCAGTGGACAGAGTAATAATAACCGTGATAGTGATCGTTACTCTGTGTTAAGTGCTTTCTCAAACCCATCCTCTTAAAAAAGAAATTACAGTCCCAGCCCTGTCTACAGAGCTAATTCCAGGACAGGCAGGGCTACACAGAGAAACCGTCTCCAAAACCACAAAAGGGTAAACCTGGCAATCTAGAGACACAGTTCTCAAGTAAATAAAAAGGAAATAAATAAAAATAATACGTGCATATGGACTTAAAGGAAGGCTGCAGGTAGGCTAACAAACGATGCCCCTATTGTATCTCCAAGGATCAGGATTCGATACTGAGTCGTCTACAAAAGGGTGCAAGACAAGGGCCGCTCCTACTGCAGAACAAGGCCCCATCCTGGAGCGACGAGAGCGGCGGCTACGTGCTCAATTTTCACGGTCGCGTCACGCGAGCTTCGGTCAAGAACTTCCAGATTGTGCACCCCGATCTACGTGAGCTCTAGGAACCCGAAGACCTGGGCTTGGGGGCGGAAAGGGGGCATTAAGAACAACTACTCCCACTTACGTCTGTGGGCCGGTTCCTAAAGAGGGCGGGAGCCTCGCTGTCGCAAGGTCTCTTGGGAGATGTAGTCTCTAGGCTCCTTGAGTTTCCTAGCTTGGTAAGTGTGCAGCTGCCTGGCGCCATAGGACGGAGTTTAACTAAATCCTATTTCCTGATTTTCTCATCAGCGGACTACCTGGTGCTCCAGTTCGGCCGCGTGGCCCCAAACATATTCACTATGGATTTCCAGTATCCTCTTTGCCCGCTCCAAGCTTTCGCCATCTGCTTATCCAGCTTCGATGGGAAACTGGCATGTAATTGAATAAAATATCATCCCTCACCAGCTGTCCTGTGCGTTTGCAGAAAGCTTCACACCATGCCTCCTTTCTTTTTAGTTTTTTGATAGTCTGGTCTCCAACAACGTAGCTGACCCTGGCCTCGAACACCCCATCCTCCTGCTTCCACCTCCGGAGCGCTGGGATAGCAGGCATGCCCCTTTGTGCCTGGCCTTGTATTTTAATAAATCTTCTCTTTTTAGTGCACATAATAGTGGGCTTCATTTTTATACCTGTCGTCGGGCTTGGCTTTGCTCTATCTACCACCCTCCCTTTATTTTTTTGAGGCAGTTTTCCTCTATAGGTTATGTCTGCCAGTCCTTGGAACTCATGCCAATCCTCCTGCCCCAGCTTCAAAGTGCTGGGACTAGTTGTGTCACTTTACACTATGTAGATCAGGCTGGTCTTAAACTTCGGTTTGGACACAGAACTCATTTTTGCCTCCCTTGAAGATCCAATACACCCTGACGATTTGATCACTTTAAATCAAAAGGCTTTATTTCTTATTAAAAATAAATAAATAACAGGAAACTACTTGGGGTTAGCCACGCCTTCCACCAAAGTCCAGGGTGGCAGGAGGGGCCTCACTGGGAAGGGCAGAGGGTGTGGTCACAGCTTGGCTCAAGGGCGTGGCCTCAGAGGAGCAGCCAGGCCCTGGCTGTGGAGGAGCAGGGGTGAAGGACAGAGGGAGGGGTGGGTTTCCAAGGCGTGCCCAGGCTCTGGACCGGAAGGCAGGGGTGAGGTAAGGACCCAGCTTCTCCTCCACCTGGGCAATGCGGCGGGCAAATCGGCTCCGATCTCGTGCAATCTGCTCCCAGGGACCTCGGCGGGCAGCCTGGGCTGGTCCTGCCCAGACAGCAAGGAAATGGACGGTGACTTTCTCAGAAAAGTGCACCTGGACAGATGGGCAGAGGCAAGAAATAAAAATTAGTCAAGCAGTAACACTTGGTATTTGAACCGTCATCTGCCTGCCATCTGACTGTCCCTGACTCACCCTGACGCCATGAGCCACAACTGCCACTATCCCTGCCTCTTACAGGAGATTGCAGCCGGGTGAACGCAGCCTTCCCATGTAAGAAGTTGCAACACATGGGTCCCTGGAGTCCGCATCTCCAGCACCCCACTTTGGGGATTTCAGGTCCCAGGCCCCTCCTCCTAACTCAGAATATAAGCCCTTTGTATAAATAATATAATATGTATATATATATATATATATATAAAGCACTGTGGAATCTTATTGTAATCCCAGCACTATGGCTGCAAATACCTGAGCTACACATTCTTATAAAAGGTATCCAGCCTCCTGGCACTCACCTTTCTGGTGTGTAGAGGAGTCTGGGAGTCCTGATCCTGGGTGGGTGTTCTGAACAACCTGAGTCTCCTTTGAAGTCGAAGGGGCAGTTTAGGTTCAGGCCAAGGTGGTGCTGGCTTCCCTCCAGGTAAATAGAAGGCCACCTGGAAGAAAGAGGGGTCTGCTTCCACACATCCCTGTGTCTGTTCTCCAGGTAGACAACCCTGGGCCTGAAGGCAAGGGCTCCTGCCTGGGTCAGCTGCTTCTGAATCATCTGGAACCACACTCTCCGAGTCATCTTCTGTGTCCTCTCCTGGGCAGTACACCCAGGTCTTCAGAAAGGCACTTGTATGGGGGGTGGCACAGGTCTCAACTATACTGTCTTCTCCAGCTGACCCCCAATCACTGTCATCCTCATCCTCTGTGTCCTCTCCTGGTCGACACACCCAGGTATTAAGGAAGGCATGTGCAGGAGAGGTAGGGGCAGACAAGGTCTGGCCTTCTTCCTCTTCCTCAGCTGAACCCCAATCACTATCATCGTCCTCGGTGTCTTCTCCTGGGCAGTACACCCAGGACTTCAGGAAGGCCTTCCCACTACAGACAGACAAAGATGAAGCCTCAGCGTTTCCCTCTTCCTCAGCGTCTGCATTCTGACAAGGCTGATCCTGCCCTGCCCCGTGTGCCTCTGGGTTGGCTTCTCCCTCCTGCTTAGAGCCCTCTCCAGAGTGGAACTCGCAGGCTCTGGAGTGGGAGCCTAAAGGAGAGCTGGGCGGGTCAGCTTTATCTTCTGTTCCTTTTCCCTCCGTGGCTTGATGTCCTGCCTCCCCTGGGCAATACTCAGAAGTGCTGGGCTTGTGTCTTGGAATTAGGTAAGCCTTCTTCACAGTTTCTCCATCCTTTTCATCCTCAGCGGGACAACCCTCCCAGTGTGAAGTGGGATAAGCCAGCTCAGTCACTGCCTCTCCTCCGGCCCCCACCTCCCCAAGGCTCTTATCGGCACCTTGCAGGCTAGGCGGCAGCAATACAGGCAGGGTGGCTGTGTGTTCTCTCTCCTGCTCTCTAGGGCCATCCTGTTCTCGCTTCTCACAGTATTCATCATCTGAAAGTCCCCAAGTTTCAGGAGGGGAACTGCTGGCTTGCACATCAAGGCAGGGCCCCTGGGCTGCTTTACCCTCTTCAGGAGCTCCAGTTTCTTCGGCCTCCCCCCGAGGAAGGTGATTCCCAGGGACAAGGGGTGGTGTCAGCAGCGCCTTAGCTTCTATCTGCTCTGCTGCTGGTAGTGTTTCTGCCAGCCAGGGCTCTGGGGTTTCTGGGCCCCTCAGGCGGCTCCAAGCCCGGCTGAGGAAGCCCATCAGTGGAGACAGGAGGTAGAAGGAGTGAGCATCCCTCCAGTGCAGGGTATGCTGGGGTCTTGGGCTTGGGGCCATGTGTCTGGGCTATCAAAAGGAGAAATTGTTTAGAAGCCACTCTGGAAACGGTATCATGCCACAGCCGTGAGTCATGGTAACATAAATAGTCACAGTAGCAACACGAGAATCCATGCCTCAAATTCCTAGCAGCACTGCTCACACCCATCCGCGTCACCTGCTTCTATTGTCTCAATACCCCACAGTCTGGGCCCCGGGTTCGACAACCTCAGAACCAAGAGCCCACCCTCCTGGACCTTTCTTCAGCCCTGTCAACGATTCCTGCCTAGCCCTCCTCAGACCTGCGAGTCTGGCGTCTGAGGACCCCTCTCCCCTCGGGCTTATGTGTTCACGCCCCTAGTTCCTTCTCCTGCCTCCCTCTCGGCCCCGGCCACTCCTCCTGAGTCCTTCCCTTGACCCGGCTCTACACAGGTCCTGGAGTCCTAGATCCGGCCCCCTTCCCTCTAATCGTCGAGTTAACCTCCCTTAGACCCAGGGGTCGGGGCCTGGGCTCTCCCCTCTCAGACGGAAGACAGTATCCGGGGTTCTTCCCCGCTTCCCTCCCCAGCCTCCTCCCCACCCCCGTCCCCCGAAGGCCGCCCCATCCCCCACGCACCGGCGGGCTGCGCGTCACCCCGGGGGCAGGAGCGCCGGTTCGGGCTGCCAGAAGCGGTCGCGGTCGTGGGTCCGGAGGTCTCGCAGGGCCGGCGCGTTCATGTCGCCCTCAGGCGTGGGGCTCGGGGACGCGAGGTGTCACAGGCTGCCGCAAGGAGTGTCCGGACCAAGGGATGCGGGGTCGAGCGGGGTCGAGCGGGGTCTCGCATGCAGTCGTCACAGCTTGAATCCGGGTCAATCGGCGCAGGACCCGCACCTCCGCCTTTATAGGCTGACCGCCGCCGTGTGACGTCACCGGCGGGCGGGGCTTCGGGAGGCCCTGGGAAGGGTGGGAAGAGGAAAACAACCCCCGACTCTCGCGGACTTTCCGGGCTCCGTGACGTCGCCGCCGCCGGTTTCCAGGCGTGGCTTTGGCTCTAGCCGTGCGAGCTGTCAATCTTGAAATAACTTCTGAGCAAGAGCCTGGACTTCCTCAGCCAGGCGCACGTGTTCCCAACCCAGTTCATTTCTTTTCTTTCTATTTCTTTTATTTCCTTATTTTTTGGTTTCTCGAGACAGGGTTTCTCTGTGTAGCTTTGCGCCTTTCCTGGAACTCTCTCTTGTAGACCAGGCTGGCCTCGAACTGACAAAGATCGGCCTGCCTCTCCCTCCCGAGTGCTGGATTAAAGGCGTGCGCCACCACCGCCCGGCTTCTTTTGCTTCTTTTTAAAAAGACTTATTTCTATTTCCGCCGGGCAGTGGTGGCGCACGCCTTTAATCCCAGCCCTCGGGAGGCAGAGCCAGGCAGATCTCTGTGAGTTCGAGGCCAGCCTGGGCTACCAAGTGAGTTCCAGGACAGGCGCAAAGCTACACAGAGAAACCCTGTCTCAAAAAAAAAAAACAAAAAACAAAAAACAAAAAGACTTATTTCTATTTCCTTTGTTTTGTTTTTGTTTTTTGACAGGGACCCATTTTGTATTCCAGGATTGCCTGGAACTTACTCTGCAACCCAGGCTGAACCCCACCTCTGTAGCCCAGGCTGTCCTGGAACTCTCAACAGTCCTACCTCAGCTTTCCTGATACAGAGGTTACGAGTATGACCTCAGTAAATACTGTATGGAGAACACTGCTAAACAGACTTCTTCGCCTTCATAGGCAGGCTTCTGCATCCTTCACTGCTTCAAAATTATATGAAGGCTCTGTTTATGCAATTTGACATTCTGATTGGGCTGCACTCTGGTGGGGGTGGGGCTCTCTTTAAATCCTGGATCTAGATCCAGAGACCCAGTTCCCACCTCCCCTCCTCTCCCTACCTAGTGTGTTGTGTGTGTGTGGTGTGTGTGTGCTGTTGTGTGTGTGTGCTGTGTTGTGGGTATGTGTGTGTTGTGTGTTGTGTATGTATGTGTGTGTGGTGTGGTGTGGGTATGTGTGTTGTGTGTGTGGGTATGTGTGTGTTGTGTTGTGTGGTGTGTGTGTGGTGTGAGTATGTGTGTGTGTTGTGTGGTGTGTGTGTGTGGTGTGAGTATGTGTGTGTGTTGTGTGGTGTGTATGTGTGTGTGTGTGGTGTGGGTGTGTGTGTGTGTGGTGCGGTGTGTGTGTGTGGTGTGGTGTGGGTATGTGTGTGTGTGGTGTGGGTGTGTGTGTGGTGTGTGTATGTGTGTGTGTGTGGTGTGATGTGGTGTGGTGTGTGTGTGGTGTGTGTGTGTGTGTGTGTGTGTGTGTGTGTGGTGTGGTGTGGTGTGTGTGTGTGTGTGGTGTTTCTGGGGATAGATCCCAGGGCCTCACATACCCTGGGGCAATGCTTTCCTGGAGCTACACTCTGAGCTCTGGTCTGTAGTTTGTTCTTCACAATATACAGGCACCATACCTCCCTCCTAATAGGTTATCAGTCTGCCCTGAGGGAAAAATTTCAAACTGGTCACTTAACTCTGTCCTTGCCAGACCCAATATTCTGGGACTGTCTTCCACTCCTTCCAGGACCAGTGCTGACCATCACTGCCTCGTTTGGTCAAGGCCACACTTGTGGACTGTGGATATACAGTCCTGACTTCCAGCTCAGACCTCCCTGGCACCCACCAGCCAGGCTGTATCCCAATTTCCCAAGGTTTCAGGAGTTGGAGTCCTCATTCTTCCAAAGACCCCGGACACCTCTCTTGAAGGTGCCCAGAGCTCAGAACCCCAGTGACAACAAACCCATGTATCCTGGTGTTCAAGTCTCTGCTCCAAACACTGAGGAGTTCCAGCCACAGCTTAGGGGAGCCAGGAGTTGGGGGAGCCCAATCCCTCCCCTTAGCTGTGGGGGCAGCTGAGCCAGGGGTCAGACTGTAGTGGGGAGGCCAGAAGAGGCGGGGACAGCCAGGATTGGGAGGGGAGGCAGCAGCGTGGGCGACTGCCAGAGAGGGAAAGCCCAGCAGAGAGGAAAGAGAAACCGGCAGAGGGAGGAAGAGAGAAAGTGAGGAAGAGCACTTGAAAAAGAAGAAAGGAAACAGGGGTCTGCTCAGGGAGAAAGAGGAAGACTGGGTGTGGAGAGAGGGAATGACGGGGGGAAGATAAGACGGGGGGCGGGGGGGGGGCTAGACAGGAGCAGTAAGGTGAGGAGAGGGACTGGAGAGAGGGGGTGACAGGCAGACCAGGGGAGAAGAGAGAGAGGGAGAGGAGGGTGAGCAAGCCGGAACTCACAACCAGGACAGGGTTAGGTGAGGAGAGACAACTGTGAGAGGCAGTGTCTGAGACACAGAGGTGACAGACCCTGTCACTGGGACACCAGAGCTGGTAAGTCCCTGGCTGGGCTGGGAGGAACTTGTCTGGATGCTCATTCCTGGTGTCGGAGGACTTGTCTCGGGGAGCTGGCCAACATGGTTTGGGGGTTCATGAGAGAAGACGGGGACAGGTAGTCCAGGGCACCCTGAAGGAGGCAGGGAGTAGAATCCCTATGCATAGAGGGGGTCACATTCCTAGCCAGAGTTCAGTGGGCAGGAAGAAAGGAGCCCCTATTCTTATGGCCTGGCTGCAGACAGCTGCCCCCTCCCACAGCTGCCAGAGCCGCCCACCTCCCTTGGCACTGCTCTTGGTATGTGATCCCTGGCCATGGCCTCCCCCCGCCCCTCAGTCCCCAAACAACACTTTCTTTCTCCTCAGCCTTCTCTGACCTCCCATTCCTGACCCCAGCCCTGTCCTCAGCCCCCATCAGTGGAGAGACACAGCCCCTTTCTCTTTCTCCCAGAGCTCTCAGATGGAGCAGGGCCGACCCCGGAGCAGCCTGAGCCTGGCCAGCAGCACTTCCACCACATCGTCTCTGAGCAGCCCGAGCACCAAGGTCCTTGTGCTCAAGATGGGCTAAGGGAGGAGGGGGCGAAGGGTGGTCCTGGCCCGTTCCTAACTGTGGGGTCTGTGCCTCACAGGGACGCCGGTGGTCAACGGCAAGGTTCCTTACTGATTGATTGGGCCTGCCAGACTGGTCCCTAGTTGAGCATCAGCTGCAGCTGGGAATTTAGAGACACTCCCAGCCCTGTCCCCGCCCTTCTCAGTCTCACCTAACTTTAAGTCAGGAGAGCAAACAGACTGAGAGAAGGTGGCTGCTCTTGACAGGACTAGGGGACTTCCTCCCTAGTCTATAACCCTCAAACCCACCCACTCACAACCAGACATGGTGGTTCACAACTGTAATCCAGTACTGAGGAGGTGGAGGCAGGAACACAGATCGGGCAGGTGAGACCCTGTCTCATGCAAGACAACAAAATCCCAAGCCAGAGCCAGCACTGGGGAGGCAGAGGCAGGTGGATCTGGGTGAGTTTGAGGCCAGCCTGGTCTACATAGTGAGTTCTAGGACAGTCAAGGCTACAGAGTGAGACCCTTTCTTGAAAACAACAACAACAACAAAAAAAACACATGACAGAACAAGCCAGGTATGGTAGAACACACCTCAAATTCCAACAGTCTAGAAGTAGAGGCAGGAGGATCTGAAATTCAAGGTCAACCCTGGTTACATAGTGATTTGAGGATAGCCTGAGCTACATAAGTATCACCTAGGACAAAATTCACTACACTCCCTTAAGTTCAGAGCCCAGACAGAGATTTGGTCCAAGGCAGCCTGTGTTTCGACAGGTGCCCTTGTGAGGGAAGAGAGGGATGAGAAGCCCCATCTCCACTTGAACTTGCTTGCTGAGGATCTCTCTGCTGCAGCATCAAAGCTATCCTTCTGTGCTTTCATTTACTGGGACTTCTGTTTGGAAGGTGCTCCTGTGGAGAACTCCCAGCCCACACTCCCAGGTGGATTGCAGAGGTTCTTTGGCATCCCTGGCTGTGGTGGCCAAGAGCGTGTTCTTGCTGGGGACACCTCTACAGGGTCTAATGGAGCCCAGGCTGAACTTGAACTCCCCATGTAGCAAAAAAATGACCTAAAACTTGTTGTCGTCAGGGTCTCACTCTCTAGCCCTAGTTGTCCTGGAGCTTTCTCCGTAGACCTGGCTGATCTCAAACTCAGAAATCTGCCTGTCTCTGCCTCCTGAGTGCTGGGTTTAAAGGTGTGCAACATCACCTTGACCTTCCAGTTCTGCCTCTGCCTCCAGAATGATGGGATTAAGGTGTGAACAACCACCCTTGGTTTATGCAGTGCTGGGATTTGAACTCACACTTCATGTATGATGAGGAAGTGCTGTGTAAACAGAGCTAACTTGTGTTTTTTGTTTGTTTGTTTGTTTCAAGACTTGGTCTCAAACAGCAGACTGTCCTGGCACTCACTATGTTAAGTCCTGACCCTCCTGTATCAACAGAATGCTGGTTTTACAGCCATGTGCCACCATCCTCAGCCTCCTTGCCTGGCGTCTAGCCAGTGCCAGGAGAAGCCCTCATTCACTTCTGTTCCTATTGTACCTCAGAAGCCTACTCGTGCCGTACATAAGGTCCATGCCTTTGGGAAAAGGAACAACGCACTTCGGCGGGACCCCAACCTGCCCGTGCACATCCGTGGCTGGCTGCATAAACAGGTAAGGCTGGAGGGAAAGCTGTGGTCCCTGGATGCTGAGTCCTGCTCCTGAGTTTCCTTCCACACTCCCGACACGATACGCTTCTTCTGCCTCATCCTCGACCTGCTACTGTTCCCTCCACACCTTACCCATTCATTCCCTGTCTGTGTTTGAATATTTCACGTTCCTGGCTCCAGGACACGGGGTATACACATATAAGATGAACAAGTATCTAAGCCATATTTAAGATCATCAAAGTGGGCTGTAGAGCATGATGGCATGCGCCTTTAATCCCAGCACTCCTGAGGCAGAGGCAGACAGGTCTCTGTGAGGCAAGTCTGGTCTACATTGCAGGACAGCCAGAACAACATAGAGAGACCCTGTCTCAAAAAAAAAAAGATAACAAGAAGATGATCAGGGTGAGGCAAGAATTGTGTAATGGATTAGTAAATAAATAAACGGACATGCCTATAATCTCATTACTAAGGATACAGAGGCAGGAGGACCTTTTAGCTACAGAGCAAATTCAAAGCCAGCCTGGGCTACTTGAGACAAACAAAACCCACAAAATTTTGAATAGGCTGTTAGGAGTTTGTAGAGAAGGAACAGCACATGATAGGGAACCTTTTACATCTTAGGCTTTGAACATTTGCACAAAGTTCCTGTATATGAAACCTCTGTGGTGAATCACCTCAACCAAACCTTCCAGAAATTTCTAAAACCTCCATGGGAAGTCAGGTCCTAGTAGAGGTATAGAGGTATGACTTTCCTTTTCTTTCTTTCTTTCTTTCTTTCTTTCTTTCTTTCTTTCTTTCTTTCTTTCTTTCTTTCTTTCTTTCTTTCTTTCTTTCTTTCTTTCTTTTTTTAGACAGGGTTTCTCTGTGTAGCTTTGGAGCCTGTCTTGAAACTTTGTAGACCAGGCTGGCCTCGAACTCACAGAGATCCGCCTGCCTCTGCCTCCCGAGTCCTGGGACTAAAGGTGTTTGCCGCTGCCACCACCACCCTTCGGGGTAATACTTTTCTAAGGTATAGTTTAAAATTGGCCAAGCTTACGCCGGGTGGTGGTGGCGCATTCCTTTAATCCCACCACTCAGGAGGCAGAGGCAGACAGATCTCTGAGTTCAAGGCCAGCCTGGTCTACAGAGCGAGTTCCAGGGCAGCCAGGGCTACACAGAGAAACCCTGTCTCACGGGGGAGAAAGTGGCCAAGCTTAGAGCCAGATGCGATACCACTCAATCAGGCCCCCAGCTTTCAGCTATATGAATCCATCAAACCAACACATGCCTATGCCCCGCCCCCCAGTCCCTCTGCCCGCTCCCCCTTTCCTCTCTCCCTCTCACCCATGTGCCTGCCTCTCTCTGGGTCTCTGCCCCCCATTTCTCTTTCCTCCTGGCTCTCTGGACTTTGTCCCCGTCTCCCCAACCCCAGTCTCTGTGCCCCCGGGTCACTTTCTCTATCTAGCTTTTTCTCTCTTCAGCCTCTCCCTTGTCTCTCTCCCTAGGATAGCTCAGGCCTCCGGCTGTGGAAACGCCGTTGGTTCGTCCTCTCCGGCCACTGCCTCTTCTACTACAAGGGTCAGTGTCCCAGCTGCCCCCTTCCCACCAGAACCTCTCCCTCTCGGGCTTCCAGCTGCCCTGACAGCTGCCTGACCTCTGCCCCCAACTCCTCTCTGCAGACAGCAGAGAGGAGAGTGTCCTGGGCAGTGTACTGTTGCCCAGCTACAGTGTCAGGCCAGATGGGCCAGGAGCCCCACGTGGCAGGCGATTCACCTTCACCGTGAGTATGTTTGTGGGTGCTTGTTAGGTGGTAGGCCCGAACTTGAGGTGACCATGCCTTGGGGCTTCCACATTTGAAGAGGTCTTACCATGCTTGCTCTGAGTTCTAGTCCCAAGCCTCTGTCCCTTGCAGGCGGAGCACCCAGGCATGAGGACCTATGTCCTTGCAGCTGACACACTGGAGGACCTAAGAGGCTGGCTGCGGGCTCTGGGCAGGGCCTCTCGTGCTGAGGGGGAAGACTGGTGAGTGAAAGCCAGGCTTGCTCCCCATCAAGCTCCTCCCTTTGTAGGACAGTCATTTAAACATGCAATTACTAATTATCTCCTAATAGACCCTACCATGAAAGACACCAAACCCCAACACACACACACACACACACACACACACACACACACACACACACACACACACGCAAGGAACTTCCTCCAATAGCAAAAAGGTTTTCTCTTTTAAGATCTGCCCACCTGCAGGCCGGGCGGCTGTGTGTAAGCCTTTAATCCCAGCACTGGGGAGGCAGAGCCAGGCAGATTTCAGTGAGTTGTGAGTTTGAGGCCAGCATGGTCTACAGAGCGAGACCCAAGACAGGAACCAAAAGTACACAGAGAGACTATCTTGAAAAACTGGGGGGGGGGGGGGGGGGGGGGGGAGATCTGCCCACCTGCTTGTCCAGCCTGACTCCCAACTGACGTACTCAGCAGACATTCTCAGCTCTGCCCAAGGAGTTAGAAACATTTTCCACTCTCAGAACACCAAGTCTTGGCTAGTAGTGTCTACTAAACAAAGTCAGCTTGGAGGCCATGCCACATTTTTAAAAAGACTAGTTTCTTTTTATTTCAAGTGTGTGTTTCTTAGCATGTATGTATGTGTACCACATATGTGCATGGTGCCCTCAGAGGCCAGAAGAGGGTGTCAGATCCCTTGGAATTGGGATTACAGTTGTGAGTTGCCTCAAGGGTGCTAGGAATTGAAGCCAGGTCACATTAAAAAATGTCTGTAAATGAATTTATTTATTTATTTTTACTTCTTTTTTTTTGAGGGAGGAGCTATATAGTCCTGGCTGTTCTGGAACTCTATGTAGACCAGGTTGGCCTTGAACTCACAGAGATCTGCCTGCCTCTGCCTCTGGATTAAAGGCAGGCATGTACAACCACACTATTTTTGTTTTTTGAACAAGGTCTCAAATAGTCCCGACCAGCCTAGAACTCGCTGTGTAGTTGATCACCTTGAACTTCTGACCAGGCTGGTTCCACTTTTCAAGTGCTCGAATTCCAGATGTGGGCTGCCACACCAGTGCTGTAGGAACTTGTCCCCAGGAACTCTTGTATACCACTAGGCAGGCACTCTACCAACTACGCCATACCCCCAGCCCTGTGTGAGTTTTTGTTTGGTTGGTTGTGTGCCTGTGTGGGTTTGTAAACATGAGTTTGGTTGCTGGTGGACGTCAGAGGTGTTGGGTCCCTCTGGAACTAAAGTAGTTAGAGGTGATTGTGAGCTGCCCAATGTAGGGGCTAAGAGCTGAACTTGGGTCCTCTGAAAGAGCAGCAAGCACTCTTAACGGCTAGGCTACCCCTCCAGTTCCTGCTTATTTACTGGCGATTGAAGCCAGGGTTTCATACTTTAAGCAAGCTGTCTAGTACTGAGCTACCTCCCCAGCCCTATTTTTGAAGTAAGTAAGTGTGTGTGTGTGTTTGTGTGTGTGTGAGTGTGTGTACAACTGCATATGCCTGTGTCAGTGCATGTGGAGGCCAGAGCAGGGCATCGGGTGCTATTTTCTATTGCTGTCCATCTGTAAACAGGTCTCACTGAGCTGGAAGCTTGCCTTATTAGTTAGGCTGGCTGGCCCATAAGCTCGCAGGGTCTAGCGTCTCAGCCCTCCAGTTTCCTTGGGTATTGACACACAGAGCCATGCCCAGCTGTTCGTTTGGTTGGTTAGTTTTGGGTTTTGTGACAGGGTCTCACAGTATAACCCTGGTTGACCTGGAACTCAGATCCACGTGCCTCTGCCTTCCCAGGGCTGGGATTAATGTGTTCCTGACCGTTCTTGGGAGACTAAAGCTGGATAATCACAAAGAATTCCAGAACAGCCTGGGCTATAAAGATGCTTGCTTCAAAATGACATCACCTCACTCCCCAATTCCTCCCCCCCCCCAATATCAGACTGTCTCAGGCATCTTCCCAGCTTGCCCCAGTTTCTAGACCACAGGACACTGAGTCCTGTACCAGTAGACCCAGTGACCTTTTAGGAGCAAGAGTGATATCGCTCTATATGCCCGTTTGCTAGTGGACTACCCAGGTCACCTGTACGACCCCAGCCCGGGGAAGGCCCCGGGGGCCCCGGGGGGCCCCCAGAGGCGAGCAGAAGGGAAGAGGGGCGCATCTCAGAATCACCAGAGGTAGCTCGGCTCTCCAGAGGTCGTGGCAGACAAGGAATGTACGCGTCCAGCCCTGCAGCTGATCTTCAGTCCGACACGTGGAGCAGGAGGACCAGGAGCCCAGAGTAAGTAGGAACACGTTGGGAGCTTAGGACCGAGCCCTGTCATTATCAGGGCGTGCCATAAGAGTTGGGCCAGTTGCTGGTTGGTGGTCTAGGAAAGAGGAGCCAGTTGGAGGCGTGGCTTAAGGGAAGGATGAGGCCTCCAGAGACCTTGGTGGTGGCTTGGTCCTTTGCAAGCGGATGCAGGTGTTCCCAAAGGGACTCACCCACACTTTGCCCAGCAGAGAGGGGCAGGGAAGCCAGACATCCTTGATGGGTAGCGGACTGGGAGCAGGGGCTCCGACTAACTCGGTTCCCTGATTCTCTCCTCTCCATAGGCTGTTCTCATCCCTCTCCCGCCCGCCCTCCCCTCTGAGCCTTCCCCGTCCTCGTTCTGCCCCGGCGCGGCGACCCCCTCTCTCAGCAGGAGACATATCATTTCCCGCCCGGCCTCACACTCCCCTGAGTCGCATTGATGTCCGACCTCCTCTGGATTGGGGACCCCAAAGACAGACCCTCTCCCGACCTCCCACTCCGCGCCGAGGACCCTCCTCCGAAGCAGGCGGAGGACGGCCACCCAGGAGTCCCCAGCCCCGGAGACAGGAGCCTAGAACTCAGGTGCGCGGAGAGAGCGGGCTGCGTTTCCCGTCAGGCTTCAAAGCTCTCTTTCCAGGCCAGTAATCGAGTCACGCCTCATGGACATTATGGGGATCAGAGTTCACAATGCAACTGGTTTTCCCAAATCCAAGGCTAGTGGATTTCAAGTCCCATCAGGCCTCAGGATTACTGGCGTGCCATTGTTCCTGTGCATTGTGGGTATTGTAGTCCACAATGCGCTACATCAAACTGAGGCATAGTTTGGTTTCCAGTTATTATTTCAAGATAGCCAGCCTCTTGATAATTTCTCTAAGACTCACAGATTTATAGCCCAGAATATCTGCAGCTAACTGCCCACAGCCCCTAGCGGCTTTGCCAGGCTCGTCCATTTACCCTGTGTGTGTGGAGCCAGTATAGTTGAGGACGTGTGTATGTGCTCCAAACCAGAGCCTGGCCATTCTAGGCAAGTAGTCTACCACTGACCTACTCCCCAGTACCTTTTTTACTTATTTTTTTGAGACAGGGGGGTCTCCCTAAGTTGCCCAGGCTGGCCTTGAACTCACTCTGTAACCTAGGCCTCCAGAGTAGCTGAGATGACAGCCCGTACCACTAGGGCCTAACAAGACGCTTCTAAGCATTTTTTTTTTTTTTTTTTTTTTTTTTTTTTTTGGTTTTTCGAGACAGGGTTTTTCTGTGTAGCTTTGCGCCTCTCCTGGAACTCACTTGGTAGCCCAGGCTGGCCTCGAACTCACAGAGATCCGCCTGGCTCTGCCTCCCGAGTGCTGGGAGAGTGTTGGGATTAAAGGCGTGCGCCACCACCGCCCGGCTTTTTTTTTTTTTTTAATTTTTTAAAGATTTATTTATTTATTATGTATACAGTGTTCTGTCTGCATGAATGTCTGCAGGCCAGAAGAGGGCACCAGATCTCATTACAGATGACTGTGAGCCACCATGTGGTTGCTGGGAATTGAACTCAGGACCTCTGGAAGAGCAGCCAATGCTCTTAACCTCTGAGCCATTTCTCCAGCCCTGCTTCTAAGCATTTTTATTTCAGTCTACCCAGGCCTCTTCTGGTTCTTCCACCTATCTCCAGCTGCCCCCAAGACCCCCTGGGACCCGGGCCTCCATGATTTTGCTGGTAGGTTTCTTGCAGCCCCAGGAACCCACTAGACTCCCTCTCTCGCTCGACCTCCCCACTCCCCAGGATGGTTGTCTCCTCGACAAGGAGCCTTGAGAAAAGACCATTCGGGAGCCTGGGTAGGTTCTCTTCCTGTTTTCCCATGGCTGATGAAACAAGGCATTGAGTGAAAAAGTGAGCACATGATTCTGCCTAGGTGTGGGTCGAGGAGAAGGTTTATTGTGGATATGAGGGAGAGAACAGTCAGAGGCATCTGGAGGAGTCCACACTGAACAGGGCCATGGGAGGAGAGAAAGGGGCGGGGGAGACAGGAAAAGAAAGCCGAGGACGAGAGACCAAAAAACCGTGTGGCTGAGGTTATATAGGAATCAGAGACGCTGGCCGAAGGGAAGGGAAGCTCCGGGGTTGGAGAGGTTCAGGTTAGGGGTGGGATGCATTGCTGAGGCTGCTGGCCAGCATCCTCTTTGCTGTGTTAAGTAGGCACCTCAGCCTTTTGCCCCCAGTTTCCTTGAGACCTAACAAGTGTCACTTGGAATTCATTCCCACATTGTTCTTGCTGTAGTGTTCAAAACCACAGGGGAAGACCAAAGATTTAGACAATTCAAATTTGGATTTAAGGAACTGATTCTTACTGCTAGCAGAGAAGATGACAGCCTTAGGGCCAAAAAGCATGCCGTGCCAAAGGGGGCTGACGGAAGGGTTTATAAAAATGGGCATCAAAGCCCTTTGACCCTGGAATTTTCTCCTCCTTAGCCAGGCCCCCCAGCAGACTCAACTTTGCATCAGAGCTTGGAAACAGACGTAAGTTCTCCCAGATCCAATCCCTGTCCAGTTCTCAGAGTCGAAGAGAAAAAGGTCTAGACCAGCTGTTCTCAATCTGTGTGGGTCCAGACGCCCTGGGAGTTGTGTGTATCAGATGTTCACGTTACAGTTCATAACAGTAGCAAAATTACAGTTATGAAGTAGCAACAAAGTAATTTTATGATTGGGGGTCACCACAGCATGAGAAATGTATTAAAGGGTCGCAGCCTTAGGAAGGTTGAGAACCACTGTTCTAGATGGAGCTGGGAGGGGAAAAGCCAGGTGGGGTCCATAAACGCTTCCTTCTCAACTTCTCCCAGACCCTGTTGACCAAGCTGTGTGGGCAGGACCGGCTCCTGAGGCGGATCCAGGAGGATCTGGACAAGAGGCAGGAGGAGAAGGTGCAGCAGGGAGGGCGTGAGCTGCTCCTGTCTCACCCAGGCGTGAGGGTCGAGACGCTTCCGAAGTCTGACCACTGTTCTCTGTGCAGGAGCAGCTAGAGGCAGCCTTGGAGCTGACTCGGCAGCAGCTGGGCCAAGCTACCAGGGAGGCTGCGGCTTCGGGGAAGGCCTGGGGTCGCCAGCGCCTTCTGCAGGACCGGCTGGTGAATGTGAGGGCAGCTCTGTGTCACCTAGCTCAGGTGCGCATCTGGGAAGGGCAGGACTCTCAGGCTTGTGCCTGCTGCAGTGGAGACTGTATGGGCTTGAGGGTCACGCTTGAATCATCAGCCAGGTCACATTTTCAAATCTGTAATCTTTTAAAAATGTGTTCTTATTGCGTGTGTGCGTGTGCGCGTGCGTGCGTGCGTGCGTGCGTGCGTGCGTGTGTGTGTGTGTGTGTGTGTGTGTGTGTGTGTGTGTGTATGTGTGTGTGTGTGTGTGTACATGCACACCAGCGTATCCCATGGCATCCATGAGAGGGTCAGAGGACAACTTGAAGGAATCGGTCTCATCTTCCACCCTGCTGGTCCTGGGGACCAGACTCAGGCCACCAGACTTGGCAGCAAGTGCCTTTATCAAATGAGCCATCTTATGGCTTCTTTAACCCATAATCTTGATCATTATAGGTGAGGGGCAAGCAACCAAGCAGTAACGAAGCTTTAGTAGCTTAAGAGGATGATGATGATGATGATGATGATGATGATGATGATGATGATTGTTTTATTGAGACAGGGTTTCTCTATGTAGCCCTGGCTGTCCTGGAACTCACTATGTAGATCAGACTGGCCTTAAACTCACAGAGATCCACCTGTCCTTGCCTCCGAGTGCTGGGATTAAAGGTGTGTGCCACCACATCTGGCCAAGAGGATGATTTTTACAATGAGTTATTATTTTCTATTATACGTATGTGTATGTGCATATGAACATATATGTAGGGTGTTGGGTGTTCTGTGTTGCATGGGTCAGTCGATGAAAGAGAGTCACTCCAAGATGTAATTTAGGCTCTCTATGGCAGCAGGGAGGAACAGTTTCTACCAGCTGAACCCCAAGCGGCCCTGCAAAGGTGTATTTATTGATTGTTACACAAAAGTTGTTTTTTGGGTAAAACAAGTTCGTCATCCCAAAGCCCTGATCTAATCTGTGTTTCGTGAAGGAAAACATCACAAGCCTGCAGCTTTGGTCCTTATTGCTCTGTGTGCTGTTTGCAGTACCTGATAATGCAAGACACTCCGGGTGTGCCAGGACTGTCTTGTGACCAAAGTCACGCAAAGGCTGTCAAGCTCCTTCAGAAAAACAGCTCTGTAGATAGGAGAAAACAATCTCGTTTTCTACAGTGATTCCTTCAAGATCTAAGGACTTCTGCATAACAACTATTCATTTGTTTACCCTAGATATAGTGAACACCACTATCTCCTTCTCATGTTGAGATACTCTCCTAGATTTCCCACTCCACGCGTACATGTGAACCCAGGCCCTCAATCACAAGATGATCTGATTTGACTTCATCGTATTTTTTAAAATAGTCTCACTATGTATTCCCAGCTGGCCTGGGACTCACAGAGTTCTGCTTCTTCTGCCTTCCTTCTGCTGGGATTTAAGGCATGTGCCACCATGCCCTGCAAAGTGAAACCAAAGGGATAGCTTTTTGTTGTTGTTGTTGTTGTTGTTATTACTTATTCTGTGTGTTGGCTTGATGAGATGTCTCAGCAGGTAAAAGCACCTGCCCCCAAACCTCAGGACCTGATTCTCCGAACCCACATGTCCGAAAAGAGAGCCAACCCCCACAAGCCATCCTTCCCACTCACACATAAAAATAAACATTTAGAAATGAATGGTGTGTACATGTGCCAGTGTGCTGGTGGGTCAGAGAACAACTTGGAGGAGCTGGCTCTCGCCTTTCACTGTGTGGTTTCTGGGGATGGAAGAGGTCTTCAGGCTTGCTACCAAGCACCCTTTCCTGCTGACCTCACTCGCTCTCCGTAGGTGATTTGACATGGGCTTTCTGGCTTTCAACGAACTCTCCCTCAATGTTACTATGACCTTAAAAAAGTTATCTAAACATTCAGGGCATTTCTCTAGATAAGAAAAAATAGTATTTGAAGAGGCAGAAGATTTCTGTGAGTTCGAGGTCAGTCTGCCTGGTCTATAGTGAGTTCCAGGACAGCTAGAGTTACATAGTGAGACCGTCTCAAAAACAAAAAAAAAAAATGTATTGGAGAGATTGCTCAATGGTTTAGAGCACTTTTGCTCTTCTAGAGGACCTGGGTTCAATTCCCAGCACCCACATGTTGGCTCACAGTCATCTGTAACTCCAGTTCCAGAGGATCTGACATCCTCTTCTGTCCTCCATGTACACAATGCACACACATACACACAGGCAAAACACTCATACATATAAATAGACCTAAAAATTAACAAAATAAATAGTATCTATTTCATATGATCCTTGTGAGGACTGTGTTAAAACACAGAAATGAACAGATACTTAAAATTTTTCTGTGGGCTGCTAGGCTGCATGGCTTTAAGGATCCACCCATGTCCACAGGGATCACATGTGGCATATGGCCTGGGGTTCCCAGTAGTTTAGACAAAGAAGATCGTGGGGTTGAAGTCCATCTGGAGTGAGACGACGTGGAGGGAGCCTCCCTCTTCCTCAGCTGGGGCAAGATCTGGTGGTTTGAGGGACTAATCTTGTTTCTCCCCCTTTTCTGGGACTTTAGGAGCGAGAGCAGGTTTGGGACACGTACAGCGGCCTGGAGCAGGACCTGGGCACCTTAAGGGAGACTCTTGAGTACCTCCTGCACCTCGGGTCCCCCCAGGTACACCCCCACCCTCCCCTCCCTGCCCACAGCACCAAAGCCACCTGGGAACTGTGGACGCTCCAGCAGTGTCTGGGAGCCAGAGTCCCACCCATTCGATTAGTGACTTTCCTCTTGATGTGACCCTAATACAGGCAAGAAGCAATCATGGGAAATGTGTTATGTTAGGTTGTGTTTTGGTTTATGTTTGAGGATATGGTTCTTCACTGTGAGGGAGGTAAGGCAGAGTTCATGTTGGCAGGAGTAGACGAGGATTTCTCAAATCTCAGCGGATCAAGACACAGAGAGTCAGGGCTGGAGAGATGGCTCAGTGGTTAGAAGCACCTGCTGCTCTTGGATAGCACCATAGTCCAGTTCCCAACACCCACATGGTGGCTGTCAATCATCTGTAATTACAGCTCCAGGGGATCTGATGCCCCTGGTCTCCACATGCACCTGCACTCAATGCACACACTCACATGTAGACACGCACATCTACTCATATTTAAAATAATAAAAATAAACCTTTAAAAAAGAGAAGAGTCGAGAAATGCTGGCATCCCTCCAGCTCACTCACTCTCTAGAATGCTTTAGTCTAGAATGCTCTGCTTCCTCTATTACATTTTCAGATTTATTACTTTTTATTTATGTGTTTGTACATATATTTACGTGTGTGCGCGCGTGCACGTGTGCACACGCGCACCCTTGGAGGCCAGAGGAGGGTGCTGGATTCCCTGGAACTGGAGTTACAGTCAGTTATATGTTGTCTGATGTGGGTGCTGGGAACTGAACTTAAGTCCTCTGGAAGAGCAGCAAGTACTCTTAACCCCTGAGCCAGCAACCCCCACCCCCCAAGGTCTGTCTATTAGGTAGCTGTGGATGTCCTGTCCTGGAACTGACTGTGCAGACCAGGCTGGCCTTGAACTCATAGAGATCCACCTCTCCTTTGGCTTTCTCTTGTGTCTCCTTTATTCATTCTGGGATCCCAGCCCATGGAACAGTGTGACCTAAGGTCAGTGTGGTCTTCTCCCTCAGCCAGCCCTCTCTGGAAATACTCTTAGACCCAGCCTAACCATCAGACAGTCTGTCCCAGGCTGCTCCTCCTTCCTTTCTAAGTCCCCTATTGTCCTAAAGACCTAGTTTCAGAAAGCCACTCTCTGGCTGCTTCGAAATGTCTCCTCTCGAGTGAAGCCCTGCTTGTACTGTTAAATGCTACGACTGAGCCCCGTCTCCTTCCACCCTGAAAATTCATGTCTAGCGCCTACTTCCAGTCAGTTGCTGTTAAATTTATCCTTGGGAGTTTTCTGTGCTCCCTCTTTCTCTCTCTCTCCCCTTTCCCAGCTTTTCTCTCTCTTCTTCACTCTTATTTTGTGTGTAAGTGTGTGCAGGTGTGTGTGTGTACTTGTGGAAGCCAGAGGACCTTGTGCACCTTGTTTCTCAGACTGAGTCTTATTGGTGAAATTATTCAGGCCACTCCACGTAGTTAGAAGGGAGGTTTATTTTGTGGGGTAACTTACAAGTGAAGGGATAGTTTACAGGGTCTGGGAAAGGTGTGGCGCAGTCCGGCAGTGTTCTCTGGAGAACTCTGCTCGGTCTACCTCCAGCGTCCAGGGTCCAGGAACCAAGAGAGCCGGCGCATCTGGATCTCGGGTCTTCAGGGCCCTCCCTTGGCCCCACCTTGTAAGCGTGACAGTTACTGAAGCCTCAATGGGGGTTGGAACTTCCAGACCAAAGCTGGAATGGCTAACCACTACAGAGTCTCATATTGGTCTGTTACTCATCAAGTGGGCACTAGGCTCCTCCGCTAGCGAGCCCCAGGCATCTGCCCGTCTCTGTCTCCCCAGTGCTGAGGTTACCTGTGCCTCTGGTCTGGCTTTGTGAGTTTTAGGTATGAACTCAGGTCCCCAGGCCTGCACAGCAAGCCCTTTGTGGACAGGGCCGTTTTTCTTGCACTCTCTGTTTCTGTTGTTGGTTTTTTGGGGGCCGGGGGTGGTATGAGACAGGGTTTCTCTGTGTAGCCCTGGCTGTCCTGGAACTGGTTCTGTAGACCAGGCTGGCCTTGAACTCACAGAGATCCGCCTGCCTCTGCCTCCCGAGTAAGTGCTGGGATTAAAGGCCTGTGTCACCATGCCTGGCTTTCCTCTGTTGGTTTTTTGAGACAAGACTTCATATTGTAGCCATGGCTGGCCTTGAAATACATAAGCTAATTTGGCTAGAAAAGAAGGTGATCCTCCTGCCTCTGTCCCTCAAGTGCTCATCACATTGGACCTGTTTTAGGCCTGATGGAAGCAGCCCGTTGTGTGCACCTGTGTGCTTGGCCGCTCGCCTCTTTCCAGGGTCTAACCTGAGCTACATAACTCCAAATTATGTCTGGAGGGATGTACACCTGTAATGTAGTCCAAGCAACCAGGAGACTGAGGCAGCAGGATTCCAAAACGAAGAACAGAGCTGGGGTTTTCAAACCAAGAGCTCAGCTGGTCAAACTCTTGCCTAGCATGCACACAGACCTGTGTTTAAGTCCCAGCACTGTGTACTGCAGGTGCTGTAGCTCAGGCCTACAACTCCAGCACTCAGGAAGTGTAGAGACAGGAGCATCACAGGTTCAAGGCCGTTTTTGGCTACGTAATGAGTTCAAGGCCATCATGACATATACATGAGAACTTGTTTCAAAAAAACAAGAGGGCTGGAGAGGTGGCTCAGCAGTTACTAGCACTTGCTGCTCTTGCAGAGGACCCAGATTTGATACCCAGCACCCACATTCTTCTGAAACTCCAGTTCCAGGGGATCTGACACCCTCTTCTGGCCTCCTTGAACACCAGGCATGCACATGGTGCACAGACATACATGCAGGCCAAACATCCATACACAATTTATTTATTCATTTGTCTACATCTATCTATCTATCTGTCTGTCTGTCTGTCTGTCTATCTATCTATCTATCTTTTGGTTTTTCAAGAGAGACAGAGTTTTGCTGTGTAGCTTTGGAGCCTGTCCTGGGACTCGCTCTGTAGACCAGGATGGTCTCAAACTCATAGAGATCTGCCTGCTCTATCTCCCGAGTGCTGGGATTAAAGGTGTGTGCCACCACCGCCCACCACAATTTATTTTTTTTTTATTTTATTAAAGATTTATTTATTTATTATGTATACAGAAGAGGGTGCCAGATCTCATTACAGATGGTTGTGAGACATCATGTGGGTGCTGGGAATTGAACTCAGGACCCCTGGAAGAACAGTCAGTGCTCTTAACCTCTGAGCCATCTCTCCAGCCCCCACAATTTATTTTTAAGTAAAAAAATGTATTATGAACAGGACATGTCCAAATAAAAAATAATTAATTAAAGGCTTGTTGGACCTGCCATAATGGGACAATGTCTCAAAAACAAAACAAACAAAAAACCAATGGGCTTTATAATGAAATGATAAATACCTACAGTTAAACCTAGCGAAGGGTAGTGTAGCTGGAGAGTTTCTCTCCAGGTCCCACCAAGCCCCCGCAGCCACTCAGACCCAAATAAACACACAGACACTTATATTATTTAAACTGTTTGGCCTAATGGCTCAGGCTTCTTGCTATCTAGTTCTTATATCTTAAATTAACCCATTTCTATTAATCTATACATTGCCACATGGCTTGCGGCTTACCAGTACTCTACATTTTACTTCTCATGGCGGCAGCAGCTGGCAGCATTTCCTGACTCAATTCTCTTCTCTCCATATACCGCCTACACTATACTTCCTGCCTGGCTACTGGCCAATCAGCATTTTATTTATCAATCAATCAGAGCAACACTTTCACAGCATCCCCAGCACTTCCCTTTTCTTTTTTTCAAAAGGGGAGGTTTTAACCTTAACATAGTAAAATTACATCTAACAGAACAATTATCAAGCAAGAATTACAGTTACAGGGTAGGACAGACATTGCTGAAAGCCACAAACATCATTAGTTATCATTAAAGCAGTATAAAACAGGGGCGGGGGAGAAGGCCGCTCTTCCAGAGAACTCTGGGTTCAATTCCCAGCACCCACATGGCAGCTTACACCTCTCTGCAACTCCAGTTCCAGGGGATCTGACCCCCTCACATAGAAACCCATGCAGGCAAAACACCAACAGGGGGGTGGGGGTGGGCAGGAAATGCCTTGACACACTTGTATCTTTAAAAAAAAATGCTGGGGCCTGGAGAGATGGCTCAATGGTTAAGAGCATTGACTGCTCTTCCAAAGGACCCGGGTTCATTTCCCAGCACCCATATGGCAGCTCACAACTGTCTGTAACTCCAGTTCCAGGGGACCCTCACCCAGACATACACAAAGACCACCAATACACATAAAATAAAAATAAATAAATTATTTTAAAAAAAGCTGCATAAAACATAGAGATGTACCATGTTCATAGATAGGAAAAAGCAGAGTGAGATGTAGGCTCTCCAGATCGGTTTCCCCAGTGGCAATGTGCAGGTCTTGTATACATTGGAAAGCGTGGGGCTGGGGCACATGGCTCGTTGGTTATGTCACTTACTGCTCTGTCAGAAGGCTGGGGCTCAGATTCCAGCACCCACGTGGGATGGCTCACAAACTCCTATGACTTTAGCTCCAAGGGATCTGATGCCCCTTTCTGGCTCTGTGGGTACCTCCACATACATTATCACATACCCAGAGAGACACATACATACATACAGATGAATAAAAAATAAATAAATCCTTAAAATTTGGGGGGCTGGTGAGATGGCTCAGTAGTAAAGGCACTTGCTGCCAAGACTGATGGCCTAGGTTCAGGGACCCACATAATGGAAGGAGAAAAACAGTTCCCATATGCAGTCGGACCATAAGTCATACATGGAATTTGTAAATAAAGGACAGAAACAACCAAGACAACCTTCATGCAGCTGCCTTTAGAGCCTTCGGGGTGGGGCCCATCTGCTGCTGCTATCCTTGTATTTTCTCTTCTTGAACAAACCCCTTTCCTTCCCCTAGGACCGAGCAGCTGCTCAGCAGCAGCTGTGGATGGTGGAGGACACGCTGGCAGGTCTAGGTGGCCCCCAGAAACAGCCCCCACATACTGAGCCCAAGTCTCCATCCCCTGCACCCCAAGCAGAGGAGTCCTCGGAGCGGGAGGTGAGATTTCCAGCTCCTCCTCAGTTTCCTATCTCACCTGTCCTAACCCGGTGAGTCCCCCACCCATCTCTTTCCCTTAATCACCTACCAATCCCATGGCAACGGTGGGGGGGCATTGAATCCCCTGAAGTCTGCCATCATGTAAATGCTGGGACTTGAACCTGGGTCCTGTGCAAGAACACTGTGCTCTAACCACTGGACCATCTCTTCAATCCCATCCTCTTCTAATTGCTCCCAGGACCCAACCCCAGGCAATGGTACCCCTTTCAGGCCGGGTCTTATGCTATCAATGAATGTCATCAAGACAGTCCTGCAGACATGCCCACAGCCAAGGAGATCTAGCTATTCCCTCACTGTCCCAGTGTGTGTACACTTTTGTGTGGGTTGTGTACTCATGCCACAGTGTTCATGTGGAGATCAGGGATAATTGTGGGAATCAGTTCTCTCCTTCCACAACGTAGACCCTGGGAATGGAACTTAAATCATCAAACCTGGTGGCAAGTAATCGTATATATAGCTATTTTGGGGGAGGCTATTTTTTGTTTGTTTATTTTTTGAGACAGGGTTCCTCTGTGTAGCTTTGGCTGGAACTTGTTCTGTAGACCAGGTTGGCCTCGAACTCACAGAAATCCGCCTGGCTCTGCCTCCCGAGTGCTGGTATGAAAGGTGAGTGCCACCACCGCCCAGCGTCAGTTTCTAATCTACTCTTTACTATATGTTTTCTGAAGGAGAGCATCACACCTCCACCACTTTAGTCCTCACTGTGTACCATTTGCAGTGCCCAATAAGGCAAGAGCCTCGGGTGTGCCCGGAGCGTCTTGCCACCAAAGTCCTGCGAATGCTGCAACACCCCCCCAGAAAAAGCAATTCTACAAATCATGGAAACCAATCACTAGTTTCCACAATGATTCTTCAAGGTCAAAGTACTTTTAGAAAATAACTGTTCGGGGGCTGGAGAGATGGCTCAGTGGTTAAGAGCACTGGCTACTCTTCAGAGGACCCAGGTTCAATTCCCAGCACCCACATGGCAGCTCACAACTGTATCTCCAGTTCTGACACCTTCACACAGACACACATGCAAGCAGAGACACAAAACACAGGAAACAACTGTTCACTCCAGTGTTTTACCCTGAATGCAGTGACTGCTGGGTTCCTACGACACTATCCATCTGTCTCCTGATTTTCTGTCCACCCCAGCTAGAAAGGGCATCGACACCAAAGGAAACTTCATCAAGTGTGCTTTGGTGAACCACCGAGTTCTTGGGGGTTAATTACAGGAGCACGAATGTGTGAATGTGTAATTCAGAGGCAGCTGCTCCACTGGGAAGCCCCCAGACACCACCATAGCATGGCGCCCAGTGCGTGCTCCTGGGAAGCCGCTCACTGCTCTGAATATTTTTGATGTTGAGCAACGTGTTTAACTTGAGAGGGTAAGAGAGGTTAAGCAACTGGTTCAAAGTCGCACAGCTAATAAGTGGCAGAGATGTGATCTGAAGCCAGTACATCTGGCTCTGAGTTTGTAATCTTAATATTTTCCATGCTGTGCCTCAGTTGGTCAATACTTGAAATAGGAAGAACAACAATATTTGATCCCCTTTTTTTTCCTTCCAGAGCCTTCCAGAGTCACTGGAGCTTAGCTCCCCTCAGTCCCCTGAGGTGGACTGGGGTCGACCCCCGGGAGGTGACAGAGCCCTCCTCAGCCCCCGCCCAGGTGAGCACCCTGGTAGGGTGGGACTGCTCTGTGTCCTTATTCTAAGTCCCTTTCTGTTCTTCAAGGTGTTGGGTCTCCAAGGGTCTCACGGGCGTCCAGCCCTGAAGGTCGTCCACCCTCATCCCCACCGCTGAAAACTAAGGTAGACTGTCTCCGAGACACCTCAAGTCTGCCTCATAACCGTGCTTGACCACCTCTGACCTCCCAACACTAGTTGTGTGAAGATGCTGTGTGATTTGGGGTAGTCACTAAGCCCCTCTGAGCCTCTATGCTTCTCATCTTGGTAACGGCACTAATAGGCTTGCAACGACATGAGATTTAAAACAAAATAAACAGGGGCATGGCTTGGTGGAAGAGCCCTGCTTACAACCCCCCAGTGAGGGGCTGGGGGGAGGCTCGGCGGTGAAGCCTGGGAGGCGGGGGTTCATTCTGCAGCGCCTCTCTGGTGAAAGAGCTGGTATTTTCCACTCGATGTCAAGTTATTGGGGGAAGCTGACATGCCTAGGAGGCGGGACGCTTCCTTCTCCATAAGGTGGGGCAGGTGATGGAAGGCGGCCAAAGACGTGGGTGGGAATGCGACCACACAGGCCCCGGGAAGCCTTTGTCCTCGCTGCTGGTCATGTGTTCGGGGCCAGGGAGGGCACGCCGCAGGCTCTGGAGGACAGGGGCTCGGGCTCGGTGAGGGGGCGCCAGGCTTTGGGTGGGAAGTTCCTAGGGCAGAGAGAAGGAGGAAACCGAAGGTTAGGGTCTCGGTCTGTCTCTCCCCAGGCCCCGGTGGCGCGGCCTCGCATGAGTGCCCAGGAGCAGCTGGAGCGCATGCGCAGAAACCAAGCCTGTGGGCTTCCTCTCCCTCGCCCTGCCTCCCCGGGGCTCCTGACCCTGGGGAGGGCGCTGTCCCCAGCAGGACGCCAGCCTGACTTGGAGCAGAGGGTGAGGAGAGCAGGGTCTTGGACTGGGGAGCAGGGTGGGAGAGCACCTTCTGTTCCTAGATTCAATCTCCCTCCCTCCCTCCCTCCCTCCCTCCCTCCCTCCCTCCCTCCCTCTCTCTCTCTCTCTCTCTCTCTCTCTCTCTCTCTCTCTCTCTCTCTCTTTCTTTTTTTTTTAAGACAGGGTCTCATGTATCCCAGGCTAGCTTTGAACTTGCTACATAGCTAAGGTTGGCCTTGAACTCTGGCCTCCGGCCTCTACCTCCCTTGTGCCATGATTACAAGCTGTGCCACCATACCCGGTTTATACAGTGTCGGGGTGGAGCCTGGTAGGCGAGTGTTCTGTTGATCAGCCACACCCCAGTCCCTGCTGCCTTTCTAAAATGGGAATACTTCCCACTTCCTTGATGTAAACTAAGTCATCCCACCCAGTACTTGTTCCTCCTGCAGTGGGAGGACAGAGTGAGGAGGTGTGTGAGAGGCTCCTGGGGAGTGTAGCACATACTCAGGTTGCCTCAGCCCGGAAAGGGACCTCATAACAGACTTCAGCAGTGATTGCACCCCAGTCCAGCCTGGAGAACCCATGAGGTTTCATGGGGTATGTGAGGGGCTACCTCCAGTAGCAGAAATGACCTAAACACAGCCCCATTGCCAAAGCCCTCCCCGCATGAGTGACAGCTCACCAAAGCTGCAGTGGCAGCGCTGTCTGCAGAACGTGCAGGCACTCAGTAGTTCTGAGAGATCTCTCTGTAGCGGGGCTGGCTAGTCTCCTCTGCCCGCTGCCGTGTTTGCTGTGCCCATCCTTCAGTCGTGGAAGTTTCCATAACTCAGCAAGTTTCAGCTTTCCCAGACATGTGAAGCTGGCTCATTTCCTCCTTCTCAGGATTCTCCCTGCTCCTGCAGGGAATGTTTCAGTTCAGAGGAAACTGCCGTGAACCAGGAGGAACAGGTCTCTCTCGAGTTTCTGTGTTGGAACTCAGGCTCTCTTAGTTGCTATGTGGCACAGAAGAGGCTGTACCTCCTGTAGCTCTCTCTTCCATGCTCCCTGTGCACACACTATGCCAAACTAAATCATGTGATCTGAGGGAGAGGGAAGGGGTAGAGAGACAGGCAGACTGAGTAAGGATGTATCTTTCCTCACCACACCCCTCTCCAGCTAGGCCCTGCTTGCTAATGGCACAATTAGTCATAAACTCCTGTCCTAATGTTAGGAAGAGGATCACCTGGGCCTGAAGGAAGCTGACATATAACCCCATCGATGAAGATTATAGCAGAAGATCCTCAAGGCCATCGTTGGCCGGAGCTGGGAAGGGGAGCATTGACAGAAACAGTGGAGACCTAACACAGTGGAGCCTCAGAGGGGAGGGGAGCTGGAGCCATGGCTCAGTGGTTGGGAGCACTGGCTGCTCTTCCAGAGGACCCATATGGCAGCTCATAACTGTCTGTCATCCAGCTCAAAGTGATTTGACACCTCACACAGACATAAATGCAGACAAACACCAATACACATAAAATAAAAATTATAAACCAAAAGTGAGAAAGAGCAAAGCACCGAGAGGAATGGCGGAGGGCGGGAGGCCAGAGGAGCCTCTTCAGAGAGCAGCCTTCCCTGAGCAGGCCCCTTGAGGAATCTCAGACTCCTTCCCTACAAAAGCATAGGTCTGACTTTTTATAGCTTTTTATAGCCATGGCCAGGCTAAAGGAAGTTCCAGATGATGTGATTTTGTTCCATGTAGTATATGTGACAGGGAGCATGGAGGAGCCACGTGCCACGGATTGTAAGCTGTCAAGTCACAGCAGTGACTCCTTAATTGTGAACTTCAGGGAGGCACGGCCTGATTCAGCCTGTGGAGTCGGGCCTAAAAGCACAGGCCTATGTTCTGTCACTGTGGATGGATTCATTGGTCAGATGAAACATTCTCATGGTCCGATCACATCTCAACAGCACCACAGGCTGGGGACCAATCCTGTGACATATAACCCTCTGGGGATATTTAGATCCAAATCAGAGAAGCTTTTGTAGGGCAGGAGTAGACCCGCTGTAGGTGTGGGCAGGACTTCGGAGGCCTAATGTTCTCAAAGAGGACAGGTGAACTTAAGTAGCATGTCTTTGGGCCATTTCATTCTGAGACCCCCACCTAGCATCACCATAACAATAGGAAGTGGGACATCAGTGGAGCTGATGCACAGCTCCCGCCCCAACCCTGAGGAGATGGAGGCTGGAGGATGAGGGGTTCAAGGCCATCCTCATCTGTATAATGATTGGAGGGCACTCTGAGCTACATAAGAATCTGGCTGAAAAATGTGGGGGCAGCCGGGTCGTGGTGGCACACGCCTTTAATCCCAGCACTGGGAGGTGGAGCCAGGCGGATCTCTGTGAGTTCGAGGTCAGCCTGGTCTACAGAGTGAGATCCAGGAAAGGCACCAAAACTACAAGAAGAAACCCTGTCTCGAAAAACCAAAAAATAAAAAATAAAAAAAATGTGGAGGGAGCCAGGGCGATGGCTCAGTGATTGACTTTGGAGCCTCAGACCGTTGGATAAAGCCTGGGCCAACAGTGAATGCCTGTAATCCCCGTGGCATGGAGATGGGAGGTGGAGATGGGTGGAACCCTGGGAGCGGTGGATCAGTTAGTGTATTGAGTCTTTCTCTGTCTTGCCAGACACCTTCCAAATCAGAGACTCGTTATTAATTTTGAAATCTTGACTGATAGCTTAGGCTTGTTTCTAACTAGCTCTTATAACTTAAATTAACCCATTACTGTTCATCTATGTGGTGCCACGTAGCTCGTGGCTTTTACCTCTCATCCTACATGTCTTGCTTCCTCTGCATCCCGCCTCAACTCCCTTCTTTCCAGTGTCTTCTCTGTCCCAAAAATCCTACCTAGCCATTGGCCGTTCGGCTTTGTATTAAAGTGACACATATTCACAGTATACACAAATATTATTCCACATTTCCCCCTTTTTGTCTAAATAAAAGGAAAGGTTTTAACTCTAACTGCTGAGCCACCTCTCCAGCAAGGTTTTAACTCTAACAAGGTAAAACTATATACAATAAGAACAATTATCAGGTAAGAATTACATTCACAATGTCCAGTCCATTTACATTTGGCATATTCGGAGAAAATACTCCATTATTTATCCTATCTTGATGAGGTCCACAGCTCTGTACCTGATTTACCTTCTATCATAACTAAGGAAAACTGCAACTATAACTCCCAAGTCTTCAACTCCATTAAAGACCCCAAATAGATACAATATTACCTGAGTAAACAGGAAGTATAGTGCAACCCACTTCCAAACCTATAGAAATGACAGACATCTGGCTGACTAGACAGTCACCCAAGGTTCCTGTACAACATTGGGGCAGCCAATCTTCAGCCTACAGGCCTAGAACATCTAGCAGACTCTTCTATGAAGCAGGAATTTTGAAGGACCATCCTGCCTTGTTTTGATAAAGTTCAACAGTCACTTTCTTATGTGTCTTGCAGAATGTCTGGCAGACTTTTTTTTTTCTTTTTTCTTTTTTTTTTTTTTTGAGGGGGGCGGGTTCCAGACAGGGTTTCTCTGTGTAGCTTTACACCTTTCCTGGAACTCGCTCTATAGACCAGGCTGGCCTCAAACTCACAAAGACCACCTGCCTCTGCCTCCCGAGTGCTGGGATTAAAGACATGCTCCACCATGACCCAACTTTCTGGCAGACTTTTCTATGAAGCAGAAATTTTGAAGGACTGTCCTACCTTGTCTTGGCAAAGTTCCACAGTCTTTTTTCTTTGTGTCCTGCTTGTCCAGCTGTACAGCACATTGTCAGCAGTCAAGACAAGCAGTTTCTTACCCAAATGGCTAGTTTTGCCACATTGAATGCAAACTCCATATGAAGTTTCTTCGATGCCCATCGTCTTCTCTGAAGTAAATTGGTGCTGCCAGGAGCAGATGTTTCATTGTCATGAAAAGCTCATTTTTTAAAAATTATTTGGGGTTGGGGATTTAGCTTAGTGGTAGAGCGCTTGCCTAGCAAGCACAAGGCCCTGGGTTCGATCCTCAGCTCCAAAAAAAAAAATATTTATTTATGTTTATTTTATGTGCTTTGGCATTTTGCCTGCATGTTTGTCTGTATAAGGGTGTCAGTTCTTGGAGTTACAGACAGTTGTGAGCTGCCATGTGGGTGCTGGGAATTGACCCTGGGTCCTCTGGAAGAGTAGTCAATGCTCTCTTAACTGCTGAACCATCTCTCCAGCCCCCATGAAAACCTTATGTTAACAAAAAATTTAAATGTCATATTCTATGTGTCTTTGAAGTTTTTGAAGACCATCTATCTATCTAAAATATATCTCTGTTTGACCTTGAAGCCAGGATTTTCAGGGGGTCTCCCTCAATCAAACCTGATCTCTATCAACCTTGAATGGATCCACAGACTTTGGTTTCCTGTGAAACAAAAGCACAACTTCTTCTATAACATAACATTTTGACTTTCATTTTGAAGTTAAGACATGTTTAAAATATATAAGTTGGTTTAATTTGGCAGTTTTTATAATCCAATGTCAGCAGGTATTGTTTGTTCATCAGCAATCCAAAAACATACATACAGGATCCAGACTCCCTGTATATTTCCCATCTCCACATTGCTTATTCTTTTTTTAAATAAAGACTTTATTATTTTTAAACTATTTATTTTTTTATGACTGTCTATATCCTTTTTCTTTTCTTTTTCTAAAGCCTACACACATTGTTAAACACATTGTAACCTGTTTAGAGTTTTTTTCTTTTCCTCTGAACCTGCTTGACTGCATGTATCTGTAACCTTTTCTGTCTTTATGAGCAAAACCTAGAACTGCCAGGCAATTTGGCTCAGCTTATGTCCTGCTGGCAGCTCAAGCCCTCAGGCTGCACCCAGGAGATGTGTCTCTGTACCTCAGCCTGCATGAGAGACTTTGGGACTAGGAAGCCACATTTGACTCCATTTTTGTGTGGTTGGAACCTATTTTTGAAGCTTTCTCGGGTCTTATATAGAAATATGTGCCTGGACGTTGGATGCCATTTGAAGTCAGGCTTTTCTTTGGGCCACCATCTCAAATAATGACACAGAGACTTATTAATTATAAAAGCTCAGCTGATAGCTTAGGCTTGTTCCTAACTAGCTCTTATAACTTAAATTAACCCATTGCTGTTCATCTACGTGGTGCCACGTGGCTCATGGCTTTCACCTCTCATCCTACATGTCTTGCTTCTCCTGTGTCCCGCTGGTGACTCCCCTTCTTCCCAGCATCCTCTCTGCCCCCCAAAATCCTACCTAGCTATTGACCATTTAGCTTTTTATTGAGTCTGTCAGAGTGACACATATTCACAGTGTACAAAAAGTTTATTCCACAACAAGTTAGTCTGGCCAACCTGCTGGTTCCAGGCCAATGACAGATCTTGTCTCAAACCAAATGTGGAGGACCAGAGGAGGGACACCCAGGTGATGCTGTGACCTTCCTAAGTATCTGCATGTAGGTGGGTGGGGAGGGGGACCTGAGGAGGAGAGGGGAGGAAGGGAGGGAAGACTGGGGAAAGAGGCAGAGAAAACAGGGCCTTCAATGGCTGAACTCTGTTTCTGCCTTCCTTCCCTTCTTCCCTCCCCTCCACTTTTCCTGTTTTCTCCCCTGCCCCTTCTCCCTACCAAACTCTCCTCTCTTCTTTCTGTCTGGACACAATCTCGTCATGTACTCAGACCAGGCTGGCCTTGAACTTGTGACCATTCTCCAAGGCAAGAATTCTAACCACCTAATTCCTTCCAGCCTGTTGTAGGAGCTGCGAACTGGCTCAGGAGTTCTGGGTCCTGGAGTAGGTATGGATCTAGAGTGGTGAGTGGAGATGGGGGGATCTGGATGCAGGCAGGGAAGCAATGGCATTGTCATAGTGTCCTGGGTACCACACAAGTCTCCAAAACTCCGGAGTCCCTTGAGTTCCTGTGGTATCTACAAAAAAGCCAGGAAGCCCCTCATGCCCAGTCAGGAACTGCAGCGCTCCAGTGGCCTGGTTCATCTAGTAAGGGCGACCGGACTGCTGGTCTACCTGCGATGCACAGGGCCTGGGTTTAAAGTTCTCTAGATACAAACCAAGAAGCACAAATCCCAGAAGGCCTTGGTGGCCCCTTTGACACCGTGGCTTATTTTCTGTAGTCCCAGGCACTCTACAACCTACATGCCAACATCTGGAGGCCACCGGGAGCGGGTCCTCAGTCTCTCCCAGGCTCTAGCTACAGAGGCTTCCCAGTGGCACAGGCTGATGATGGGTGAGGTGCCAGGCTCTGCACCCCTGGGTCTGAGGGAGGAGGCCTGGAAATGTGGAGTGCAGATGTCTAAGTTAACAATTCTCGTTTCCCTTTCAGGCTCTCCAGGGGGAAGCTCAGACTCCAGGGGAGACTGTCTCCCGCCAGGCTCACAAACTCCCAGTGAAGAACTGCCCCAGGTCACCTTGTCCCCAGCTTCTCACAAGGCTGACTCTGCTACCACAGGGTTCTCATGCCCAGGGAGCGGGCCAGGCCTGGCCCAGTGGGAAACGGGCTGGGACCCTGGGAACACCCCTCCCACTCCACTGCAGGATGAAGGGACATGGCCCCTGAGAGTCACTCTGCTGCAATCCAGCTTTTGACTTGCCTCTTTGACACAAGCTGGGAGCTCGACCTTGAGGTGTGAAATCATTCAGGACCACAGGGGAGAAGTTTGTTCTGTCATGTGCTCTAGGTGGGCCGGGCTACTGTGGACAAATGTTGATTATCCCAACACTATCCAAATTTGGATTAAAACTTTAAACTATTAGTCAATACATAGCTTTATTCTCTCTGAGGTTGTGACATTGTGTTCAGATTCACAGGTAATGAGGAAACTGCCTGACTCCATTTTGAAGTCAGGAGCCATTATGCTGTATTTTTAAAAATAAGTTTCTATGCACTGTGAGAGTTGAGTTGCTCCGTTTCCTGGAACTTGACCTTCCCCAACCCATGACCTTGATTTTTTTTGAGAATACCCTGACCTCTCCCTAATCACATGGTGGGTGACCATATGATGTTTCTTTAAGGTTTTTCTATATTATATCACCCCATTGTCTCCCTTCAGTAAAACTACTCCTGATTTTACTCCTTAAAAGGGGCCTAAGAGGTGGATTTGCTGCTGCGCTCTGTAACCCGACTTAGGAGGAGACAGTTTCTGGCCAGCTCTTGGGTGCACCCCAATAAAAATAAAGCTTGCTTCAAATTTGACTCAAATTTTGGGCTTATTCTCGCCATTTGGGATTAACATTTTCTGGAGGCCCCAGTGAGATTCAGACCACCCACCAAAATTCTAAACCTGGACCTTCGCTCCAGAACTCCAGGGGGTTGGGGAGCTGCCTCCAGGGGCACGTGCCTTGAGCCCTTCTAAGGCTCTGGGGCTGTCTGCAGTTCTCGGACTGTCCTGATGAACAGAAAAGCAGCAGGCATCTACGGAGGCCGCCTGGGGAGTCACAGTCTGCTTCTGATTTGCAGGATCCCTATCTGGGTTGTGGAGGGAGCTCAACAGGATCCCAATATCCTCCCTTCTAAGGCAAAAAGCGAGTTGTCACATTGCACCCCGACCTGAGGTTCTTGGTCTGGTTTTGTGTCTGTTTGTCTGTCTTATCGTTGGCTACGTTTTTACTGTCCTCTTTCTGCCTTTTGACTTTCTGTGTTCATTGGTTGGTTTTGGCGTTGGGGCACCTGAGCTGACGGACAGTGTGGGTATTAAGACCAGCAAGACTAACGGCCCTCTGACTTCATCCCCTATAGCTAAGGAGGGTTCTGATTGTCCTGTCACCAAGAGTCACCTCTGAACATTCTGTGAAGCTGAGTGGCCCACGTTCAGGGCTGACTGGCTCTCCCAGGGTACTTTTGATTGTCAGGTAGCCTGGGCAGTGGTTCATGGCACCATAGGTAAGCCCGGTCACCCAGATCAGATTCGATCCATCTTGCCTTGGGCTGAAGCAACTTCCAACCCACCGCCTGGATGAAGGTCTGTACGGTCCCCAATGGGCAAGGTGGCCAAGCCCTGGTTGTCGGCAGATGGACCTTTCAAGTGCCTGTAGCACAGACCAACGAGCCCCTCTGAAGACTGTTCTACAGGACTCACAGGAGGAAGAGTCCCTTCTCCCTCACATAACCATCTTTACCCTCTTCTCCCCCGACACCTCCACCTTTGCCACCCCAGTCCCCACCACCAAGGCCTCATCTGCCTCCCATCTGCACCTGCCCCTACCCCACCTTCTAGTTCTTCCCGACCCCGCCTGTCTTCTCTCCACCCCAGATCTTCCCTACCACCCCTGTGTTTTTCTCTCCCACACCCACCAGGGAGTCCCATACTGCCCTCAGGACTCCTCTGACTCTGGTTCAGGGCAGCACCTCCTTCAGCCCTCACTCTCCTACGTCATTTCCTGACATACAGGTGTGTGTCCCTTTCTCCACCACAGATCTCTACAATGGGAAGAACCAGAACCCCACTTTTATCACTAGCCCTGATTCCTTTATTTCTCTAATTGATTCTTTTTTTTTTTTTTTTTTTGGTTTTTCGAGACAGGATTTCTCTGTGTAGCTTTGTGCCTTTCCTGGATCTTGCTCTGTAGACCAGGCTGGCCTCGAACTCACAGATATCCGCCTGCCTCTACCTCCCAAGTGCTGGGATCAAAGGTGTGTGCCACCACTGTCTGGTTTAATTGATTCTTTTTTAATCATCTCCCCATGTGGGACAACTGTCAGCAGATTCTCTGTACCCTCTTCACTACTGAAGAGAGGGAACCGTAGGGGGCCAACTTGTAAAATTTCTGATGGACACAGGGGCTACTCATTTGGCATTACAGGAGGCCCTGGGACCCCTTACCAAGCAAACAATGGAAGCACAGCGGACAACAGGAGATGTCCAAGAGTACAAAGGGACCACTGACTGCACTGTTCACCCAGGACAAGGAACTGACTCATTCTTTTATTGTTGTTCCTGAGTGTCCCTACCCTTTACTGGGCAGGACCTTTTGAACAAGCTCCAGGGAACAATAGCACTCCCAGGAGACTCTCCCAGGTTGCAGTTGGGAGGCCCTGCTAAGGCTTTAACTATAACCTGCCCCAAAAGTGAGAAATATCTGCTCCTCTAAAATACAACTCATTCCCAGGAGGGGGAATGGAAAAAGTTTCTGACCCAGGAAATTCCTACAGTTTGGGCAGAGGATGATACTCCTGGCCTGGCAAAACATGCGCCCCCATCACAGTGCGCTAACATCTGGGGCAGTGCCCGTTCGGGTAAAGCAATACCCATCAGTTCAGAAGCCAGGGAAGGGATTCACATCAGGAGCCTCCTTGAAGCAGGCATACTTACTCCTTGCCAGCCAGCCTGGAATACCCACTTGTTGCCTGTCCAAAAGCCTGGAGCTTGAGACTATAGACAAAACTTGAGGGAAGTGAACAAGAGGGGAGAATCCATTTGCCCAACAGTTCCAAGTCCCTATGCTTTGCTTAGTTTATTACCACTAGAGCATAAAGTTTACACTGTATTGGACTTAAAAGATGCATTCTTCTCCACCCCTCTGTCAAAATTAAGTCAGCCCATCTTTGTATTTGAATAAGCTGACCCTGAACTGGAGATATCAGGAGAACTAACCTGGACCAGACTGCCTCAAGGGTTCAACAACTCTCCCACCATCCTTGATGAAACACTCACCCAGGATTGAAGTGTTGTGGAATAATCCTCTGTACACTGTAAAGATTTGCCACTCAAATTGGTTTAATAAAATGATGAGTGGCCAGTAGCCAGGCAGGAAGTATAGGCAGGGTGACCAAACCAAGTAGGCTGGGAAAAGGAAGGGCGGAGTCAGGAGTGGCCAGCCGGACACAGAGGAAGCAAGATGAGAAAAGGTACCAAGCCACGTGACTAAACATAGATAAGAATTATGGGTTAATTTAAGTGTAAGAGCTAGTTAGTAATAAGCCTGAGCTACCAGCCAACCATTTGTAAGTAATATTAAGCCTCCAAGTCAATTATTTGGGAAGCAGCTGCTGGGTATTTGGGAGTTGCTGGTGGGACAGAAACTTCTGTTTACATTTAAATCTCTTCTGTAGTAAGTACCCTGGGGTAGCCTTGCATTAAGTAGATGATTTATTAATAGCTACTAAAGATGAGGACTGTTTGAGAGCCACCAGAGGCCTTTTGGAAACTCTAGCCCAGTAGGCTATAGAGTTTCTAAAAAGAAAGCTCAGATTTGCTCACCCTAAGATACTTACTTGGGTTACGAGCAGAGAGAAGGGTAAAGACTCTTGTCCCAAGACTGTTTAGCAACCATACTGCAAATCCCAACTCCAACCACCAAGAAGCAAATTAGGGAATTTCTGGGAGCTGTTGAATATATATTGCTTTCTTTCTTCCTTTTTTTCTTTCTTTCTTTCTTTCTCTCTCTCTCTCTCTCTCTCTCTCTCTCTCTCTCTCTCTCTCTTTCTTTCTTTTTCTTTTTTTGGTTTTTTGAGACAGGGTTTCTCTGTGTAGTTTTGCGCCTTTCCTGGAACTCGCTCTGTAGACCAGGCTGGCCTCGAACTCACAGAGATCCACCGGACTCTGCCTCCGAGTGCTGGGATTAAAGGTGTGCGCCGCCGCCGCCGCCGCTACCACCCGGCTGGATATTGCTTCCTTTGGATTCCTGGGTTTGCTGAAATTGCCAACCCCCTGTACCTGTTGCTGGGGGCAACACCCCTTGGAATGGACTGAGGAACATGAACAGGCCTTTAAGAACTGAAAAGAGGGCCTGGAGAGATGGCTGAGAGGTTAAGAGCACCAACTGCTCTTCCAGAGGTCCTGAGTTCAATTCCCAGCACCCACATGGTGGCTCACAACCATCTGTAATGAGATCTGACACCGTCTTCTGTATACATAATAAATAAATAAGTCTTTAAAAAACAAAAACAAACAAACAAACTTAAAAGAGACCCTGGTGCAGGCCCCACATTAACTCCCCCTGATGTCTCCAAGCCGCCCTTTCATCTTCATGTCCATGAAAGGAAGGGCCTTGCCAAGGGAGTCCCGACTCAGACCCTGGGTCCCTGGAAAAGGCCCATAGCTTACATCTCAGAGAGACTGGACCCTGTAGCCTCTGGGTGGCCCCTTGTTTAAGAGCCCTCACAGCCACTGCAATTCTTGTAGAAGAAGCTGAGAAGCTCTCCTTGGGACAGATCCTAACTGTTACAGCGTGTTCCACACGCTGTGGATGCCCTGCTGAGATGCCACCAACTGGCGGATGTCAAATGCCCATCTGACCCTGTACCAAGTCCTTCTTTTAGATAAGGACAGACGGGCTTTTTTTTTTTTTCAGTATTAGAAGATTGCTTTTTATTTCCTTTTTAAGTTTTGAGAGGAGGCCTTACTGTGTAGCCCTGGCTGACCTGGAGCTCTTTATTATTATTATTACTAATTTTTTCTACTATCGGCTTGATATTGTACAAATTCTTATCCTAATAGTGAAGTGTTTCACTGAAGCTTGCCCAGCGATTGAGTAAAACCAAAACTTATTATAAGCCACAGTCATCCTAGGGTCCCCCCCCTACCCCCACCCCCGCTCTGTAGCCTCCCTGGTTCTGTGGGTTGTAGTTTGATTGTTCTTTGTTTTATATCTAGTATCCACCTATGAGTGAGTACATACCATGTTTGGACAGAGGGACTTTTGATAAATCCTTGGCAATTAATCCGGCCTCAGTGCTGCCGGATGACAACCCTGAGGAGCCCATCCGTGGTCACCTGGAGATGCTGGACTTCACCCAAGGTATTCGACCTAACCTGACAGATGTTCCTCTCACTGCCATGGATACAAATCTCTATATGGATGGCAGCAGCTTCATTCAAGAAGGAACTAGGTATGTGGGGGCAGGTGGGGTGGCAGTGGTTACAGGCCAAAAGGAGGTCATTTGGGTGCAAGCCTTGCCCTGGGGCACATCTGCCCAGAGAGCAGAAATAATGACTCTGACACAGCTGAAGATGGACTGAAGGGGGGCTGGAGAGATGGCTCAGAGGTTAAGATCACTGGCTATTCTTCCAGAGGTCCTGAGTTCAATTCTCAGCACCCACATGGTGGCTCACAACCATCTGTAGTGAGATCTGGTGCCCTCTTCTGTCCCACAGGGATACATGCAGACAGAACACTGTATACATAAATAAAAAAATCTTTAAAAAAAAAAAAAGATGGACTGAAGGAAAAAAGGTGAACATCTACACAGACAGCCAATATGCTTTTGCCACAGCTCATGTTCAAGGACAGATATATAAACAGAGGGACTTACTAGCCTTGGAGGGAAAGACTATTAAAAATCAACAGGAAATTGTCCAGTTGCTGGAGGCCTTCTGGCTACCAACTAAACTGGCCATTGTTCACTGGCCAGGACACCAAGAAGACAAAAGGCCCCAAGCTCAAGGTAACAACCATGCAGAAAAAGTTACCAAAAGAAGCTGCTCTTGGGGAACCCAAACCCCAGACTGTCCTGGAACTGTCTGCTGTCCCCGAGCTCCAACTGTGCCTCAGTGAAGACGTTCCTGAGTACAGAAGACATCAATCATACTCTGACTTGGGGGCTCAGGGGAGACATAATGGACGGTAGATCCTGCCTGACAGGAGACTCTGCATGCCAAAGGTATTGGGCCCAAACTGGCTAACGGCCATACACTTGTCACCTAAGATCTCAGAACTCATCTCCCCTCACGTCTGGTTGTCTGGACACCTAGAAAAACTTCAGAGCATTTCAGACCACCACCTGAACTGTACCCAGGTACATGCAAAGGACATGCTTCCCCCAGGCCAACAGAATCAAGGTACAGTGCCTGGGGAATTTTGGGAGATGGACTGCACTGAAATCAAGCCAGGACTCCATGGCTACAAATATCTGCTGGCTTCTGTCAGCACCGGCACAGGCTGAGCCCTTTCCAACCCTTAACGGAAGTGGCCCAAGTGGTAGCTAAGAAATTCATAATGGAAATTATTCCCAGATTTGGCCTCCCCATATTTCTGGGGTCTGACAACAGCCCGGCCTTCATGGTCAAGTTATCTCAATTGCTTTCTAAGACTCTTAACATAAATTGGAAACTTCATTGTATGTATCATCCCCAGAGCTCAGGAAAAGTAGAGAGGATGAATAGAACTTTAAAGGAGATTTTTTTAAAACTAAGTGTACTCTTTTTCTTTTTTCTTTTCTTTCCTTTTTTTTTTTTTTTTTTTTTTTTGATTTTTTCATACAGGATTTCTCTGTGTAGCTTTGAGCCTTTCCTGGAACTCACTCTGTAGCCCAGGCTGGCCTGGAACTCACAGAGATCCGCCTGCCTCTGCCTCCCAGTGCTGGGATTAAAGGTGTGCGCCACCACTGCCTGGCACTAAGTATACTCTTCAGAAACTGGGTTGACCTCTGACCTTATGCCCTTCTCAGAGTCTGATGTACCCCCTACCAAGGAAAGTTCACTCTATAAGAAACAATCCACCTCCCATGATCCCTTGGGTATATGCCAGACTGTTGTCAAATTGCCCCACTCCAATCTCTGAGTCCTTAAAAGGATTGCAATTAACATTGATAAGATTCTGTCTCAGGCCCAGGCTGCTGAACCTGTTGGGTACCACCCATGTGGTCACCCATTCCAGCCCAGAGATGTTGTATTAGTCTGCAGCTTCAAAACTGACTGGCTTGAAACTAGATGGAAAGGACAGAGAGACCAAGCTCATGATTCTCCAGACTCTACTGCTGATTCTTCAGGTTCCTGCTGCTGTTAAAGTCACTGGTATTTCTGCCTGGATTCATCACTGACTCCTCAAGAAGGCACCCGAGGAACCCACGAAAGGGAGCCCAACCCTCAGAGGTAGAAAATGACTGAAAAGGGATGGTGGAAAATCAACCTTCCTAAGGCTTGACTGTCGAACACTGTGTTCTTGCTGTTGAAATTGGCATCATGATTATTCTATGGCTAACAGTTTTGTTTTATTTTCAACATATACAAACAGAAACTAAATGCATCTTGACAGGGGAAATAAGAGGCACCCCTATCATAGGAAATACCCTGATGTTGTCTTGCCATGCAAAAGATTGCCTTTACCCACCAGGGTAAGGTAAAGGGGAAGGAAGGAAGGAGTCATTAATCACTTCAGTTGAATTTAACATACCCAGAGTTACCCTATCTGTAACTGATAATGTGGAATATAATCTCTGGGTCCATCTAGCACTAAAAAGTGAAACTCCTGTGTCAGAGGAGATCCCTCTATTCCTGGGCTCCTAAAAAGAAACTTATATGGAATAGGAGTTTCTTAGGAAAATTATACAAGGCTAACAGGGGACAAAATGAAGCATGCCCTCCTCCTGTTGAAGGGCCGTGGCTGATGTCCCCATTGATAATGTCTTCTTCCTACACGGTTTATGTTAGGATTGCACAAGTGTCCCTTCTTATTGTAATTCCACTTCTTATCACACCCTCCCCTTTGGTAAACAACTTTAGGATGGATCTTTTTCTGTGAAAATAGTACTTATTCTGCACTCCCAGCAGGATATAAGGGTTTGTGTGGGATAGGATGTATTACACCGGTTTTACTCAGCAAATCTTTACAATCTGTTAATAGAACTACAAGAGCTCTTCCCGAAAATGTGATGATTCCTCACATCTATTAAATCCCACCTTACCTGGTGCTACCTTAGCCTTTCTGTTACCTGTCCCAGGACTTGTTGTTGGACACAAAGAGAGGTTTCTAAAATAGCCTGTCTAATTTCAAAAACTACTAATACTACAGCAAAAATATTAGCAGAAATTAATCAAGAAATGGGAGAGCTGAGCCGGGCAGTGGTGGCGCACGCCTTTAATCCCAGCACTCGGGAGGCAGAGGCAGGTGGATCTCTGTGAGTTCGAGGCCAGCCTGGTCTCCCAAGCGAGTTCCAGGAAAGGCGCAAAACTACACAGAGAAACCCTGTCTCGAAAAACCAAAAAAAAAAAAAAAAAAGAAAAGAAAAGAAAAGAAAGAAAAAGAAAAAGGAAATGGGAGAGCTGAGAATTGTTATGCCTGATCACAGGGACCCCCAAAAGATCCCCACAAAGACCAAATCCCACATGTAAAAGCAAAGAGCCTTTATTATCTTCAAGCTCCGAGCTTGGTCTCTCTGTCTGTCTGATGCAGCGGTGAGAACAGAGAGCCCTGTGCTCAGGTGGGGTGGGGTTTTTATCATAGCAGAGGTTGGGGTGAGGGGATTTCCTGGGTCCAGGACCCTGATTAGCTGACAATTGTCTGGGAGTATCTGTAAAACAAAAATAGGTGTGTGCTAGACATCTGGCCACCTTATCTAATGTTTGGAATGTTTGGGATGTCAGGTACTTCCTCATGCCTGGGTAGACCCCTGGGTGGTATCATCTGAAGGCTTTTCCTGGATCTGGGTGTTGCCTGCCAGGAAGCCGGTCAGAGAAGCTATGTCTAGGCCCCTAAGCCTGTCATGACTGCTGTTGGTCAAGCTGTTTTGGGGCCCCTCCTCAAGAACAACCGTTCTTCCAAATAAAGCTACTGTAGATTACCTGTTACTGAGACATGCTCTTGGTCATCAGCAATTTCCTGGAAGGTGCTATTCTAATATCTCTGATTTCGCTCATACTATTGACAACCAAATTGATAATCTATATAAAAAAAAAACTAGACAAAACCTCTCAAACAAATTTAGACTGGCCAATATGGCTAAGTTGGTTCTCCCCCTTCATTGGCCTTCTAATATTGTCTGTACTAATTATCACAATCGGGCCTGTGCCCTCCAGTGCGTCATTGACTTGATCACCCATCAGATTAACAATTCTAGACTCATTCCTGCTCGACAACATTATTAAGACAGCCCCCTACCAATGGTTTGACCAGGAAATGTAAGTCAAGGGGGAATGAGGAGCCTACCTGACTCCATTTTGAAGGCAGGAGCCATTGTGCTGTATTATTAAATGTGAGTTTCTGTTTACTGTAAGAGCTGAGTTGCTCTCCCTTTCCTAGGACCTGACCTTCCTGAACCCATGACCTTGATTTGTTTTTGAGAATACCTCACCCTCCCTGACCCTTCCTGGCCCCTCCCTAATCACGTGGTGGGTGACCAGTGACGTTTAAGGTTTTTCTGTATTTTATTGCCCCATCGTCTCCCTTCTGTAAAACTACTCCTGATTTTACTCCTTAAAAGGGGCCCAAGAGGTGGATTTGATGCTGTGCTCTGTAACCCGACTTAGGAGGAGACAGTCTCTGGCCAGCTCTTGGGTGCACCCCAATAAAAATAAAGCTTGCTTCAAGTTTGGCTCAAGTTGTGGTAGTGGTCTTATTCTCAGCGTTTGGGATAACAGTATGAGGAAGTTGGGAGCCAGATACTAAGATTGGGTCTGAGGGAGAAGGCTGAAACCTCGTGTCTGAGAGAGGAGGCTGGGGCCTGGTTTTCTAGGTCAGAGGAAGAGGTGCTCTTACGGGTCTGAGGGAGCAGGACTGGCGTCAATCTGAGCTGGGAGGGCTGGGGTCTGGACCCCAAGTCTGAAGGAGGATTGTCAGAGTGGGGACACCTGGGTCTAAAAGAGAAGGGCTAAGACCCCATCTCCAGGTCTGACGCAGGAGAGCCCTCTCAATTCCTGCAGGTTCGTGGCCTTCCTGGGAACACCCCCTCCCAGGGCCAGCCTTCAAGGACCCAGCCGGCGTATCTGTTCCATCTCACTGCTCCCTGGACTTTGGAGGTGGAGAGAGGCTGCGAGGGTGTGGGAGAGAAGTCAACGGGGGATGGCTGCTGTAACCCGATACTCCGGGAAAGTGGTGGTGGTGACTGGGGGTGGTCGTGGCATCGGAGCTGGGATCGTGAGAGCCTTTGGTGAGTAAGGGTCTTCATGCTTGGTGTCTGAATTTTTGGAAAGGACGGGTTCACAGAGTGGGAGAAAGAGAATCTCATTCTTTTTTTTTTTTTAAGTGATCTTTTTTTTTTTTTTTTTTACTTATTCTTAAGTGATTTGTTTATTATTTTTTCTGTGCATTGTTTTTGTGTTTGTACGAGGGTTTTGGATCCCCTGGAACTGGAGTTACAGACAGTTGTGAGCTGCCACATGGGTGCTGGGAATTGAACCTGAGTTCTCTGGAAGAGCAGCCAATGCTCTTAACCACTGAGCCATCTCTGCAGCCCCCCAGTTTCATGCTTACACAAGTCAGTTTGGACTGTTGGTAAGCACGATACGGCTCTCATCAAGAGTTCTTCCCCTGGCCAGGCGGTGGTGGCGCATGCCTTTAATCCCAGCACTAGGGAGGCAGAGGCAGGCGGATCTTTGAGTTCTAGGACAGCCAGGGCTACACAGAGAAACCCTGTCTCGAAAAACCAAAAAGAGTTCTTCAAGCCATAGCTGTGAGGAATATATTTCTTGTAGGTTTGGGATTTTTCTAGAATCCAGGATGGCGGCCGAGCAGCAGCTGGATGAAGAAGGGGAATTTGTCTCAAAGACTGCCCTTTGAGAGGACTGTCATGAGACAGGTCACGAGAGCCAGGTGCTCCGTGTGGCCACAAGAGGGCAGCAGAGGCAGCGACCCAAGTCTACAGCCTCTAACACTTCTTTCTCTCTGTTGGCAGTGCACAGTGGGGCTCAAGTGGTTTTCTGTGACAAGGATGGTGAGTGAGTCCCCCACTGACGCAGGGACCCCAAGCCTAGCCCTCCTCCCTCAGACCCACATGCCTAGACCCAAGTCTCCTTCCCCAGACTCAGGAGTCCAAGCTCCTCCCCAGACCTCTACCCTCAGACTGGCGTCCAAGCCTCAACCCTCCTCCCTGAGACCCAGAGTCTTTCTCTTGCAGCGGCCAGGGGCCGGGCTCTGGAGCAGGAACTCGTGGGCACTGTCTTCGTCCCCTGTGACGTGACTCAGGAAGGAGACTTGCAGGTGAGTGTTCCCTGCCTCTACCCCCCATCTCCAGCACCCAGCACCCTCTGCATGGCCTCTTTGTCAGCTCAGTACACGTGGGTCCTTCTCTCTCAGGTCTTTAGGAACGAGCAGAGCTTGAAACCCACGCTTCCTGTAACAATTTCTGACTCCCCTGCCGCAGAATCTGTTCAGTGCCCTCAGGTCTGGCCCCAGTCTGGGCCTCCGCTCTCTCTGCCTGTCTGCTCCCCACCCTCCTCTGGGTCTGTAGCCTGAGTCTTCTGCCCTCACAGTCTTCCACAGTGGCGGCCTGGTTACTGTTTTATCCACTCGACACAAGCTAGAGTCATTTGGGAAGAGGGAACCTCAGTAGCAAAGATGGCCACACCACATCCCTGAGGTTGTGACCTCACTGGGCAGGTGGTCCTGGATTGTATGGGCTGAACAAGCTGTAGGGAGCCAGCCAGTGAACATGGTGTCTGATTAGTTCCTGCCTCCAGGTTTCTGCTTTGAGCTCCTCAGTGACCTGACAGTTGTAAGCCGAAGTAACCCTTTCCTCCCAGGTTGCTTTTGGTCATGGTGTTTTGTCACAGCAATAGAAACCCTGACTATGGCAAATGGTAACCGCACCACAGTGCTTAGGCCTTTGGTCTGCGTCCCCCAGCTTCCTACTTCCTCTCCCTGGACCTATTCTGTGACCCTGATCCCACCTCACTCTACCTTGTCTTCCTCAGCTGAGCTTGTCCAAGGCTGTCACCTCACTGCTCTCCTCCTGATGTTTGTTATCTCCTCAGACTCTGATTTCTGAGACCCTCTCTCGATTTGGCCGCTTGGATTGTGTGGTGAATAATGCCGGCTACCGTAAGTTGTGTGGCTTGGGGGCTAGTGTCCTCCGATGTCTACTTATATCCTATTCTCCCATTCCTCCCCCCTTTTTAAATTTATTTATTTTTAGTGCATTGGTGTTTTGCTTGCATGTCTGTCTGTGTGAGAGCATCAGATCTTAGAGTTACAGACAGTTGTGAGCTGCCATGTGGATGCCGGGAATTGAACCCAGGTCTTCTGGAAGAGCAGTCAGTGCCCTTAACCACTGAGCCATCTCTCCAGGCCCACTTCTTCCCCTTAAAAATGATCACATTTGGCTGGGCGGTGGTGGCACACACCTTTGATCCCAGCACGCGGGAGGCAGAGGCAGGCAGATCTCTGTGAGTTCGAGGCCAGCCTGGTCTACAGAGTGAGTTCCAGGAAAGGCTCTAAAGCTACACAGAGAAACCCTGTCTTGGGAAAAAAAAAAAAGTTTAAAAAATTATTACATTTATTTGTATGTGTGTGTAATATGTGGGTGCTACACACACTTGTGTACAGTACTTGTGTGGTGTTCAGAGTTCAACTGGAGGGGATTTGCTCTCTCCTTCCACCATGTAGGATTGCGCTCAGGTTGTGAGCCTGAGCTTCTGTCCTCTTTCTCTGCCATGTCCTCAGGCTCTGCTCTCCCCTTCTCCGAGCCTCAGTTTCCATCTTTGGAATAAGAGTTATCGCGGGGCGGTGGTGGCGCACGCCTTTAATCCCAGCACTCGGGAGGCAGAGCCAGGCGGAACTCTGTGAGTTCGAGGCCAGCCTGGACTACCAAGTGAGTTCCAGGAAAGGCGCAAAACTACAGAGAAACCCTGTTTTGAAAAAAAACAAAAAAACAACAAAAAACAAACAAACAAACAAACAAAAAACAAAGATCTGAAACATATCAAAAAGGTTTCAGCCGGGCGGTGGTGGCGCACGCCTTTAATCCCAGCACTCGGGAGGCAGAGCCAGGCGGATCTCTGTGAGTTCGAGGCCAGCCTGGGCTACCAAGTGAGTTCCAGGAAAGGCGCAAAGCTACACAGAGAAACCCTGTCTCGAAAAACGGAAAAAAAAAAAAAAAAAAAAAAAAGAGTCATCACCTTTTGTGTTGGGGTGCTGCAGTCTCTAAAGGAGACGGTGTCCCTTAGGTTATTCCCAGAGCCTGTGGAGCTCCTGCTTTGCTGAAGGCCCAGGCCCTTGCTGGTGACAAGGACACCCCAGGCACACTTTATCAGACACTAGGTGGTGTGGCACTCTGCGAGTTTTCCACCAGCCTAACAGCTGCACTGTGAGACAATGTGTCCCCACGGAAGCTAAGGCTCAGAGAGCGAGCACCCAGGCCCTCCGGAGTCCCCTCCAAAGACGGAGGTGCAGGGGACTGCCCCTGCCAGCGGGGTTCCCTGTCTTAGCTGCCTTTCTTCAGGTCATGGTAAAGGTTCACAGAGCTGCAGGGAGCTCACTGTTATCTGTGTCCTTCTTTTCTTAGGCTGAGGTGTATTCAACACAGCCACAGAAACAAATTTCCTTGTGGGGAGTGCGGGGAAATTCACATTCCACAGTGAGGAGAACTGACATGAGCTGGGCTCGGCTCAGAGACTTTAGTGCTGGAATGGCGGGCGCGGGGGGTGGGGGGGGTGCGGGGGGGGGGGGTGCAGCACGCCTCCTCTGCAGAGACAATCACACTCACCATATGCAGCCTCCTTCCTTGGCTTGCTCCCTAGCCCTTTGCCTCTCCTCTGGTCATCACCCCTCTCCTGTCTCCCTCTTCCCTTCCCGGCCTGGTCTCATTCTCCCCTTCCCTTTAGACCCACCCGCGCAGTGGCCTGAGGAGACTTCTGCCCAGGACTTTCGCCAGCTGCTGGAACTGAACCTACTGGGGACGTACACGTTGACCAAGGTAAGACAGGCACAGTCAGCTGCAGTTGGCGTGTGTCCCTCCTCTCATCAGGAGTCATGGTTTTGTGCCCCTCATCTTCCTGTCCTGTTCTAGAGCGGCGGTTCTCAACCTGGGGTAGCAACCCCTTTGGGGGTCGGATGACCTTTTCATAGGGGCTGCCGAATCTCATCAGAAAACATGGATATCTACATTAAGATTCACAAGCTGGGCGTGGTGGCAAATGCCTTTAATCCCAGCACTAGGGAGGCAGAGGTAGGCGGATCTCTGAGTTCAAGGCCAGCCTGGGCTACAGATCGAGTTCCAGGACAGGCTCCAAATCTACACAGAAACCCTGTCTCACCCCTGCCAACAAAAACAAAAAAGATTCATAACAGTAGCAAAATGACAGTTATGGAGTAGAAACGAAATAATTTCATGGTTGGGGGTCACCACGCCATGAGGAACTGTATTAAAGGGTCGCAGCATTAGGAAGGTTGAGAACTAATGCTCTAGAAGGATCCCGTTCTATGTAGGAAACAAATAGGCATAGATCTGCATCCCCCGCAGCTACAGCCTCCTCGGAATCTTCCAGAGCCTTCCAGGCCTGCTCTGAGGTGGCAAAAGAGGTGGGGCCGGGCTCAGATGGTAGAGTGCTTGTCCAGCAACCACGGAGCTGTAGCGTGACGGTGGAAACTATGATCTCAGCACTTAGGAGGTGGAGGCAGGAGGATCAGAAGTTCAAGGCCAATCTTGGCTACACAGTGAGATTGTGTCCCCAAAAACAAACCAGGAAGGAAGGGGTGAGGAGCTCGTGGTGCTTCCATAAGGAAGGACCTATGAAGGGTCAGTAAGAATATTTGCTGGTGTTGATGGGTGGAGAGAGAGGCCTTAGGTGTAAAGGCCATGCTGGCAAACCCAGTCTCCCAGCACTCAGGAGGCAGAGGCAGTCAGTTCTCTGTGAGTTCGAGGCCAGCCTGGAATACATAGTGAGACCCTGTCTCAAAAAAACAACAAAAAGGAGTGGGGGCACGGGAAGGGTTTTGCTCCCACAAATATTATTCTGGCCACACTTTCTGTCACAGTCCCATTTGAGAGGAGAGGAGGGGCCCCGGTTGTCAGGAGGGAGTCCTTTTACTCAGGATAGTCCCATCACAGAAGTGATCAGTTACTGGATCGGAGGGCATGTGACAACCCAGAACAGTCACCAGGGTCCCCTCATTCCTAGGCAAGCTGACACGGTCACTATGTGAACTGTGTGACTTTCTCAGGATGGAGCAGTCCAGACAGAGGCTCTCGGGTTGCAGTGTCCAGGCTGCATTTGGGAGTGGTGTGGTGAGCCACAGACCCTTTTAGGTTCCTGTTCTAGGAGGCTCCGGGGTGCTGGTTTGTGCTCAGTCATGTTTATGACCAGATCAGGCTGTGCCTGGTCAGATCCAGTGCCCACGGCACCGGGAAGGAACAGATTGAGCTTATCTAGGTCACACCGTGAATCAACACACCTGAGGAGGAGTGGCCCGAGAAGGCGGCAGAGGACAGGACCCATCTCCTGAGGCTTCCCACATCACATTCTGACCACAGAGTTCTTTGCACAACCCGGACACACCATCTCCCTCCATGGGACCAAAGGCTTTCTCGTAGTTGTGCCGAACGGACAGGGTTCTGCACGGCGCCAGGTTTTCCTGGCTTGGTGAGGGCTGGACATTGAACAGCAGATGAAAACTCAGAGAGGAGAGAGGACAGAGGAGAGAGAGGGGAGAGAGAGAGAACCTGAAAAGACACATAAGTCCTTCCGAGAGGTGCTCTGGCATACCATAGACACGCCATTGCTGTGCCTCTGCCCACAGAGACCCACTGAGAACATGGGCGATAGTCTCAGTCCCATACCTAAGGGTGCTGCTGGCCGCTCTCCAGGGACCAGGTGTAAAGGGCTGATGTGTCTGTCTCCATAGCTTGCCCTCCCCCACCTGCGGAAATGCAGAGGCAACATCATCAACATCTCCAGCCTGGTTGGGACCATCGGCCAGTCTCAGGCAGTTACCTACGTGGCCACCAAGGTAGGCCAGCCCCCCTCCCCCCTAGTGTTCTTTCCTGGCTCTTTGGGCCTCAGCTTTGAGCCTGTATCCTCTCTGTTTTTTGGTTTTTTTTTTTTTTCACTTCTTGTTTTAAAAGTGTGTGTGTGTGTGTGTGTGTGTGTGTGTGTGTGTTGGTCAGAGGATAACTTGCAGGAATCAGTTCTCTCCACATGGGTCTCAGGATTGAAATCAGGAACTCAAACCTAGCAACAAACGACCTTATCCTCTGAACCATCTCACCAGTTAATTTTATTTTATAATTTCTATAGTCTCATTATATAGTTCTGGTCTGCCTGGAACTCACTCTGTAGACCAGGCTAGCCTAAAACTCAGAGATCCTCCTGCCTCTGCGTCCTGAGCAATGAGATTAAAGGTGTGTGCCACCTGACCTGTTTTTTTTTTTTGTTGTTGTTGTTTTTAAAGATTTATTTATTATGGATACAGTGTTCTGCCTGCAGGCCAGAAGAGGGCACCAGATCTCATTACAGATGGTTGGGAGCCACCATGTGGTTGCTGGGAATTGAACTCAGGACCTCTGGAAGAACAGCCAGTGCTCTTGACCACTGAGCCATTTCTCCAGGCCCTGTTTTTGTTTTTTTCAGACAGGGTTTCTCTGTGTAGCTTTGACGCGTTTCCTGGAACTCACTCTGTAGCCCTGGCTGGCCTCCAACTCACAGAGATCCACCTGCCTCTGCCTCCCTTGTGCTGGGATTAAAGGCATGCGCCACCACTGCCCGGCCTGTTTTGTTTTGTTTTGTTTTGTTTTTTTTAAGAATATTTTGGGGTGGGCTAGACAGATAGCTCAGCAGTAAAGAGTGCTTGCTGCTCTTTAAGAGGACCAGAGTTTGGTTCCAAATACCCACACTGGAAGGCTCACAGCTGTAACTTCAGCCCCAAGCATCTGGTGACCTCTTCTGGCCTCTGGGAGCATTTGCATATCCATGCGCTTGTACATATTTAAAAGATAATATTTGTACTTCTTGAACACTTTCATACATATGTACAGTCTATCTTGATCATACTCCCCTCCCCTCCCCTCTCAAACCACTGTGTGCCTCTAACTCGTCTCTCTCACCTGGTGTCCTCTCTCTCTCTCTCTCTCTCTCTCTCTCTCTCCTCTCTCGTTTTCTAAGTAACCCACTGAGGGCATCCACTAGCGCATGGACAACCTACTGGTGACCACACCCCTTATCCCCAGCAGCCGTCAGTTACAACAGTCTTCATTAAGGGGTGTGGCCTCATCAGCCCCTCCCTGTCACCCTGGAATGATAACTGCTTCACCTTGTGCGAGTCTCCTGCGGGAAACCCTAGCTGAAGTTAGTTCATGAAAACAAGGGCCGTGTCACCGCCAGAAGACAGCATTTCACGGACTGCTCTCTGCCCCCAGATCTTATTCGCTTTGCCTTCTCTTCCATGTTGACCCCTGAGCCGCAGCATGGGGTTGCTGTGTGGATCTCTCTCATCTAGGGCTGAGCACTCAGCAGTCACTAATTCTCAGCGTGTGAGTCTTCACATTAACTGTTGCACGCGGCCAACAGGAGCTTCTCACTGGGCGTGGTAGAGCTCACATTCAATGCCAGCACTCAGGAGGCAGAGGCAAGTCTTTCCCTGTCCCTCTAGCCAGCTCCCAAATAATGACATGGACACTTGAAAGCTTGGCCTTAGCTTAGGCTTGTTTCTAACCGGCTCTTACAACTTAAATGAACCCGTTTCTATTAACCTGTGTTCTGTCACCCACCCCGCTTCTCCCATGTCTCCTGGCATCTCTGCTGCACCTAGATTCATCTCCTACTTCCTCTCTCTCTGCCTGGAAGTCCCACCTATACCTCCTGCCTAGCCATTGGCCTCTCAGCTCTTTATTAAACCAATCACAGCAATATACCTTCACGCCCAGTACAAATATCCCACCACAGAGGTAGGCAGATCTCTGTGAGTTTGAGGGCGGCCTGGTCTACAGAGGCTGTAGTGAAACCCCGTCTCAAACATTAACAACAAAAGAGCAAAGAGCATTTTGACTGAGGCTGCACTGTGGTGGGTTTGCCCCTGGGGGTTGTGACCTCCTGAGCCATGGACTTTTGACCAGGTTTACAATATTAGGCATGAATTCTCTCTAGAACTGGCTTCATAGCCAAGCAGAAAGCAGTTAGACACCCCCATTCCATTAATGCCACTTTTGTACCAGCAGACATATCTTCTTGTTTGGCAGGTCAGTACTTCAGCACACAAGGTCTGCGTCTAGGTAAATCTGGTAATGACTTCTCTCTCCCAGGGACCTGCATAACATTTTCTGGGACTTAGCAGCAAGGAGGAAGGTTTCAGGCCAGTTCTAGCTTGATTTCTCAGTGTCCTGAAACCAAAGTTGCGTCTTCAGCAGTGAGGTCACTAAAACGATACACTCTGTATTTTGTGAGTGTTTCGTCCGCATGTGTGTATATGCACTGGCCTTTCTGGTTCATGTGGAGTTCAGAAGAGGGAATCTGATCCCCTGGAACTGGGCCGTCATGTGGGTGCTGGGAATGGGACCTGGTTCCTTGCAGGAACAGTCAGTCCTCTTAAGTGTTGAGCCATCTCTCCAGCTGGGATTTTTTAAATTACATTTTTATTTATTTCATATGTGTCTTTGTCTCTGTGTATCTCTGTGCATATGTGCGTGTCACAGCACACATATGGAGGTCAGAGGACAACCTGGAGGAGTCAGCTCTCTCCTTCCACCATGTGGGTCCCAGGAATCAAACTCAGTTGTCAGACTCGGCAGCCAGTGCCTTTAATACTGAGCCATGTTGCAAGGCCCTTCTTTTTTTTTTTTTTTTGGTTTTTCGAGACAGGGTTTCTCTGTGTAGCTTTGTGCCTTTCCTGGATCTCGCGCTGTAGACCAGGCTGGCCTCGAACTCACAGAGATTCGCCTGCCTCTGCCTCCCGAGTGCTGGGATTAAAGGCGTGCGCCACCACCGCCCGGCTGCAAGGCCCTTCTTGATTTTATTTGAACCAGAGTCTCTCCCTGCAGCTGGGTTGGTACTAGAGATTCATGGCAATGCACCTGTCTCAGCCTCCCAAGTTCTGGGACCATAGGTGCCTAGGCCCAGAAATGTCCCACACTACCCCCCTCATTTAGTCCTGAGTTAGAGCAGCAACCTGTAACAAATTGGTCTGCACAGAGCCCACGCACAGGGAATGTCTGCAAGATGGCTGAGACTAATCTCACCGAGGCTAAAGTTTGCTGCCCCCCTGCCTGGAAGAAGAGGATGGGAGGGCCTCCATCTTCAGAGACTCAACCCTCTCTGGTCTCTGCCCCTGCAGGGGGCAGTGACAGCCATGACGAAAGCTCTGGCCTTGGATGAGAGTCGATATGGTGTCCGTGTCAACTGGTAAGCTGATCAAAGCGGACAGAGGCTGGGGCAGCTGGGGATGTCAGGACAGAATTAGCATACCCTTCTCTTCTTCCTTCTCTCCCTTACCAGCATCTCCCCAGGAAACATCTGGACTCCACTGTGGGAAGAGCTGGCAATGTCAACTCCAGACCCCAGTGCCACCATCCTAGAAGGGACCTTGGCCCAGGTAGGAGGGGCTGAGAGCTGGGAGGGATGAAGGTACCAGGGTGTGTGTGTGTGTGTGTGTGTGTGTGTGTGTGTGTGTGTGTGTGTGCGCGTGTGTGTGTGTGTGTGTATGTGTGTGTGTGTAGATCAGGTCAGGTCTTTCTCCTCTTCTCTCCTCCTCCTTTGTCTGTCTGTCTGTCTGTCTCTCAGAGCTTCATATAATCCAGTCTAGCTTGGACCTTGATATGTAGCTGGGAACATCCTCGAACTTCTGATCTTCCTGCTTCTGTTTCCCGAGAGCTGGAGTTACAGACGTGTACCGTTCCTTGTGTGTGTTCACTCGCGCGCTTGCGTGGCCGTCTCACCCTCTAGCCCAGGCTGGCCTTGAACTCAGGGCAAACCTGTCGAGTAGGCCTCTCTTGCTGAGATGACAGGTAGGAGCCAGCATGCCCGGCGGGAGGCCGCTCTCAGTTCTCCTCCTGCCTTCTCTCCCCAGCCCCTGGGCCGCATGGGCCAGGCCGCTGAGGTGGGGGCTGCAGCCGTCTTCCTGGCCTCTGAAGCCACCTTCTGTACAGGACTCGAGCTTCTCGTGACAGGGGGTGCAGAACTGGGGTATGGATGCAAGTCTAGCAGGAGCAGCCTCGCGGAAGCCCCCGTCCCCCCACCGTAATTTCCACCGTGTTATGTCCTACCCATCCCTCTTTTCCTTCCTTTCTCTGTGGTACTGGAGATTAAACCCGGGACCTCTTTTGTGCCAGGCAGGGGCTCTACCACTGAGCCACACCCCAGCCCCTCACTGGGGGATTCTAGGCAGGGGCTCTACCACTGAGCCACACCCCAGCCCCTCACTGGGGGATTCTAGGCAGGGGCTCTACCAAGGAACTGTCCATTCCCAAAGACACTCAGGACGAATGGCTAGCTGTGGTGTCTGTTAGCATACCAAAGCACAGGCTGGCAGCTGGCTCCCTCAGTACTTCTCTCCATTCTTCTCACACTTGTCTCCTATTCTAAGCCTCTCCAGCCCAGTACTTAGCTTCTGACTCCCATCTAAACATGGCAGTTCGGACGTATGTGCCCCTGTTCCCCTCATCCTCTCTCTTCTCTCCCCCACCCTCAGCCCCCCTGGCCCAAGTTCAGTCTGGACTCTTCCAGATGCCTCTGGCTGTATTCTTCTTATATATAATAAAACCTGCTTCTCAACCATACCTTGCTGTGGTCACATCATCATTTCATTCATGAACCACAAACCCAGCCCCTCACTGGGGGATTCTAGGCAGGGTCTCCACCACTGAGCCACACCCCAGCCCCTCACTGGGGGATTCTAGGCAGGGTCTCCACCACTGAGCCACTCCCCAGCCCCTCACTGGGGGATTCTAGGCAGGGACTCTACCACTGAGCCACATCCCAGCCCCTCACTGGGGGATTCTAGGCAGGAGCTCTACCCCTGAGCCACACCCCAGCCCCTCACTGGGGGATTCTAGGCAGGGACTCTACCACTGAGCCACACCCCAGCCCCTCACTGGGGATTCTAGGCAGGGGCTCTACCACTGAGCCACACCCCAGCCCCTCACTGGGGGATTCTAGGCAGGGGCGCTACCACTGAGCCACACCCCAGCCCCTCACTGAGGAGTTCTAAGCAAGGAGCTCTACTACTGACCTATAAGTTGCCCCTCCCTCACCTAGCATTCCCCACCCCAAATTCCAACCTGCATCACCTACCTCCCAGGGTTCGCCCCAACACCTTAGACTCTACCCACTTATCATTGGTCCTGCACTCATGAAAACAACTTGTATCCAGAAAGGAAACATCATATTTATTTCCTGTTCTTTACACAAGTCTGTCCACACTAGCCTTGCCTCCTTCCCAGCTACCTTTAGGCCACGTGGGTATTCCTGACCCCTGAAGAACTCCAGGAGACCTTGCAGCAGGAGCGAGAGGTGCTACCTTCTGTCGCAGTTCTGAGCGCAGTTCTGCTTCACCTGGGCGCAAATTAAAAGGCCCGCTGGGGAGAATAAATTAAGTGGTAATTGGTGGCTAATGAAGGAGCCTGCCTTTATTCTTGGCCCTTAGGGGAGAGGGGTTTTGCGCTCTTTGCCAGTGCGATAGTGAGGAGGCTGGAGGGAGAATCTTGAGCACTGAGGTGGTGTGGAGTTGAGACATGTGGGTCAGAGGGCGGAGGCCGGGACTTGCAATGCTGGGTTTGGGACTGAAGGACACTGCGGGGGTGCGCTGGGGAAAGATCAGGCCCTGGACACCCCCCAGGTTGGGCGCGGGCGCAGCAGCATTCCCCGCACCCCAGGTAGGGGGTGGAACTGTGAGGCTGCTGTGGATTGGCCAAGGCCGGGGTGTGCGGCAATCGCTGATTGGCTGCGGCGGGGGCGGTTGCTGCTGTAGGGTCCACCCGGCAGTTCCGAGGTGGAGGGAGGAGGGAGGGCTTAGCAGCAGAGAGCCTGAGATCGGGGGTGTGTGGGGTGTGTGGGGTGTGTGTGTGTGTGTGTGTGTGTGTGTGTGTGTGTGTGTGTGTGTGTGTGTGTGTGTGTGTGTGTGTGTGTGTGTGTGTGTGTGTGTGTGTGTGTGTGTGGTGTGTGTGTGTGTGTGGCGGGAGATGGCAGAGGCATCGTCTGTGGGGGAGGGTGTGTGGTTTGGTTACTGTGGCCTGGGGCAGTGTGTGTGTGTGTGTGTGTGTGTGTGTGTGTGTGTGTGTGTGTGAGAGAGAGAGAGAGAGAGAGAGAGAGGGCCTAACCTGTGTTTAGTGTGTGTATGACAGGGGCTAACCTGTGTATCGTGTGAGTGTGTGTGTGTGTGTGTGTGTGTGTGTGTGTGACTTCTGATTGGGAAGAACCTGTGGCATAGTGACCGGGAAGTGTGTGTGTGTGTGACTTCTGATTGGGAAGAACCTGTGGCATAGTGACCGGGAAGCACAATACGGAAGAACACTGCCACAGGTTTAAATTGCAGGGTATAGCTAGTCTAGACAACTGTAATCCCTATACTTGTGAAGTTGAGGCAGGAGGATGGCAAGCTTGAAGCCTGCCTGGATTACAGAGTGAGGCCCTGTATAGATGTATTATGTGTGCATTAAGTAGGTTTTTAAATGATGCTGGCAGCAGAGAGCTCCTGATACACTAACTACCCCTGAAGCCCTAAAGTTGGGGAGCTGTGGATGACGGGTGTGGCTTGTGCACCCAAGCTGTAGGCTGATGTGAGGGTCTGTAGTGAGCTGCTGAGAGATACTCTAGCTTTCTTCTCTAAGGAGACCGGAAGGAGCGCACAATGAACTGTCATTACAAAGAACACATTGTCTCTTCGTGCAGAGGGAGGAGTCTTCTATCCCTGTCCACCATCCTCTCCCCGAAGTCCTGTTCTTTTTGTTTCATTTGTCTGAGACAGGAGACTGGCTCTCTCACCTAGGATGCTCTCTCACGTTTGCAGCAAATCTCCTGCCTCAGCTTCCAAGGGCTTTTCTCTGCACCTGCTGACATGGACAGTGGGCTTTTCCTCTTTGTCAGAATACCTGACCAAAAGAGCTCTGTGACTCTTGCTGTGATGACTTTGCCACTGACAAAGTTCCTCTGAAGATGCATTTTTTGCTGTTTTATTTATTTTTAGAAATTTTTTTCTCATAGAGACTGTTATATAAATAATCCTGGCTGTCCTGGATCTCGCTCTGTAGACCAGGCTGGCCGCGAACCTCACAGAGATCTGCCTGCCTCTGCTTCCTGATTGCTGGGATTAAAGGTGTTCACTACCACCCCCTGGCTGGAAAATATTACATTTTTATTTTTATGTGTATGAGCGTACTGCCTGCACATATGAAAGTGTACCGTGTGCATGCCTAGTGCCCGCAGAGTTCAGAAGAGGTCGATGGATCCCTTGGAACTGGAGTTACAGACAGTTGGGAGCCACTATGCGTCTACTTGGAACCAAACCCAGTCCTCTAGAAGAGCAGTCAGTGTTCTTAACTGTTGATCCCTCTTTCCAACCCCTGTCTGTTTTGAGGCAGGGTCTCACTATATAGCCCTGGCTGGCCTGGAACTTATTAGGTGGACCAGGATGGCCGTGAACTCACAGAAATCCTCCTGCCTCTGCCTCAGAAGTGCTGGGATTAAAGACATGTCCACTATACCCAGCAATTAAAAATTTTTTTTAAAGGTCTGGAGATGTAATTCCAGTGGTTAGAGCGCTTCCCTAACATACAGGAGGCCATGATGGGTTTAGTCTCCAAGTCCTGTAAAACAAAAGCCAAGGCCAATGCCTGGCTGGGCATGAGTGTGGCCGGGGCGGGGCAGGACAGGGTGGAGGGCAAGATGGAGCGAGTGTATGACAATTCTGGACCGTTCCAGGATTATGTTCTTTGCAGCAGAGCCTGGGTCCCTGAGGTCCTATAACTCAGAAAGGCCTGGCAGAAGTGAGGCCCGCAGAGAGCAGCCATCTGCGGGAGGGGGCGTGACAGGGCGGGGCCGGAATGTCTTTCACCAGGCCGCGCCCCAGGCGCGCACAGTTACCGGCCCAAGCACGGATCATGGCTGCGGCAGTGCTTCGGCAGGTGGGTGCGCGGCCGACCGGCGCTCCAGCCTCTGGGGAACCCGATGGGGGCACACTTCCGGATGGACCACTGGCGTGCAGCCTTTCCGGCTTGGCGTCGTTCCTCTGCGCCTCGGGTTCCGCTGCGGGACGCAGAGGCGGACGGGGCCCCACGGAAAGGAGTGCCGGTCTTTTTAACCGGGCGGCAGAGTGGGGAGACACGGGTGGGGTGCGGGGGGTACCTGATGCGAGGATCCGTGGACCGGGAGGTCGGAAGTGGGGAGCATGGAGGAGGGCTGTAGAGGGAGAAGCACAGGGAGGAGGGGATGCGAGGAAGTTTTGGCTGGGACATGCAGCCCGCGGGTTTTAAGGGCCAGTCGCTCTTGTGTTCCTTTAGACGAGGGGCCCAGAACTTCTGGGGCCTGGTGTCTGACTAGGCACGGAGTCTTGGCTGGGAATTGGAACCAAGATCTTATTTCTTGGAACAAAAGGCACTTAAAGACGTGTGTAGTGTCTGTTTGAGGCTCCGTACCTGGTTTTGTAATCCGAAGCAAGCGTCTGTATGTCAGAGCGACACAGATCCTCCAGGCAAGAGTATTTTGGTGCTTACCGATGGTGGCAAGCAGCAGAGTTTGGGAGATTCTATGATCTTAAGAGAACATGATTTATAAGTGAGGCCGGCGCAAACAGCTGGGCCATCGGGAAAACGTTTGTTGTTAGCTGGTTCCTGACTATCTGACACTCTTAGTCCAGGCTTGTGAATTCCTGAACAGACCTTTACATTTCCCAGTTCTTAACGATGGACAGAAATGTTCTAGACAGACACTGTCTTGGGATATGATAGGGACATCAATCTAGGCTCTGATGGTGTGGTGTTTTGGGATGGGTACAACTTTGCCATACTGGGCCAGTCTCCAATTCTAATGGGACAAACCTGGGCTCTGAGGAAGATAGTTTTATCCTGTAATGTAGACGCTCCAAAAGGAGCCTGCTCAGAGCTATGAGTGCCTGGTGGTAAGTGCCCACACGGGGAAATCCTGGATTATAAGGAAGACATTGATGGCTAGGGTTTGGCCAGGACTATCTTGTAGGGACTAGTCTAGATTGACATTGGAATAGTTCTTGGGTCTGAAAGAGACATCCCTCAGACTTGCCAAGGACAGTCCTAGGCTGTAGAGGGGGAACATGTTGTGTTTGGAATGGGGCAGGAAACAGCCCTGTGTTAGGACAGCACATGGCTCTGCAGGGGACGGTCCTGAGGTGACAGGGGTTGTAATACAGAGAGCACTGGACTTTCTGCAAGTCTGGTGGAAGTATAACCGACGATCAGGACGGCCTGGGCTATGGGAAGAGCAGTTCTGGAATCTGATGAGAGTGTGGTGTAGGACAGTTACCTGGGACAGGGCAGCACTGTACAGTGGTCTTAGTACTTTGCTGACCTGTGGTGGAGAATGGAGCTCTGACAAGACCACCCCTGATCTTTGATGGACATCTGGGCTGTGTTGAGGTTCAGCATTTGGGGCTGCCTGGGACATGAAGGGAACACCACCATGTCAAACAGAACCCTGCCCTGCACACTCGCCTTTAATTTTTAAAACTCTGCTTCTATCCCTATTACACTTCATTCCTGTAGCCCACCTGCCACTTAGGTGCCATCTTTGGACTTAATTCCCAAAGTGTAGTGGGGGACGGGGTGTTCTTTGAACCCAGAGAAAACTGCGGCCTTAGAATTGCTCCGAGAAGAAGAGAATAGCACATCATTGTCACCAAGGCTCTGTGGCCAGTTCAGACTAATCTCTGGGCCTTGGCATAGTGCCTTCTCTTGCCTCGAGGCCTCTAGACCCTTGTGCGCTTCCTGCCTCAGCCTCCAGAGTTCTGTGACTAAGGTGTGTACCGTCAAACCCAGTTTAGAATTTCTTTGCCACGATCTCTGCTTCTCCCTCCTCCTACTGTTACTCACCTGCCCCGTTCCCTGCTACATTTTTATTTATTCCGTATGTGCACGTGTGTGGACCCACGTGTGTCATGGTGCCTGTGTGGAGGTCAGAGGGTAATGAGTCAGTTCTGTCCTTCCATTGGCTAGAAGGAGTGGGTCCCAGGTACTAAACTCAGGTCCTCAGGCTTGTGGACAAGTGTCCTTACCCAGTGAGTCACCTCAATAGCCCTCTCTTTGTAATCCTATCTATTTTGACATCTCTTGGCCTCCATTTCTTTTTTTTTTTTTTTTTCGGTTTTTCCAGACAGGGTTTCTCTGTGTATCCCTGGCTGTCCTGGAAATCACTCTGTAGATCAGGCTGGCCTCGAACTCACAGAGATCCACCTGCCCCTGCCTCCCAAGTGCTGAGATTAAAGGCGTGCGCTGCCGCCGTCCGGCTCTTTTCTTTTTGAGACAGGTTCTCAAAATGTAGACCAGGCTGGCTTTGACTCAAAGATCTGCCTGTCCCTGTCTCCTCAGTAATGAGATAAAAGGGGTGCACCCCCCGCACCCTGCTCCTTCATTTCATTATTATTGAGACAGGATCTTATCTAAGCTAGGCTGGCCTCAAACTTGCTACATAGTCAAGGATGCCCTTGGATTCCTGATCCTCCTTTTTCTCCTTCCCAAGTGCTGGGACTGCAAGGTTTGTGTGCTGCTGGGAAGAAATAAACCCAGGGACCCTGCATCCTAGGCAAGCATTCTACCAACGAAATAAACCCCCAGCTCCATTTTTTTTCATTTCTTCATCTCAATATCTCTTTTCTGCATTGTTCAGCTTTTCTGGCTCACTCTATTAAACAAAAACATTTTTTTTTTGGTTCCCTCTGCTCCCGCCTCCATACAGGCTGCCCTACCCCGTGTATGGTCTTCCCCGTACTATGAGTGTCTGATGCGGGTGGTAGTGTTGGGCAAGCTTCATGTCACCACCCAGAGACATAGGGGGGGTTGTCACCCTCAGACCACCCCAGAAGACTTATCTGAGGGCTGGAAGACATGGGCACAGTTGTGAAAGTGCTTGCCACATGAGCATGGAAACCTGAGTTTGACCCCTGGAACCCAAGTGAAAAAATAGTAGGTGTGGTGACTCACTCTTAAAATGTCGTCATCGGCCGGGCGGTGGTGGCGCACGCCTTTAACCCCAGCACTCGGGAGGCAGAGCCAGGCGGATCTCTGTGAGTTCGAGACCAGCCTGGTCTACAGAGCGAGATCCAGGACAGGCACCAAAACTACACAGAGAAACCCTGTCTGGAAAAAACAAAAACAAAGACAAAAACAACAAAACAAAACCCAAAAAACATATATATCATCATCGTTGGTGAGGTGGAGACAGGAGGTTCCTGAACCAAGTTGGTAAGCTCCAGAACCCAATCATAGTGCCTGTCTCAAAAAGCAGGATGGGCTGTGGGGTGAGGGTTGTGCACACCTTTAATCCCAGCACTCGAGAGGCAGAGGCTGGTGGATCTCTGAGTTCAAGGCCAGCCTGGTCTACAGAGCCAGGACTATGCAGTAAGACCTTGTCTCAAAACAAAAACCAGGATGGGGGTGGGGGGGCTGGAAAAGTGTCTCAGTGGTTAAGGGCACTGGCTGCTCTTCCAGAGAACAATTCCTAGCACCCACGTGGCAGCTCACAAGTATCTGCAACTTAGTCACATCTATTGGTTGTGACTCCCTTACACAGACATCTGCACACCAAACACCAATGCACATAAAAACAAACAAAAACCAGGATGGATATCACCTGAGCAATGACATCTGAGTTTGTCCTCCATATGCGAGTATGCACGCGCACACACAACACACACACACACACACACACACACACACACACACACACACACACAGAGCTTATCTGAGCCAGGTGTGGCACACACCCCTATCATCCCAGCTAGTGCAGAGTCTGTGGGAAGAAAATCATGACTTCAAGCACTGGGCTACAGAGTGAGTTTGAGGGTGGTGAGCAGCTTAGTGAGACTCTGTCCCAAGCTCCCTCCCCTCAAAAAAGAAAAAGAAGGAAAGAAAGAAAAAGTCTGCTTCTGGCCCAGACTCATCCACATGGCATCCAGGACTCACCTACTGACCTGTGACCTCTGCTGGACCCCCTCACTCATTGGCCATCACCAGCTCTCCCAGCAGGAGCAGGCTATTTTCCTGTCTTCCTCAAACTCAGGACCCGATGCTTCTCCATGGTCTGCAGAGAAAAGCATGAAGTCAGAGGTCAACAGGAAGGGGCCTCCTGGGCATAACTAGATCTGCATTCCATGTAACCTCGGGGAGGATCAGCAGAGATCTGTGTATTGAGTCTTGAGTCTTGAGTCTGGCCAAGGGCAAGCACAAGGTGCCCTTCAGCCGTTGACCGGGAAGAGCACAGCACTGGCTGCCCGGGTGAGGGTGTTCCAGCTGTGTGCCCGGGGTTGTAGCAACTCTTAGATATTCCCAAAGAGTAAGCATTAGGACCCTATGTCTGAGGGAGGAGGGCTGGAATCTTGCACTTGTGGGTCTGAGGGCGGAAGATTAAGGAGGACCACTGGGTCTGAAGGAGAGGGCTGGAGTCTGAAGCTCTGGGTTTGATGGAGAAGCACATGGCCTTTAGGCCTGGGTCTGAGGGAGGAGGTCCGGGGTCTGGGCTGCTCACTTCAGGGATAAACAGGACCCATTCTTTTCTAACTCTCCTCAGGTTTTGGGCCCCCAGACCAGGAGTCTCCCCTTACCTGCTCACTGTCCCTGGTCGTTGTCTAAGCTGGTAACAAGCGGTGGCCAAAGTTCTCTAGCAGGAGGCACGCCTCTCTGGACTTTGCCCGGCATGGTGGAGGGGTGGGAGCTGACTTTGGTCTTTCTAGGGATAGTCACCCAGATAGGGACTTGGGCAGAGCACAGAGTCTGTCTAGAATGTGCTGGAACTGTGACAGAGCCAGCCTCATGGGTCTCCCAAACAAGAGGGGGCATTTGGGAGCCAGGGCCCCTGCTCTTCCTGCCTCTTGCCTTGGTCATATTTATTTCTCTCCCCACCCCAGGTCTGGGCTCAAAAACTTCTCCCTGTCCCCTGGCTTCTATGTGGGCCCAGAAGATGTGTGTCCTCCAACTTCAAGGTAAAAGGGGGCCCTGGGTCTAGGGGAGGAAGCCTGGGGTCTGTTCGCTGTGTCAGAGGGAGGCAGGTCTCATCTGTCTCTCTCTGAGGTCGGCTAGTCTTCTGCTCTCAGGTGTTATAAAGAGATAGTGTTGCGTTTCTCAGAAGCCTGGTGGCTCCTGGTCCCCGGTGGGCTGAGGCGGGGCCACGGGAGCTCTAGTCTCTCAGGTTGCGGACGGCAGTGCCCTCTGTTGATGTTGTTGTTGTTGTTTTGTTTTTTTTCCTTTCAGGCTGCAGACCTCCAGGTCCAGGTGACCAGAGAGCCGCAGAAGAAGCCGAACGCTAGCCAGCCACTGCTGTTCGGAAAGACGTTCACAGACCACATGCTAATGGTGGAGTGGAGCAAGGAGACAGGCTGGAGCCCTCCCAGGATCCAGCCCTTCCAGAACCTCACGCTGCACCCAGCCTGCTCCGCCCTCCACTACTCTCTGCAGGTGGGACCAGCTGCTCCTGCTGCCCGCCCTGTGGCATCTTCTCTCTGCTTGGCATCTGGCCGAGGTCACCTCTCCGGCGTGTTGCACGTGTCTTCCTCTGTGGATCTGTCTTCTTTTCCCGAGGTCACCTGTGTTCTGGGACCCAAGCTAGGTGACAATCAGTTCCTAAGATGAACAGATCTTGGCTTTGTTGGAACTCTGTGCTCTGAAAGAAAGTGGGGTTCTGGCAAAGATAAAAACAGGACAGGACAGCGTATGCGGTCAGAAGAGCTAGGTTGGCAGACACCGTGGGGTCTCAGAGTGGCAAAGGAGGCCTCGGATGTCAGGAGAGCCACAGAGAGGAGGAGCTTTGGAGGAGCCTGGATATAGTAAGACCTCCACAGGCCCCGTGGGAAGTAGTATAGCTCCAGCATTCAGGAGGTTGAGGCAGGAGGACTGCCGTGATTTGGAGGCTAGCCAGGGCTATAGCTGGAATTGAAAAACCAGTAACCCTATTTCCTGTGACATTCCTTGAGGAGTCTTGCCCGTCTTTATTGCCGAAGTATATTCCATCCGACAGGAGGTCTCATTAGACAGTGCCTACTGTGGGACACTTGGGTCCTTTTCAGCCCCGAGGCGCTCTAAGGAATGTTGCAATAACAACCAGGTGCCCGTATTGCTTCCTCTAAATGCAAGCGTATCTCTGCCCAGTGCCTAGAGCTAGCGGGTCAAAGGGCACCTGTGCGTTCAACAGTGTAACTGTGTTCTCTCTGTAGAACTTGTACCAGATTCCACACTCACTGCCCAAGCCTGTTTCCCAGAACGAAGCCTTGCCAAACTTGTAGAATTCTTCCAGTCGCCCGAAGAGCTTTTAAAAGTTCTCAAAGTGGCTGGGCAGTAGTGGCCCTCGCCTTTAATCCCAGCACTCGGGAGGCAGAGGCAGGCGGATCTCTGTGAGTTCCAGGCCAGCCTGGTCTACAGAGCGAGATCCAGGACAGCCAGAGCTACACAGAGAAACCCTGTCTCGGAAAAAAAAGAGATAACAACAAAAAAATTTTTCAAAGTGATTTTTTCTCTGTGTGAGTGTGGAGGCCGTGATTGACAGCAAGTGTCTTTCTCAATTGCTCTGCAGCCTGTTTGAGTCAGGGTCTTTTGCCTCCCTCCCTCCCTCCCTCTCTCTCTCTCTCTCTCTCTCTCTTTCTTTCTGAGACAGGATTTCTCTGTTTAACTGCCGTGGCTGTACTGGAACTCACTCTGTAGACCAGGCTGGCCTTGAACTCACAGAGATCCACCTGCTTCTGCCTCCTGAGTGCTATGATCAAAGTGTGTGCCACCACCAGCCATGGGCCAGCATCGCCTGGCTATTTTATTTATTTTTATTTTATGTGTACTAGTTTTTGCATGCATAGAGTTGTGTCTGTGTGTCACTGTGCATGCAGTCCCTGCAGAGGCCAGAAGAGGGCATCTTGGAGCTGGATTTACTGATGATTGTGAGTCACCATGTAGGGGCTGGAAACTGAACCTTGCCATCCCTCCAGCCCCCTAGGGTAGGCTTTAAAAACTATGTAGGAAAACTTTTTTTTTTTTTTTTTTTGGTTTTTCAGGACAGGGTTTCTCTGTGTAACTTTGGAGCCTGTCCTGGAACTCACTCTGTAGACCAGGCTGGCCTCGAACTCACAGAGATCTGCCTGGCTCTGCCTCCCGAGTGCTGGGATTAAAGGCGTGCGCCACCACCGCCCGGCTTAAGAAAACTTTGTATATTGTGAGCCTTTTTTTCTTGCGTGGGGTGATTTTGAGACAGGATCTCACCCTGTGGGTCAGGCTTCTCTCAAGCTGGCCTTAACTGGGCATGCTCCTGCCTCTGCCTCCTGCGTAGTTAAGGTAACAGGCTTGAGCTACATGGCTGCCTTGCCCTGTGCTTTCTGAAGTCTCCATCCCTCTGCCCTTCTCTGTCTCCGTTTGTATCTATGTGTCTCTTGCTCTCTTCATGCTGCGGGACTTGGCCCTGAGCAGTCCCCCTCCCCGTCTATCCTGCAGCTCTTCGAGGGCTTGAAAGCATACAAAGGCAGGGACCGGCAGGTACGCCTCTTCCGGCCATGGCTCAACATGGACAGGATGCTACGTTCTGCAAGGCGCCTCTGTTTGCCAGTGAGTGGCCAGTCTGCCCTAGAAGGAGAGAGGGCAGAGGGTGGTTGGGGAAATCTGGACCCCTGACTCCTATGGGATCCACCCAGGACTTTGACAAGCAGGAGCTGCTGGAGTGCATCCGCCGGCTCATTGAGGTGGACAAGGACTGGGTTCCTGATGGCAATGGAACCAGCCTCTATGTGCGGCCTGTGCTGATTGGGAATGAGGTGGGCATTGCTTGGGGAGCGGCTAGTGTGGGGCCGTGCACATCCACATCTGTGTCAGAGGGACAGACAGGCTGAGCCTGGACCCCGGGTTCTGGGGGAGGAGGTTGGGCCTAGAGCTCTGAGTCTAAGGGAGGAGGAGGCTGGAGTGTGGACCCCTTGGTCTGATGCTGCCCTGTGCACACCATAGCCCTCGCTGGGTGTTGGCCTGGTCACACAAGCCCTCCTGTTCGTCATTCTTTGTCCTGTGGGATCCTACTTCCCTGGAGACTCCATGACGCCCGTCTCCCTCCTGGCCGACCCCACATTCATCAGAGCCTGGATGGGTGGGGTCGGCGACTACAAGCTGGGGGGGTGAGTACTCCCCACATCCGTGAGTATTTGTGCTCTGGGGGGAGGATGCTATAAAAAGGTGAGCCGTAGCGCTCTCCACGCTTCTTGGTCGGGCTGTGCCTGGGTTCCGGGTGGGAAAGCTCTTCTCACTGACTCTGTAGTTGGGCTCCGGGCTTTCTTTGTGTCCTTTGTTATCCTTGGTGTCTGAAACTAAAAACAGAGGAGGATGGGGTGCCTTCCTATGGACAAATGAGCTCAGAGATGGAAGCAGGAAAGCCGAGCCCGAGCCCATGGAAGCCTCTAGAAGGCACGATTGCCCCTAGCTTTCTTCCCTGCCTTGACACCTGTGCTGAGCTGTCCCCATGCATAGCTCCCTGTTTCCCCTGGACCTCAGTCCCCGTTCTCCCCCTCTGGGGTCCCACCACTCTGTGTTGCCCACGGCCTTGGCACAGGATATTGTGAGGTGGCTGAGCCTCCCGGGGTCAGGTCAGGTGCAGGCGACTGGCATACTGGAACAAGGAAGTGTGGCGACACAGGGCGGCTCCTCGGGTCCACTCAGAACAACATGAGGTCTTCCTGGTATCAGGCCCTGAGCTGGCTGCAGCTGGGCTGCTGGGAACGCTAGTGTCCAGATCTACACGAGCTCTAAGGCAGGGTTCACAGAGCCGTGTGGAAGCTCCACGTAAGAGGTGGCACTTCATTTGTGGTTTCTTGGCTGCAAAGGTAGTGGGAGAAGCCAGGTGTGGTGGCGTGCAGCCATGTGTGCCATGCAGTCACCGATCCTCAACCAGCTGAGGCAGGGAGACTGTAAAAGGAAGCTAGAGGACAAGGATCAGCAGTAGAGCCCCTGCCTAGGATCCCCAGAGAGTTCAGTGATAGAGTGTTTACCTAGCATGTGAGCGGTCCTGAGTTCAAACCCCACCACCCAAAGAAAGAAAGCAGTGGCACTGATTCTCTAACTCTGGGCCCTGGTAAATGGGCTGGTGGAATAGGATCACAGTTGGCACAAGGGAGGCAAAGAAGACCAGTGTTTGCACAAGGCTCAGAACATGGCTTGGGATCCTGTCCTGAGACAGTGGGAACCTGGGGCGACATAGGAGTGAGTAAGAGGTGAAGTCTGGTGTGGGTAACACCCTCAGGTTAAAACAGGATGAAAGCCAGTGTGGGGTGTGTAGCTGTGACCCCAGCACTTGGGAGGTGGGGACAAGACTAGCTTCAGCTGCATAGTGCTTTTGAGGCCACCTTCTGCTCAAAGAGACCCTGCCGCCCAGACCAGCTGGGTGTGGTGGCACATGTCTTTAATCCCAGCAATACAGATGCACAGGCAGCCTGGGCTACAGAGTGAGTTCCAGAAGAGCCGGGGCTACACAGAGAAATGCTGTCTCAAAAAATGCAAAACCAAAAATAAGAAAAGTGGAGTAAAATAAGCCAAACCACTGGCATCACTATGCCCTAATCTAAATACTCTGGGGTACAGAGAGGAGAAGCTGGAGAAGCAGGAAAGGGGGCCCACCAACCACACAGGGCCCCAACCTTGACCGCAACTGTTAGGTTAAGAATTCTGTCTTGCAGGTTTGGGGAGCCCTCACGGAAGGGCTGTAAGTTGGGGAAGGAGACTCCTCCTTGGTTGTGTTGTGGGGGGTGTGGGGGATTCTCTGCCCAGTCTGACCGGGCTGCCCTCCAGGAATTACGGGCCCACTGTGGCTGTGCAACAAGAGGCCAGGGAGAAGGGCTGCGAACAAGTCCTCTGGCTGTACGGGCCAGACCACCAGCTCACTGAGGTGGGCACCATGAACATCTTCGTCTACTGGACCCATGAGGACGGGGGTGAGCTACTTGTGACCCAACCCACACCCTGTATGACGGCCTGCCTAACTCCTACCGGGTTGCAAGGTCTCCTCCGGGTCCTGGGCAGGTTGCTTCTGAAAGAAAGGGGAGATCACTTAGGGGTGGGAGGCAATGACACCCATCTTCATCCCTGACTTAGTCCTGGAGCTGGCAACTCCCCCACTGGATGGCATCATCCTGCCTGGAGTGGTTCGACAAAGCCTGCTGGACCTGGCCAGGACTTGGGTAGGACCTGCATCTTGGGACCATAGCATCTGAGCTGTGTCGCTGTGGTGGCTGCTGGGCCCACTGCCACGCCCTCTCTTCTCTGGGTCTGTCCCCCACGCTTGGGCCTCTCTCTGTCTTTCCCCGCAGCCTTAGGGAGGGAGCGATGGTGGTCTGCAGCGGGACAGGAGTATGGGGACTGGAGTGTTTCTGCCCCCGTGTTATGCAGGGTGAGTTCCGGGTGGCAGAGCGCAAGGTCACCATGAAGGAACTGCAGCGGGCGCTGGAGGAGGGCCGGGTGCGGGAAGTCTTTGGCTCAGGCACGGCTTGTCAGGTCTGCCCAGTGCATCAAATCCTCTACGAAGGCAAGGTGAGGCGGAGATGCCAGGGGAGGTGGGAGAGAAAGGGGGAGCGCCCCATCCTCATGGCTCCTTTTCCCCAGCGACTCCACATTCCCACCATGGAGAACGGGCCGGAGCTCATCCTGCGCTTCCAGAAGGAGTTGAAGGCTATTCAGGTGAGTTCATGAGCACGGGAGCAAGAGCTCTCATAATGGGTCCTTCCCCCTGAATACCTGTGGCCAGGAGCAGAGGCATTTTCTGTACTTCAGGTAGACGCCTTTCCGTGAGTCTCTGCGGCTCTGGGTCCTAAAGAGATAACCCCTTTTTTCATGAGCCTCCCACGACTCCCTTGGGCCCTGGGCTGTCACTATGGCATGATGAGCCATCCTCCCTTGCCCCTCCATGGCCTGGAGTATTCCCATTCTTGTGAGCCCAGAGCTTCCAGAGGACCTCTGGGCTCACTTCCCGGTGAGCTAGACCTGAGGTGATTGGGTATCCTGGCCCCGTGCTGGCGCCTAGCACTACACATTTGAGCTGAAAATGCCTTTTCCCAAGAGCCTTCAAGGCTTTGCAACTCCCTGCCTTGATGTCCCTCTGGACTTGTGGGCGAGCCTCTGAGTCTAGGACTACACTTCCCATGAGGCACTGAGGCGCAGCTCTGTGAGCTGTCAGTTGAGACGTTGCGAAGCCTGCTGGGAGTTGTAGTGCAGCTGCCGCACTGCAACAACTCCGTTGTCCGGCAGTACGGAGTCGGTGCCCACGATTGGATGCTTCCGGTGTGACGCTGCCAGCTCTGCCCTCACGGATTGGATCCGCGGACCTATAGCATCCAGTCCAGAGTCCGCGCCTCTCAGACTCAGGAGAAGTGCAATAGAAAAAGGTCTGGCCAGACACCTGGGTCTCTGGCGCCATCGCGTGGTCACTGCACTCCAAAGCCTTAAGGCGGGACCCAGACAATTTGAACCCCGCCTCAAGGGTTGGGCCTCAGGGCTCAGATGCCTCAGCTGCTTTGAAGGGGGATCCTTGGCATATCATTCTCAAGCTGGATCCCCGGTGCTCTCCGTGATTCATTTTTTCCCCTCTCTGCCCTTGCTGCAATTTTGAAATAAAATGCCAAAGAACAAGAGATTGTCGTGTTCAAAGCGCCACCCTGGGACCCCAGGGGCTCAGCACATTTTATTATCAGGGATTCAGCACATTTTATTATCAGGGATTCAGCACGGAGGCGTCTCTGACCTGAGGGATCCTTCTGTACTTTAGTACCGAACCCCACTTAGTGGATTCTCCCTGCCACACCAGATCTCAGGATCTTCTCTCTTCTTACAGGGCATTGGTGCCCAAGCCCTGTTCCTGGAGCCCTTGATGGCTCTGTCCTTTCTTGTGTCCTCCTTGGCCTGACCTCCCAGCCTGGTCTTCTGCCTGTCTCTGTGTCCCAGCTTCCTCTTTGTCTTCCTGGCCTTCATATGCTCCCATCTGACACCAAAGACTGTTTGTATAATTGTGCCTATCTTAGGGTTTCTATTGCTGTGAAGAAACACCACAACCATGACAACTCTTATAAAGTAAAACATTTCACTGGGGTGGCTAGTTTGCTGTTCAGAGGTTTAGTCCATTATCATCATGCCATGAAGCATGGCGGCATGTAGGCAGACACGGTGCTGGAGTAGTAGCTGAGAATTCTATATCTTGCAGGCAACAGGAAGTCAACTGAGACACTGGGCAGTATCCTGAGCATAGGAAACCTCAAAGCCCACCCCCACAATGGCACACTTCCTCTAGCAAGGCCATACCCATTCCAACAAGCCACACCTCTTTTTTATTTTTATTTTATTTGCATTGGTGTTTTTCCTGCATGTATGTCTGTGTACGTATGTCATATCTTGGAGTTACAGACAGTTGTTAGCTGCCATGTGGGTGCTGGGAATTGAACCTGGGTCCCCTGGAAGAGCAGTCAGTGCACTTAACCACTGAGTCATCTCTCTAGTCCAAAGCCATACCTCTTAATATTGCCACTCTCTATGAGGTTATAGGGGCCAATCCAAACTACCACATTCTACCTCCTAGCCCCCATAAGCTTGTAACAATACCAAAATACCAAATGCATTTAGTTCAACTTTAGAAGTCCCCATAGTCTATCACAGTCTCAACAATGTTTCAAAGTTCAAAGTCTCTTCTGAGATTCATTCAATCTCTTTTTTAAAAAAAAAAAAGATTTATTTATTTATTATGTATACAGTGTATGCATGCTTGCAGGCCAGAAGGGGACACCAGATCTCATTACAGATGGTTGTGAGCCACCATGTGGTTGCTGGGAATTGAACTCAGGACCTCTGGAAGAACAGCCAGTGCTCTTAACCTCTGAGCCATCTCTCCAGCCCTCATTCAGTCTCTTAACTGTAATCACCTGTAAAGATCAAAATAAAAAAGCAGATCACATACTTGGCACAGGATACACATTACCATTCCAGAATATAGGGAAGGGAGCATAGTGAGGAAATGCTGGACCAAAGCAAGACTGAAAACCTCCTGGGCAAACTCCAAACTGCATCTCTGTGTCTGATGCCAAAATTCTCTTTAGATCTCCAACTCTGTTCAGTTTTGTTGACTGCAACACACTTCTCTCTCTTGGGCTGGTTCCAATCTCTGTTAACAGCTTTCCTCAGCAGGTATTCCACAGCTCTGACATCTCTAACCTCTTGGGGTCTCCAAGGCAATCCAGACTTCACCTTCACAGTTTCACAAAATGGCCTGTCTGGGCCTCCATTCAGGGACACCCGACACATGCCTGGCCTCAGTGGCTTTATTCCATAACTCCTTTCTTCTATCCTTAACTCTAAACCCAGAACCACGTGGCCAAAGCTGCCAAGTTCTGCTGCTTGCTGGGGCTGGAAGATGGCCACCTTGTTCAATTACATCTTCACCAGCTTTTTGTCTTACTGCCTAAGCTTGGCTGTCCTGAAACTTGCTCTGTAGACCAGGCTAGCCTCAAAAATCAGATATCTGCCAGCTTCCACCAGTGATGGGATTAAAAGTGTGTACCACCACACCCTGCTCTAAGCTTTTCTTTAGTTCCTTGTTACTAGTTGGAAATTTACCTGGATGGGATCTTAGCCTGAGGTCACTACTCCCTTTATTCCATGTCTTAATCTCTTTATCTCCTTGAACATAGGATTTAGCTTCTTTCTACTTCCTGGTGCCCTTTTCTCCTCAAATTGTACATTTTGTAATTTTCTCTGCTCAGCTTGCTCAAGTTTTCATTATAAATCTTCCTTAGAGTTACCACTAATAACCACACAATAGAATCCATACTTGGCTGTTTTGAAATTTCCTCTGCGGAGGAAATTAATCCCAAACTCTTCACTCTAGCCTCAGGCAGATTCTTCAACAAGGGCAAAAGGCAGCCACATTCTTCACCCAAACGTCACTAGAATGATCTCTAGGCCACATGTTAATATTCTCCTCTGGAACCTGAGCAAGCACCCCCCCCAACACGGTTCATCAAATCACTGTCAGCAGTCTTCCATGCTTCTACTAGTATGCCACATTAAGCAGGCTTACGGTATCCCACTGCTTTCCTAACCCAAACTCCCAAAGTTCATATTACTCCAAACAAAAACATGATCAGACCTGTCACAGTAATACCCCAGGTCCTGGTACCAACTTCTGTCTTAGGGTTTCTGTTGCTGTGAAGAGACACCAAGACCATGGCAACTCCTATAAAGTAAAATATTTCATTGGTGAGGCTCACTTACAGTTCAGAGGTTCAGTCCATTATCATCATGGTGGGACATGGCAGGCATGCAGGCAGACATGGTGGAGAAGTAGCTGAGAGTCCTACATCTTGCTGGTAACAGGAAGTTGACTGAGACACTGAACACAGGAAAACTTAAAGTGTGCCCCCACAGTGACACGCTTCCTCTAGCAAGGCCACACCCACTCCAACAAAGCCACACCTCCTAATAGTGCCACTCCCAGTGAGATTAAAGGGTCTAATTACATTTATACTACCACAGTCCCTCTCAGAGATGTCAGCTCCTCCGACAGTGGGGCAGCAAACCTCCGGGAAGGTGTAAAGCGAGGCCCTAATTCTCTGACTGCTACAGGAGTTAGAAGGATCACACCTCTGTTCTCATTCTGGCTCTTGTGACTCTGCGGGTCCCAACCCTTGCCTCCTCACACGCAGACTTTAATAAGTACCACATGGGCCTGCAGAAACTAATTCCTGGCACACAGCTGCAGCTCCGCATTCACATCCTGCCCCCTTTTTCTGCTATCTTTGATTTGGAGCAGGACTTTTTATTGCTGATCAAGTTAGCTGGAGAGAAAGAAGAGTCTACAGCACCATTCGGCAGATGTGACTGGTGCACGGCAGCCGGCAGCCTTGGGACTGGAAGTCCGACTTCTTAGGGCACCAAACTCACCCATTGCCACATCTTGTTCTCTTTTTGCCAATTATTGCTCAAGCAAAGGTTAAGGGCTAAGGGGACCCACGGGAAAATCCACAGGCCCCTGGGAAGCTTTTTTCCCCTCCGTCGAGAAATCCAAAAGGACTACCTCTTCCTCTTTTTTTTTTCTTTTTTGAGTCAAATTAAATAAGCTTTGTTTTCTGTGATAATAGGTTTTCTCTCTAATCCCAGGTTTGGGAGAATAGCCAGGAATATAGGGGAAGTGGAGTTTTATAACCCAAAATATGCAAGGGTAAGAATTTTCCAAGGGTTGGGGAGTTCCAGATGAAATTTGGTTATGTAGGAGCTTGGCTGAACGTTCTCACCAGGAGCCAAAGACAAACAGAAATGTTGCTTGAGAGTACACCTGACCAGGTCCATGAAGAAAGCAAAGATTACCTGCAGTTTACTTAGTGTTGCTCAGCTGTCCAAAGAGCCAAGTTTGGGCAACGACTTGGCTTCACTGGAGCCATAGTGAATAGGCTATGTCACCCAGACATAGCCCTCAGCAGCAGTCAGGGCTCAGATGTCACCATGGACTTGGGTGGCAGCACAGTCCTGTTTGTGTGGCATGGCCCCTGTATGCAGATTTATGTCTGAGTCTTCCATTCAATTCATGCCAATAACATGTTATTTTATTACCATAGCTTTGAAGTACAATTTGAAATCAGGAATAGTAAGACCTACAGCAGTTCTTTTACTGTTCTGGAATGTTTTAGCTCTCCAGTGCTTTTTGTATCTCCATATGAAGCTGAGAATGGTGTGTAAAAGGTATGGAAAGAGTTGTGTTGAAATTTTAAAACAGATTGCTTTGAATCGGTAGATTGCTCTTTGTAGATGGCCTTTTTTGTATGCTAATCCTACTGACCAATGAGCATGGGAGCTTTTTCCATTTCCTGATATCTTCTTCAATTTCTTCCTCAAAGACTTGAAGTTTTTTATCATACAAGTCTTTCACTTGTTTTGTTAGCGTTACCCACAAGGTATTTCATATTATTTGAGGCTATTTTGATAGGGTTTTTGCTCTGATTTCTTTCTTTCTCTGATTTACTTTTGGTTCCTCTTAGGAACCTTTGGCAGATGACTAACCGGTAATACCAGTGACTGTTCCCCATGGATTTTGGTCAGAGTGACAGGTACTGCTTCCCACAAACTCTCTGGTCCTGGGCTTTTTTTTTTTTTTTTTTTTTTTTTTGGTGGGGAGACTTTTAGTGATTATGCTTTTTTCCCCTATTATCAGCTTGATACAGTATAAATTCTTATCCTAATAGTGAAATATTTGATTGAGGCTTGCCCAGTAATTGAGTAAAACCAAAACTTACTTTAAACCACAGTCATCCTAGGGTCCCCCTGCTATATAGCCTCCCCAGTTCTGTGGGTTGCAGTCTGATTGTTCTTTGCTTTATATCTAGTATCCACTTATGAGTGAGCACATACCATGTTTGTCCTTCTGGGTCTGGGTTACCTCACTCAGGATGATGTTTTCTAGTTCCATCCATTTGCCTGCAAATTTCATGCTGTTATTGTTTTTCTTTGCTGAGCAGTACTCCATTGTGTATATGTACCACATTTTCTTCATCCATTCTTCAGTTGACGGGCATCTAGGTTGTTTCCAGGTTCTGGCTATTACGAATAGTGCTGCTATGAACATAGTTGAGCATGTATCTTTGTGGTATGATTG